CCGTCAATCAACTGATGTACAGGTTCCTGAGCCTATTGGGCTCTATCAAATCTACGCTTGAAATTGTGTATGGAGTCAGCCTCCACCACATCACTGTCTAATGCATTCCATCTGTTAACTACTCTGACACTGAAAAAGTTCTTTCCAACGTCCCTGTGGCTCATGTGGGTACTCAGTTTCCACCTGTCCCCCCTTGTTCGCGTACCACCCGTGTTAAACAACTTATCATTACCTTCCCTGTGAATTCCTCTGCCCCGAGCCCTCCTGTCTTCCAGCGATGCGAGGTGCAGTTCACACAGCCTTTCCTCGTAACTCATGCCTCTTGGTTCTGTGAATAGCCTCGTGTCATACCTCTGAACTTTTTCCAGCTTCGTCTTGTGCTTGACAAGGTACGGACTCCATGCTGGGGCTGCATACTCCAGGATTGGTCTTACATATGTGGTATACAAGGTTCTGAATGATTCCTTACACAGGTTCCTGAAGGCAGATCTGGTGTTAGCCAGCCTTGCATATGCCTCAGATGTAATTTTTTTAAGTGGGCTTCAGGAGACAGGTTTGGTGTGATATCAACTCCTAGATCTTTCTTTGTCCATTTCATGAAGGACTTCATCTTCCATTTGGTATCCTGTGTCTGGCCACCTGTTTGTGTGTGTGTGTGTGTGTGTGTGTGTGTGTGTGTGTGTGTGTGTGTGTGTGTGTGTGTGTGTGTGTGTGTGTGTGTGTGTGTGTGCGCGCGCGCGCGCGTGGTAGAGAGAAATAAATATATAGTAGACATAATAGAGGAAAAATAAACTGGTTAGAAAGGCAGGGTCCAAGAGCTCATAGCTCGATTCTGCAGGCACAAATATTGTGCCATTGTGAAGATACTCATGTATCAACACATTAAGCAGGCCATGAGAATGAGGGAAGGGAATGTTTCATCAATGCTGGATTTAATATTCAAGAAAAAGAGGAGAGAAAAGGAGAAGAAATATTTGACATTCGGTACTTTCCTCCTTGGGAAAGAACAACCATGTCCTCTTAGAAATAAAATATGCAATATGTTATAATCTAGAAAAGAACAGGGAAAATGAAACAGTTCATGAATTTGATTTTAGGAGAGGACTGAGGTCTCTTTTGTGAGACTGAGCAAAGTCTTTGATTGTGAAGACCTGTTGTTAAACAAGTAAATGAGATGTATGCCAAATTTTGTGATATACACAATGGAGTCACACAAAAATGTTTACCAAAACAGAGATGGGTTTAAAGCATAAATTAAACAACTCTGATTTGCTGATCTGTCAGTGTGAGTGCCCGGTATCCGTTCATTACCAAAGTACCTTAGTATAATGTAATGTCCAGTGTCAAATTATAATAAACCTTGCTTTTATTTACCAATATTCTTCATAATGGTCATGAGAGAGACCATGTGTATATTTGAGAGCTTGTGAATCTTTGTATATTTGAGACTTGTAATGCTAAAATAAAATCGGTGATGGTATTCCTGTGAGGCAACTTAAATGCAAAGGCTTCTTGCTTATCATAATTTTGTAATCTTCCTCGCTGACTTTACTCTGAATGTTGCCTCTTCCCAAAATACAATTTGGCTTGAAGTATTACAACTTGGAGGAGTGTGCGTGCCCAGGAGAAGCCAGGCCAGTCACCAGCAAATGGTAAACAAAATAGCATCCCTCGAGCCAGCTGGCCAAGGGAGTGGCACACATCCCACAGGCAAGCATGCATTTGTGGCCGGGTGGTGGTGGTGATGGAGAAGGAGTTGGTGGGGGTTGGAGAGGTGGTGAAGCAGGTGATGATAATGATGAAGTTGGTGACTACAGGGAAAGTGAGGTCTGGCTCTTTATGCCTGCTACAAGCCTTGCATCTCAAAGTGTTCCTATTGTACCATATATTTATACAGAGGAGTTATTATTCATTTATGCACATTTTTTTATATTCAACACAAAATAAAGATCATATCTTAAATATTTTGTGGTTAATAATAATGCAAAAAAGTATTTCAAGCTAAATCTCAAAATTTTTAGTATAGCTTAAACCTCAATTGTTGCATTGAACGAAAATAACTAAGTCAATTAATAAAATGTCAAATTCCAGAAGATGCAATAGCTCTTCCAAATGGTATATAAAAAGGTAAAGTGAATATAGTGTCTCGCAAAGTTTTGTTACATGACAGTTGCTTTCACAGAGTGACAGCTATGAAGGCAACTGGCACAGAACTGGCAAGCAATGACACGGTGTGCGGGCTGTTGGCACTACGCCACACCAGGTGACCACCACACCTATTCTCCTCACACCCATTCTCCTCTTCCTCCACACATTACTCTGTCAATTATCCCCTCCCTCATCTCATTCATCTCCTCAACCATGGTGATGTCCAGTTTCCTTACCCTTTCCACTTAGCCGGAAATAATAAGGTCTTAATCTTATAATAAGAAGATATAAGAAGAATAATAAGGTCTAATCTTCAGCTCAGGAATGAGCCTTGTTGCACATCCTTGAATCTTTTCTAGTTTTGACATGTGCATATGTGAGTGCTTGAGTAAAATATATGTGCAGCACAAGAGTGCATCTGGTGATTGTCCCAGTTTATTTCACGTCTCTCTTCCTACATTATTTGCCAGCAGGACAAACTTAACTGTTTGGTTCATGAAAATCTATATTTTGAATATAGTGTATACACTATTGTCAATAATGTAGGGGATGGGTTCCAAAACGGATACATCCTCCTCCACACTCAAATAAAAAACCCACACACAATTGTTACACAAGTCTCAACACAATACACACTCCAAGCCCACCTGGACACACAACCTGTTTATCACAAATACCACTTTCACGAACACTCTTATTTACACATCTTCAGGAATTCAGATTTGTTCAGGAATCTGTACACCATTTGATTGACAGTTGCGAGGCAGGACCAAAGAGCCAAAGCTCAACCCCCCAAGCACAACTAGGTGAGTACATCTCATTACATTATTATATACCCTATACCACTGTCTCATACATCACCGATTTCATTCCTCTCACTTCTACTTTTCATTATACCTTCCCCTCCAGCCCTCCTCTTAACCCCCTTCACAAATGCTATCCCTTCCTTGTGGCCATACACACACTCTCTTTTGCTCTCAGTGCCAGAAGATGCCAACATAAATATCTGAGAATCTTCACCACCTAGGGGGGACGAGCTGTCATCAATAGGTGCTACTACAGTTTCCTAATACAGTGGTTCCCAAAGATTTGTATGCAACTACAGTACATGTCTGTTTACTAGGAATTGTGTAGTTTTATTTTGAAGCGTGTCCCAAATTCAGCCAAGCTGCCATCTCACAAAAGCATTTGATCTCTAAAACCCTCCAAAAACAATTTAACCCACTAATATAATATAATTTCAGATTCATTTAACATTTAAAGTTTAATACCAGCTCCATGTCAGTTATGTACAATCCAGTACTTTCCATAATGTACACACTGTAATGTATGCTGTGCATTAAAGCTGTACAGTAATTGTTTTCAATTATTTTAAAGATAAAAAAAAATTCTGCATTTCTAAATGTAAAAATTCCAACCTATTTCCTTGTTAAGTCTGAATATAAAATGGCAATAAAATATTTGTAGAAAATTTAAACTTTCTGGGGAGAGCCCCTTGTGGCTACCTGAAGCTATACACCAAGATGGTTCCCATCTACCAGGTCGCATCAGCTGCGGAAATCTTAGGCTTCCCAGGGACCAGAGCCAGAACCTGGCCCCCTCACAGAGGTGCAGGGAGTGGTGACATTTCACCACCTCATGGGGCAACGCATCCAGAAAGTTAACAAATCAAAGCAAACCACTGCTTGGTTCAAAAGAGTAAAACCTCGCAATGAGTCTAATGAGTTCCCCCAGTTATATAAACAAATGACCTAATCTCTCAAAACTAGCGTGAGCTCATTCACCCTACCTTCCTCACTTGTTTGGAGGAAGAGGCTCACCCCCTCCACGAGTCTGAGCTGTCAGTTCTTACACTGACGCGGTCAAGATTAGTTGATGGTTGTTGTGGTTCCTGGGCCATCTCTACTGTAAGGGCTCCACTGTTCAGCAAAGTTATTTTGGGTCTTTGCCTTTGGTGGCTTTTCTGTGCACCATACTAAAAGCACCATCAGTCTGAAATAGATCTAAAAGCATCACCAGTACACAAAAATCCGAAGGTCAAGTAGCTGTTGTTGTAATGTATTCGATACTTGTTTTCATTTTTGCAAGCTGCCAGTACTGAATTCCAAATACAGCCCCTGGAAAAGAAGGAACCAGAGCAGAAATGAGTAGCTTTTAAGAGTCCACCAGAAAAGGGCATTTCATATTGTTCAACGTTCGATCACTAGAAGGCCTCCTCGTAGCACTTCACAGCTTACTTCCAAACATACTTTGGTTGAGGAAGACGGCTTCTCTGTAAAGGAATACAAGAACAGAAGCAAGCCTGAAAGGCCTTTCCATGGAGGAAAGAAGAGAGCCCAGGGTAGAGGAGTAAGAGCTGCACACCACATACCCAAGTGCCAGACAGGTAAAGTAAGGTTGTTACCTCCACCAAGTAGCAAGTCACCATCATCCTGTTGGATTGCCAAGACTCCAAGCCTGGAAATTAGCCATGAATATATTCCACAGATGGCCATCAAGGTATCAAACTTATGCACATCTTGGGAGCACTTAGGGAACATGCTCCATACCAATAATCGTCTACATTGTTTACCTCAGGGTTTCTTATTCCTTTCAACTAGCTGTTTCTTTTGTTGTGCCTATACTGTTGGGGTTTTCTCTAATTTGCAATGGCCTCTGATCCTCAGCTTCCATCATGTTGAAGTGCCAGATTCTGGACCTGATTCCTGGTAGGTAAGGGAGGGTCTCAGAAGCCTGGTGCGATCTGTTAAGCCTAGACAGTGCCAGCACTTAAGCCTTGGGAGTTATTGAGGGGACCCCCAACCCAGAAATGAATAAAAGAACATTGTTTTACAAAGTAATTTAGTATTTACCTTATATTTGAAGCTGATGAACTTGCTATCCCTGAAGAGAGCAAGAAAATTTTATTTATATAAATTGAGCATTGAACATAAAGAAATGCCTCATTCTGGTGTGTACCTCAGTGGCTACCTGAGCTACCTGCATGGCTACCTCCAAGCCTAAAGCACCCTACCAGGCCCTTGCTTGTTGTAAGTGCATACTGGGTACCAGGACTAGAATCTGGGCCCCTCAATAGAAATAAAGGAGTCTTGGGGATACTAGACCAATCCATGCCAAGAAGAAAAAAACCCACTAGAAAGGTAGTGTCCTAAAATATGAAACTGCATCAAAACATTGGTAACCCTGAAACAAACTATGTACACACTCGTTGTCACCTTTGTCCAATTTGCAGTAAGTTGCCACTGTCATCTAGTGGCAAATTTCTCAACTGGAAGCTGGGTTAGGCAACGAGTATGTACATAGTATATGTAGTATAAGAGTGTGTCTGGGATGCTCTCGGACGCAGGTTCGAATCCTCGACACGGCCCTTGTGGATTTGTTCATGTACATAGTATGTTTCAGGGCTACCAGTATTTTCTATACAATTGCTTGCTTTGGGGCACTCTTCCTTTCTGGTGGTTTTCCCTCTCGGCCTGGGTTGGTCTAGTGTCCCCAGACTTCCTTGTTTGTATTAAGGGGCCCAGATACTGGTCCTAATCCTGGTAGGGGCTCATGTCTTGCAAGACCCTGGAGGGGTGCTTTAGGCTTGGAGCTGTGCGAGTAGCTCAGGGAGCTACTGAGGGGAGCCTTCCCAGAAACACAATTTAATACAGTACAGTATTTTCAATGCAATATTAAAATAAATGATCAAATCAGGCATTTAATTTAAGAGAAATTAAAAATTATGTGACCATGTAATATAATTTAAGAGAAATAAAAGATATGTTAAATATACACAAGCGAGGCTAGTATTATGCATTATAGAAAGCAAGATTTCTACTTGTAAATACTGTATTGTGTATACATTCAGGCACTTTACAAAACACTATATACATGATTAGTGAGAGGATTAAGTTTTAAGGACAAGATTACGATGACATCTTTATGAAGAAAACTTTAATAATATATAAAGGCAGTGAAAAAGAGTAACTGGAATCTAAACAGGTTAATGAATTACTGAATATTGAATCATATTTAACTTTCATCACAGAACATTCCCTTTGCAATAAGCAGATGTGAGATGATGGCAATAACATTACAAAGTTAAAGATATCAAATATAAAAATACTGTATATAATAAGGACATTAGATGTAAAAAGTAGAGGCCGCAGAGAAAGCATTACCTGAAGCTCCATGGTGGATGCCAGATCTTGAATCACCCCTGTATCTTATTTCTTGGTTTTCCATGTCACTTTCTTTAATATTTATCATTTTGCTTATTTTACCATAGTGCATGCTTCTTGCAGTTCCCCGAGACTTTACTACTTTACTGTCAAAATCCTGACTGGTTTTTCTGATACCATGAGGTATTTGACGGATATGCAAACTTCCACGCTTCACTGGAATTATTTGAGGTACTTCTGATAAAAGTGGAACACTGCTCAAGCTGTTAGGTGTCGACTCTTTCTTACTCGCACTGTCATGAGATGTTTCAGAAGAAATTGTGTCTTCGTCACATACGGTATCAGATGTGCTCACTTCACTGGCTCTTGCAATAGAACTTGCCTTAGTGTAACATTCTGAAACATTCTTCAGAGGAAATTGTTTACCTAAATTAATTGTTGCACCTTTGCCCTCACTTGAATTTAATTCCTCTGAACCTGAAGGCATACTTGAATTTTCTGAATTGCATGGTAATGGAAACTTGTCCACTGAAAAACTGCAAACATTATGAGCAAAACCTGGGTCAGCTTTATTTCTCATTCCCTGAGACACAACAACATAACGAGGACCACCACTAAGGATAGCATCAGATCTATTTTCATCTGCATTTATAATATTTCCATCACCTGAGTGCAATGTGTGTGACTGCCTTAAAGACTCAAAATCTTGAGATGGAGTTATATAGTTTTGGGGATTATATGGTCTGTCTGCTTCAACATTATGGTCAGTGCTGAAGGTTATAGCTTTGGGAGGATTTCTCAATGATTTCTGGTTTACATACTTCCTTGGTCGGAAAATTTTAGCCTTAGAATTCTTTTTAGATTTTTCTTTTTTGGAGGCAGTATCAGTAGCAGCTTCATATTCTGGAGGTAGAACTTGAGGGAGAGGGCATCCTGATATAAGAACTGGTCTTGACTTCTGCTCTGAATGTAATATTTCCAATGGGTTTCTCTTTTCTGCAACGACAATCCCAACTGGATGTCGTGCAGTGAGTGAAGCTACATCATTGCTTGCAACTGTGATGATTTCCACCTGAAAAAAAAAATTAAGCTATGAAACCATTTTTATACTCAGTTTAAATTCTGATACAGGCATATCATCAACTAAATACTGTACTGTATAATGAAATAGTTCCCAGTATATCTTCAATATTTGAAAACTACAGGCCAGAGCATAAGTTAACATGATACAGAATCACTTACTTTAAAGTTTCTCATACACAAGCCAATTGTAATGTACAATAGACTTCTGTCTACACTTCAACAAAATTACTAACACTTAATTTTTGTAAAAAACTGTTTCTTCAATCATTGGGTGTAATAAATGGCTTCCTTCATATCACTAAGAAATTGTTTATTATTATTGTTGTTTTAGATTCAGCTACTCGGAACAAAAAGTTCCAAGTGGCACGGGCTATGGTGAACCCATAGTGGACTTACCTGGCACAGGAGCGGGGCTGTAACTTGCCATTAGAAGATACCAGAATTTCATTATGGATTTCAATACAAGATCAGGTTGTCAATCTAAGATGGAGTATCTAAAGGTTACCTACACCTCCAATCCAACATTATAATGATGAGTTAGAACTCAGGTCAGAACTTAGAACTCAGAACTTAGCAACTCTTTCCAACTACCTTAGAACACAGTGAGCCTCATCCTATAACTTCTGTATAAGATTTTAAATTCAGACATGCCAATACACTTGGGGAAAATATATAAAACCCAATGGCTCTGTTCACCTAACAATAAATAGGTATTCTATCTGGAAGTTTGTTGACAGTTGTGGGTTGGATTCTTGGGATGGTCATTCATTGACTAGAGGAACTGTAATAAACCGAACAAACTTCCTGCCCCTGACAATAGGAAACCAATTACAGTACTGTACCTTAAGGCCAACATTAGAGTCAATACAAAGAATTTTGTGGAAATTAAATTAAGAAGCTAAGCTGGTTCAAGTCAAGCCTTATTATCAAGCTAGACTTCAAAAAAAATCTCGGCTAGGGGTACTATCTATTTTTTTTTTAGAAAATCATCCTTTATACATAAAGATATAAAACCACCACTAGTTATTAGGCAGCTTACCTTTGAAATTGAGCTTTTCTTAGATGATTTAAATACAATTCTTTTTCTTTCAGCCATTGTGAAAAAAGTTGAATGGCTCCTAAAATGTAATGACCAATATCTGAAAAAGTAAAAATATGACAGTAATTTGTTATTAATGTTAAGATACAGATTTGATATGCATTAATTAAAATATGTTTATTGCAAGATAGGACCTGATATCTTCTGACCATCCTTTTTTTGTATTACAGGCAAATACCACATACTTGAATTATGCCTACAAAACTTTCATGTAAACATCTCTGATGGATGCTTTGGGCACTACAGTACAGTACTACTAAAGTTTTCAGAACAGTGTCTGAAATACTTTGTTCTTTATGGATAAAGTTCTACATGTAGTCACTGATCTTTTTGGTATATGACTACACTACATGTAGTCCTATCGGGAGCAACAGCTTGAATCTCAAGCTAAAATGGAGGTCAGAAAAGTGGACCTGCCTACCTACCTACCAAAGCCATAAATAACAAGACAGTTAAAAATCCAGATGGAAAAAATCATTGGGAACAATAGGAGAACCTTTGACAAGCTGCTGGCTTCCTGTCCTCATTGAGGCCACTAGAGCAAGTGTAGCCCTCATGTAAATTCAGATAAATATACCCCTTTTAATAAAAATAATAAAAAGATATGGATAGATGAGAAAATAATAAAGTAATACCAAGGTAGAATTAGTTATGTATAGTAGTACAGTATTTGATTTTAGAAAGAATGCCAACTGTTTTATAAACTTTTCTTTATATATTTTGTATATGGCAATTGAAATTCAGCTTGTTGCCAATGTGAGCACCAAGAAAATTCTAATCTACTTTGCTCTCAATTTGGGTATTGGTAATTCTTAGTTTATTTTGATGGATGGACTTATCTGCAAACAATATGTAATACATTTTTTTCAATATTAAGGGCGAGTGTGTTAGCATTCAGCCCCAGATGTACTTGTTTTAGTTCAGTATTCACTGTCATTTAGAATAAATGGGTTAGCATGGGAGAAAATTAATTTGTCATCAGCAAACAACTGGCTTCAGGCATTAAGTGGCATTTGACTGGTCATTGATGTAATTGAGAAAGAGGAGTAGACCAAGTATACAGTGGTACCTCGGAATGCGAGTGTCCCTGTATGCGAGTTTTTCGGAAGACGAGCAGGATTTACTCCAAAAATATGTCTCGGAAGGCGAGGGTTACCTCGGGACGCGAGTTTGTTGATACGTGTACAGGCCGACTGGCGCGTGGTGGCATGGCGATCGCGCCTCAGTTTACCAGTGTCTCGTGTCCAGTGACTATCCCACCTGAATTCTTCACAAGGATTTACAGTTTTTTATCGTTTTTTTGGCCATTTGAGCATAAAAGTTGTCATTATATATCTTGCCATGGGTCTCAAGAAAGCCATTGGTAAGGTTCAACCTAAGAAAATAGCTGTGAGTAAAGGATGTCCCTTCTTGATTAAGAAAATGTGTGAAGTATGGGAAGAACTGCAAAGTTTTGTTGAAAATCTCACCCAGATAAAGCTGTAGCAGGCCGTTGCATTGACCTTTTAAATGATAATGTGATTTTTTACTACAGACAAGTGCTAAAATGTAGGGAAAAACAAGTGTCATTAGACAAATTCTTAGTAAAACAAGCAAGTCCTAGTGGTATGCAGGCAAAATGTGCCAGAGTGTGCATACCAGTGAAGTCCTCACTGCCTGATGTGATAATGGAAGGGGACTCCCCTTCCAAACAGTAACTCCTCTCTTCCTCCCACCTCCTCACCATCTTCCATACGCCTACAGCATTCAACAGCAAGGTAAGTAATAACTTGAACATAGTTTTGTAGGTTTATTTAGATGAATTAGGTATAAAAATTTAGTTTGATGTGGGGTTTTTGGGGTAGTCAGGAACGGATTAATTCATTTCCCTTTATTTCTTATGGGAAAATTAGCTTCGGAATGCGAGTTTTCGGAATACGAGGCGTCTCCAGGAACCAATTAAACTCTTAAACTGAGGTATGCCTGTACTACCCTGTGGAACATCAATATTAATTGACAGTGTGGGAGAGGTAGCATCATCATTCACAGATACACACTGCATGGGTGGTATGCAAACAAGGGGACACAGGTGGAAACTTAGTACCCAAATGAGTCACAGGGACATTAGGAAGAACTTTTTGAGTGTCAGTTATTAACAGATAGAATGCATTAGGAAGTGATGTGGTAGAGGAAGACTCCATAAACAGTTTCAAATGTAGATATGATAGAGTCCAATAGCCTCAGGCATCTGTAGTACACCAGTTGATTGACAGTTGAGAGGCAGGACCAAAGAGCCAAAGCTCAACCCACACAAGCACAACTAGGCGAGTATTGTTTCAAGATTCAAGCTAGAATAACTAGAAAGACATTGCATGAACTGGGTAAGGAAGTACCTCAGAAAGGAAACCATAGGCCACAGTAAGAGACCATATATCAAGCTTGGGATGAGGCAAGCCGGACTCTGCAAGGCTTAGTCCTAGAACCACTGCTGTTTTTAATCTATGTGATCTCATACACGTCAATGTTTGCACATGATGTAAAGTCACTGTGAAAAGTAAAAATTATGACATTACTTAATTGTGCAATGTTCAGGCTAAATCAGGGAAGTTCGAGTACTAGACACCTTGTAATCTGGAGTGAGGTACTGTACAAATAGTACTACATGTATTTACTGTCGGTTCTGTTGAATATAGTGCCAAACAGTAAATCACTGCTATAAGACCAAAGCTCTGAAATCCTCACTTACAAATAATTCTAAATTACAGGATGTGTAATACTTGCTACAATATTTTTGCTTATGACCGTTTCAGTTTAGAAATATGACGCTGACATTTCAGTTAAAATGTATATTATTACTAGTTTAGTTTAGTTCATTTATTATGCACCCGATACCCATCTTGTGGGCGGTAGTGGAATGGGTTACAGAGGCACATAATGGACTCAGGGACTGAACCCCACAATTCATTTAGCTAAGCAAGTTACAATCTTGATGAGCTAGTTACAAAATTCAGGATAAGTCGTCACATCAACAATGGGTTCGAGATTTACTACTGTACTGTAGAGTACAAATTGACTTGGTATGTCAAGTTGACAATCTCACCAGCAAGGCTCCCAGTTGAGTTGATTACCAATCAACCACACCGTCTCGGGGTAATAGCACTATCATATATATCATGCACACATGTCTTCACTATATTTCCAGTTCCAACACTTCTTCCCACAAGATCTGGAGTGAGCGCCCGGGCCACTGTTCATACTTGACGTTTGTTTACCTCGGACTTCAGCCACAAGAAGAGCAGCGCCCAGCGCACGCCACTACTCTCACATATTAAATAATTATAATTCATAGGAAATGTATATGTTTATCTCTCAGAATGTTTGGTAATATGATTATTGTTTGTGATGTGTGTCTATGTATGTATTAACACGATGTACTGAACGGGGTGAGAATAGCTTGAGCTACCTCATCCCTCTGTGTGTATTTTACCTCAATAAACTTATTTCATTTTCAATTATTATTCGTTTTAATAATTCATTGTGTCGAGGAACATTCAGGTTGTGTGTATATATATGCATGTTAGGTTTATGTCGAGGGTTCCCATAGGCTTGTATCGAGGTCCCCCAAAGGTCGAACTACTGACCCTCCCCAGGATGCAAATTGAGCCATTTAGAGATAAATCTAAACTCACGTTGTATGAAATGGCAAACCCTTATTACTAAGGATAAAATATCTGAAATCCTTGCACTGTATCTATATTTCGCTTCCAGGAGATAAATTGCATATGAGATTAAGAATTTTTAGATTATTTCACTTATTATGTCCCCATACTCGTCCTGTGGGCGGTAGTGGAAATTTAAGGCTACAGACATACATAATGAGCTCAGGGACTGAACCCCACAATTCATTTAGCTAAGCAAGTTACAATCTTGATGAGCTAGTTACAAAATTCAATGCACATCGTCACATCAACAATGGGCTCCAGATCTGATTCAAATTCAGATTCTTTATTCAGGTAAAGGTACATGCATTGCAGATGAGTTACAAACATAATGCTGGATTTAAAGAAAGAGCTAGTACATACAGTACCTAAAGCCACTAGTACGCATAGCGTTTCGGGCATGAAACGATCGAAAGAAACAAGAAAAGATCGACCACAACTTGCACTGAATTGCACAAAGAATTGCAACCTGGAGTGCTACTGCCCTCACTAGGATCCCAAAGCTTCTGTGAAGCCCAATCGGGTTTTCACGCAGTTTCCCATGCACCCGGGCTCTGTCAACCAAATGTTCTACCTCTACGCCCCTTACTTCAATACACAGAAATCACAATAGCGTAATATGTCAAATTAACAAATCCACAAGGGCCATTTTGAGTGTTCGAACCTACGCACGGGATGTTCCCAGATGCGCCTTAGTCAACTGTGCCGCGACATGGTTACAAGAATTGCAACTTTTATGGGGGATTGGTGCATGGGGAAATTGTGTGAAAATCCGCTTGGGCTTCGGGATCTTAGTGAGAGCAGTAGCACTCCAGGTTGCAATTCTTTTAACCATGTCGTGACATATTTGACTAAGGCGCATCTGGGAACATCTCGTGCATAAGTTCGAACCCTCATCATGGCCCTTGTGAATTTGTTCATTTGATATATCACGCTATTGTGATTTCTGTGTGTATAGCATTTAGGAACAACGTTTTATACATGTTTGGAACATGTACAAGTTCACGTTGAGCTCCAAAATCATTCCAAGGTATGGTATAGTAGGAAGGCTGGCAAATGCTCTTTAATATTTAAATTACAAGACCTTGCATGTGGGACATAACAATGCATGACACAACTACCAAATCAACATCAGCTTGCAGCAGACTGACGAAGAAAAGGACCTTGGAGTCAGAATCCAATCACTGAAAGTTGCACAACCAGTGGGATCTGCAGTAAAAAAAAAATCCTGGGAATAGTCAAAATAAATGTTTACTTTAAGGAAAATAAGGTAATTGAACAACTGTAAAACACAGGTGCACCCATCCCTGGATTGTTGTATCCAAGCATGGAGACCTCAACTTCAGAAATGTTTATCTGCTTTGGAGAAAGTTCACGCCGAGTGAACCAGCTCAAGTAGATTCCCTAACTGACCAAGTATTATGGTTCCTATAGTCAGGGACAGGAAACCTATTAACTAACTTATTATCAAAAGAAGGCACAAAGTCTGGAAGACTATGTAGCACCAGGAGATTTGTTAAGCTCATCAAGATCCCTCTAGGTCAACCGCTAACCGTTTCTAGGATGCAACTCACAAAAGTTGCCCAAGTCCCTCCATTTCAAGTATATGTTTATTAAGATAAGCAATAAATACATCTCAAAGGGATAGAGTAGCTTAGGCTACTTCTATCCCCCTAGTCCCCTCCATAATACCAATTAACAGCATGATGAACAAAGGCATTGGGTAAAAGGAAATGTACTCAAGGACGTCTGTCCTGTCATGGTAATTGAACCAGAGATCTTTTGGTTGTTAACGGACTGTGCATATCATATCTCATATGAATGATTTACTTTATCTATTAAATACAAACATTACAGCATTCTGATCTAGTCTTGACACTACATTTACTCTCCAATGAATGCCACTATGTAGGTGACCATTCAAGATTCACTGCACTGCACAGCTATAGACTCAATCTTAGACCAAGAATTAATCTGGCTGCGGCCTGATGAAAGGCCTCGCTGATCGAGTCTCTGCAGTACCCGACAGTCCTTTTTCAATAGTACAAAAGGCATTCAGTGTATTGGATGCCCTACAGCCCTACAGCCCAGCACACACACCCCAACCACCATGGGAAATCCTTCTGGGATAAGTCAGCAATTATCAAAATAAAGTGCCAAGCAGGGAAAACCTTTCACCCATAGGGTTATAAACCCATGGAACTGCCACCTACCGAAGCTGTAAATGCCAAGAGATTACTTCAGTTTAGAATCCAGAGATAAAAAATTCTCATGAACAAAGGGGGACCTATGACTAGCTGCTGGCTTTCTGTCCCTGTTGAGGCTATTATAGAGATAATGGCCCTTAGGTAAACTCAGTTAAAGTATTACAGTATATTAAATGCAGTTCAACCCTTCGATTTCAGACTCTTGGCTTATGTTTTACCCAGTTTCCGATTTAACAAAATTGCACCTTAAAATTAGAAGGAAACTGAAACAAATTTGATGTACTGTATAAAGTATTTCGTAAAATACAATTTTTTTTGTATTGATTTAAATCTTCACTCTTACATCTATGAATGTTACAGTTGTTTCAGAGGCACAGATAAGAATATGGTTTGTTTGATAAAGTTTACTAACAAATATAAATACTAACCAGACATTTATATCGTAGTGGAATTCATTTTGCTAAACTCTATTTTGCCTTGTCATGTCATTCTTACCTTGTACGATAGAAACAATTCAGTCGAGTCAAGCAGCATACATGAAAACTATTTTATAAAAAATTTCTTTCACATACAGTACAGTATAACAAGCATTTTCACAATAAGAAGAGAACAAAAAATATTTACTAAATAAGTCCAAACTTTTTATTATACAGCCTTGTCATATTTCTACAAATTACAGGTTACTTCAGTACTGTATTTAATTTTTGAAAATTAGCATATAGTCTTTAATTGTTTAAACTAACAATTTCACACCAGCAGTTCTTTTTATTTACATAAATGATTAGAAAAAATCATATTTAACATTTTATTTTAAAGACGTAGAGGTGGCATTCCCAAACGAGCCCTAAGAGCATTTGCTTCTGCAATTTCCAGCTCTTCTCTACTCATCCCCAAAATGTTATCTCGTTTGCTACGACCACTGCGATGATGTTTCTCTTTGCGTTCTCCACGATCGCGATCCCTTTCTCTGTCCCTATTTCGCTCCTTACCATGCTCTCTCTCTACACGCTCACTATGACGATGTTCACGTTCCTTTTCTCCTCCACGACCTCTTTCTCGGTGATGGTGCGGATGATGACCTAGGAATAGTAGACAATGTAAGGTCTGGAATGTAGCAAATATCTAATTAAATATAAAAATGAATCAAGTGATATTTTGTGAAATAGCAAAATAACAAGATGTAAGTTTTGAGCTAGAAATCTTAAAGGATAGGAAAATTATAACGGAAAATAGCTTTTAAGGATTTCTTCTATAATAGTAAAATGCAAGTACGTAACGACAATTCAATACCAGGCCATATGTGCTCTCATTACTGTATATAAACTATTATCACAAATACAGCCAACAAGCATACTAACAAAGATTTGTGAGTATGATTTGGGGGGCCCCAGACATCATGTGCTGTCTGGGGCTCTTTACAGCAGAGGCTGTATTAATACAGCCTGAGTTTAAATACAGCACAGGCTGTAAGGGGCAGCTCCATGTAGCAGCACAGGCTGTACATGGAGCTACCACTTCTCCACATCCTTGGGGGAGTACCAAAGGAAATAGGCAGTTAACGAGCAGAGCATAAGAGCCTGTTATACTCAGGAACACTTGAAAAACAGAACTCACCTCCCAATCAAGTGTGCAAATCTGACAGAATTCCTACCAAGCCCCAAAGAAAAACAGGGTTGTCAACCAGCCAGGATGAACCCAAGACCTCACAATGCAGCCAATAAGCAGAGACAAACCCATGCTCAAAAGAGACTGGGTCCATCATAGGAAAGGGGTCCAAGTTCAACAGGAGGTATCAAAGCTAATCCATATGGACTACTGAAGGCATAGCACAGGAACACTGAAATCTCCAGAAATATGACAACTTCGAGGTATTGTACCAGATCTGGAAAGGAACCAGAGGGAGAGCAAGCGAGAGATCAATATCGTTGATGGTGGGGGATAGTAAAAATTATCTCTTTCCTGAAGAAAAGGACCCTCTGCAGAGGAAACCAAAGTCCATGGAGGATTGAAAGGACACTTATGGACCCTCCTTGGGCTTCCTCTCAGCCCCAGAAGCCTGCCATGAAGGCTCCAGGGCAGAGCCAAAGTCCTCACACAAACATCTGTGACAGGAAGGCATCCTCCCAAGGAGAAGGTTCAGAACAAGGGGGGGTGATTGTGAAGATCAATGCCCCCGTAACCCTAGTGAAACCAGAAGACTCAACTGCCTCTGCCATCAACATGGAGGGGACCACCCTTGGAGAAGGCTTAAATACACTCCAAGCTAAACCCCTCACCCGACTCAGAACACTCAGATGTTTCCGAGCCGGAACCACAGAGGAAAGACAAAAAAACAGGGTGAACCACACCCACAGGGAAAGAAGGAGACAGAATTAGTCCAGGTGGAGGTCACCAAGACCTCCAATTCCTGGTCCCTAAACACTATTGGGGCCAACTCTGGGGCATCCAGCTGATCACTATGATGCAAATGCCTAATCCGAGTAAACTTAGCTCGTAAAGTGACGGCTGCTTGAAAAACTTCCAAGTGCGAAGCAGAATCAGTCAGATAGGACACCCAATGATATATTATTTCATACCTCTCTCATCTCCTTTCAAAAGGGTACATTTAGAGAGCTTTGAAACAATCCCAATAATTTATATTCTTTATTGGGTCTATGCATTCCATATGTATGCATAAACACTGTATATTCTGTACATGAAGTAAGTAATTATCAAAAGAAGGCACCAAACCGGGAAGGCTATGTAGCACCATCAAATATGCGGTTCTGTACATGAAGCAAACACTAAAATTAGGAACAATAGAACAAACAAATGGCCCCCCTGCAGGACAAAGTCCAAGGATGGACAACACTCTACTTGAAGTGGCAGGGATTGATCATGATGAGTCCTCATCTGCAAGAGAACTAACCACGGAAGCCAGCTGAGGACTGAATACCACCTGGTGGTGGTATTCGGAACTAATGAGTTTTGAGCTAGTTTGAATGAATTATTTCTTGTGTGTGAATCGCTTGGCAGCTTCAAGGCTTTATTTTCTGTGACTATTCCAGTTGTTTGTAAAGCTTCACTGACTTTCTGGAGGCTTTTTCCAGTGGGGTGGTGGACTGTCACACTCTCTCCCTGCACCTCTGCGAGGGGTGAGAGGGGGGCCAGATTCTGGCTCTGGTCCCTGGCCAAAGGGAACTTCCATGATTGATGTGACCTTTCAGTATGGAGCAATCTGAGCAGGATAGCTTCAGAAAGCCACTAAGGGGTTCCCTCCAGAGAAAAAAAGAAAAAGGAAAACATATAGGGATGATTATCATTCCAGATTAGTAAGCACATTCTATATAACTACAAAAAAATAATTACAGTATGTACTGACCTGGAGATCGAGATCTAGATCGATGACGTTTTTCTCTTGATCTGCTGCGATGTCTTTTCCTTTCTCTTTCCATCCCTCTTTCACGCTCCACGATTCTATCCCGTTCCATAGCTCTTTCCCTTTCCATTAGCCTTTCTCTGTCCATTCCTCTTTCTCGTTCCATTCTTTCCATACCTCTTTCTCTTTCCATTCCTCTCTCTCTATCCATTCCTCTATCTCTATCCATTCCCCTCTCTCTGTCCATTCCTCTATCACGTTCCATTCTATCCATTCCTCTTTCTCGTTCCATTCCTCGATCTCTCTCCCGTGAACGACTTCTACTGCGATGCCTGTTACAATAGAAAAGGAGAGCAACAATGCATTAATAAATTTAATGCTATTCATTCTCAGAAATATTCATGCAATTTGAGAGCTGCCTAATCATGAAAAACTCAGCCTGGTTTCATAATAATTACAAATCTGACCGAGTACTGTATAAATAAAATCCCTATTTTTAGCTCATTAACTTAAAATCTTGGTGACCTATGGTTAGGATCTAGTATGGTCTCAATAGACCAGTTTAGTGAGTAAAGAAATAGATAAAACTAACCAATAAGCATGATAAAAGCTGGAAAATAGCTAATAATCAGTGACCAAGGTTTAAAGAGGAATTCAACTAACAGCCATTATAGTGCATCACGAGTCAGTAGGCTTCCATAAATCCCTACACCAGAAGATAATGACAGAGGCATCCTACAGCTTAGCAACCCATTATACATACCAGCTCAATTTGTACTTAATTTCATATTAAATATACTGTACTTTTATTGCAAAAATCAACAAAGTATAAAATGATACATATTTTTTTTTTTTTTTTTTTTTTTTTTTTTTTTTTTTTGAGATATATACAAGAGTTGTTACATTCTTGTACAGCCACTAGTACGCGTAGCATTTCGGGCAAGTCCTTAATCCTACGGTCCCTGGAATACGATCCCCTGCCGCGAAGAATCGTTTTCATGAAGTAGTACCTCACCTCCCCAAAGTAGTGACCAAAGGACCGCGACCCCACCCTCCCCAGCTGTGTGCAGGTGTAAATAAGACTCGTGGGATTAATTGATAACTATAATAATAAAATAAAGATGCTATATAACTATATACCTGTATGCATATAATGTACTGTATTAATCTTACAAGTTAATAAAAACATTAAGATAGCAGTTATGGCAAGTGAGTACAAGACATGTAGGATCTATAACTGTGGAATTGTTTCCATAAGCAAAAGTAATCAGGTGTATGTCTTGCCCTGGAATGTATCACAGTAAAGATATAAAGAATCTTGGGCATATTAGTTGATGCATACAACAATAACAAAATCAAAGGCTTTTTCATTTTCACTGCAAAGCATTTAATACCCAAGCCAATGGCTAAGTCAGTGAACCTAACACTGCCATCATTAATACTGATGATAAAACTGAAGAGAATACAGAGAAGACATTTATGACAAAATAAAACTAACCTTCCAGGTCAAAGGAACAGAATCTAACCCCATGTTATTACTGGAAATGGGAGTCTCAAAGATAAAAACCGTAGCTTATGTAAGGCTGTGATAAAGTTGGAATGGGGAGCTTTGTTGTGGTGTTGGCATCATTTCTTTATAGTAATAAAAGGTAGTGACCTAATGGGTTAGTCAGGTGTTAGAGAAAGCACTTCTTGATGGTCATTTGATGTAAAGTATCACATAGAAAGGTCGAGTCTTAAAATAATTTCTGGCTTCAGTAAGAAAGTAAAAACCCCTCACAGTGTTCAAGAGAGAACTTGATACTAAGCCCTCAAAATCATCTCAAGGTAACCTCAAGGTATTCATTATAAGCTTGACTGAGAATTCTCCATTAACTTCACGTGCTAGCATAACCCCAGAGAAAGTTTCAAAGGTTCCTGACTGCTCCAGTACAGAATGATTAACCTCCCTAACTTCAGTAGGTCCTAAGTAAGAGTTAATAGGATCGTGTTTTAGGAAGCAATAGAGAATAACTCAGAAGATATACAAAACCATACACCAAAATGTAACCTACCTCTTTTCTCTTTCTCTGTCATTTCGTAAATCTCGCTGTGGGGATCGTCTAGAGGGAGAGTGGCCTCTGCCATGCCGATCATCCCTAATGAAAAACAAAAATTGTTTCTTAAAAAGCAATAAATTAAACGGCACTAATTAGATTTAATTCAAGCAATAATTTTCACAAATTGTAACTGTCATATGCCCTAATACATTACTAAAATAATATAAATATGTGTACAACAGTACATATAATTTAATACAACAATTTAATACTCTAAATACTGTACAACTAAAACAATAATGATTCTCTCATTGAACAAATTGAAATTTCAATTTGTTTGATGACAAACAATTTATGACACTGCACAGTATATGATATGTACAGCACTCAAATAACAATAAATGATTCACCACAGGTTGAGAATCCTCTAGTACTGATACCCCCACAAGAGAATTCATATTACATAACTTACCTAAGTGCCGTTCGTGTTGGCTCTACTGGATCATTTCTTGGCCTTGGCGGAGGAAGGATTTCCTCTTCGTCACTTTCACTCTCGAGGTCATCCAAATCATCATCTAATAAGGATACGCGACCTTCAAGCTCATTGTTAGCTTCATGAATCCATCTGCATAAAGAAAAACTCACAATGCTTAATTCTTAGTTAAATAGCTTATTCTCCATCCTTCTCAAACCATTTAATCTATATAATTTACCTTGCATGAAAGTTGTAATGGCTTTCTTCAATATTTATATTATTATCTTTTTAACATTAACCTTATACTGTACCTCTTTTCTAATTAAGCTATTGCACTTATCGTACAACACACCCTGGACACATAACAATACCTGGAATTCTCTTCATTCAATTTGATTCTTACTTTATATCCTAAAAGAAAGTTATCCAGCCATAATTCATATGGTAAATTTTACACACATTATCTAATACTAGCTACTATATTAAATATACTATATTACTTACATTGAAAAATATGCAACTAATCAAGAACAAGAAAAAGTTGTTTTGAATATAGTGAAATGCTCTTTTCTGTCCTGAACCCATTGTTGCTGCCATACTCAAATGCTCCCGTGACTTTTATCCCATCATGACACAGGTCTTTAAAATATCTACTATAAATATGTATACAGTATCTAGAAAAAAAGAAGCAGTGACAAGTTAAACCCAAGACATAACATCATAACATGGTGAACCAGTTTGCTATAATACAAAAGAACAAATCAAACTTTCAAATCAAACATCCTCTGCAAGCAGAAATTAGAAGCACTGTACCAAGACTGGCAATGCTCACTCTGGAAATTACTGTTAGCAGATCAAAGCTACACTGACCGCCATCAGGTGTCATCACATCAAGGTCGGAGAATGTTCGCTTGAAATCTAGACCATCCAAGCTAGTTTAAGGAAGATAGGACAGCCAATGGGATCCAATGTAGACTACAAAAATGTGAGAAAAATGCAGCAAGGGCAACATACTCACAAATAACATGGGCACACAAGAGTAGGAAGCATGTTCGCTTGAAATCTAGACCATCCAAGCTAGTTTAAGGAAGATAGGACAGCCAATGGGATCCAATGTAGACTACAAAAATGTGAGAAAAATGCAGCAAGGGCAACATACTCACAAATAACATGGGCACACAAGAGTAGGAAGCAGGCAGACAAAGTTTCACAAACCAGAAAACTATCAGCAATAAGTGAGTTTGTAAACAAGGCAACTCAGACCTTGTAAACAAGGCAAGGACAAAAGAAGAACGAGCAGTCCACAACAGAATGTGGAAGGCACATTCTTGAATAACAGGGACGGAAGGAAGGAAAAGGAACCAGCACTCAAGTTAACAAAAGACTCGTTGCCACCACAGAACATACAACTTATCAACAAAACAACAAAAAGAGCAGAAATATCTGGCCAACCTGACACTGCCAAAAATCAAGCATTTACCATTATGAAATGCCCCTGTCTGGTGGGGCATTTCTAGTACGCCTAGAACAACAACAGATGGAATGTCTGGGCACAGTGCCGATCATCCAGCCATACACAATGAAAACTCACCCCTCAGTCATGTGTTATATCAAGGGCCAAGTCAACTCGGGTCAACGGTGCAGGAGGTCACAATGTTATCAGTTATGTTATCTTAGCCTTGCTAAGACTAAGGAGGACTTTGATGTAGAAGTAGTAATCCACAAGGATTACTACTTCTACATCAAAGGATGCCGAAGATCTCATATGCCCTTACAGCTGCATATAAGATCAAGATCAGATTGAGGATAGACAGATGGGGGTTTGGACTGTGTATGGATGTGGGTATGTGATCCAAGATTCTGGAGGATGACGATCAAGTACCCTTGTTGAGTATAGAGCACTGGAAAGTACGTACAGTACAGCTCTCTTATATTCAACACACTAGACACATGGTATAACTTTGGAAAGTTATTTATTGCTTTCACATTAAAAAACATTTTATAATGATGCACTGGTAAGATCACTTGCATGGGAAGCAGAGAGAAGCAGGCAATATCACCACTACTCCCCTACAATGACACACTGTTTCCTCTTATTTTAGCCACATGGGGGTCTTTAGTTACATAATCGATAATGAATATATTGTAATATACTTCATGGTTTTAACAATTATATTGGATGACACTAAAGCTCCTTTATAGGGCTGCTACCATCACTACAAATACTACTGTGTGCTTACAGCCCACTTAAATGAATAACATGTAAGGTATTAATAAAAAACAAATATGGAAAGATTGTCACTGATTGTTAAACAATGAAGAGCTAGAACATGCACTCCTTAAATTAAAACTTCCTGCACATTTCATACCACATTCAAAATAGTAACAGGAATCGATAAAATTGATAGGGAAGAATTCCTGAGACCCAGAACTTCAAGAACAAGAGGTCATAGATTTAAACTAACAAAACAAAGCTGCCGGAGAAATATACGAAAATTCACTTTTATAAACAGAGTGGTAGACAGTTGGAACAAGTTAAGTGAGGTGGTGGAGGCCAAAACTGTCAGTAATTTCAAAGCGTTATATGACAAAGAGTGCTGGGGAAACGGGACACCACGAGCGTAGCTCTCATCCTGTAACTACACTTAGGTAATTACACTTAGGTAATAATACAAAACAAGAGTTTAAGTTGCTAATTCCCATGGGACATCTCAAGTTTGTTTTCAATTTGTTATTGACACTTGATACTGTACAGTATAACAAAATGTAGATAAAAACAAATATATTTTTATTTACATCATGTTACTCTCCATTCAAACTAACATTACAAAAAAATTGCCCATCATAGTTCCATATATAAATTTTCACAGACATACTGTACCTTTTTTGAACTCTGGGTAAAATCACATCATTTGAACGTTCATCTCTTAATAAACTATCAATATATTCATCCATGTGAGCAAGTTGGTACTGGCCAGAACGATCCATAATGCGTAGCTTCCTATAGTCATTAAGAAGAGGTTCCAAGTATTTGTAGCAATCCAATGATCCATATACGAGCCTCAGGTAAAATGCCCCCAAAGCACGAACATACCTGAAACAAAAAAGTTGTATCCTAGAAGATTTTACATATTTTTTTTTAATTTTGAAATGATGATCACCCTCAAGAGTTAGGTATTAATCACCAGAGGACAACTAAGAAGGCTATCCAAGTCTCCTTTGATACTCTATTTCTGATACAAACAAAAGAACAGTACTGTATTATTAATTCATAAAACAATCTGTTTGGGATACAATTATGAAGCTTTGCAGTTTGTACATTATAAATTTATACAATAACTCCTAAGAAATTCTAAAGTCAAAGGTGTAATGATTATTTTAAACTATTCCATAAACAAAGAATTGCAGAGAAACTTACTCAAACAAAAAGCTCCTAATGATGCAATCCAAAATGAGAAATCCCAAACATCCTGTGGTATTAGGATATGAGTGTAGAAGGCTTGATGCAGTTACCCATGCAAGTATTTGACAACACTCAAAGTTATACTCCCCTAATGAAAATTTAAAATGATTCTTCAAACACTCAATTGATACAATATATGAGTTCAGTGAAAACCTTCCAATCAACATACATAATTGCTGTAAATTTCAAGTCAATGTTAACTGATGTTCTTAAAGAAATTGCAAAGAAAAAAAATTAATTATCTAAACCATTAAGTTAAATTTAATAATAGTACATACTTAAATTCATCTTGTTTGATGAATTCGATAATGATGTCCTTCTCAGGTTGGATCTGTAGCATCTTCAGAACAAGACATAGGAATGGTGTTGGTTTGATATTGCCACCATACACACCACCAATACACCTGAGGGCCATTGCCTTGTCGACTAGTAATTCCGCTGAAATAATTAAAAAAAATTAAAAAGGCGAAGTACATTAATATTTAACTCCTATTAATAAAACATGTTCCTGTGGCAAATAAAAAGATAATAAATTTATGCTATAAATTTACACTAAGAGGTAAACATTCAATTTGTGGTGTCTTCTGATGCAGCAGACTTTGCAACACAGTGCAACTCAGATGAGATGACCCAGTAATTCAAAGCAAAGGCCAATCTGGTCTCATTCTCTAAGCATGCAATAACAATGTCTGTGCCTCACATTCCCTGCTTAGAGTTGTCCATACTTATAATACACATACTGTTTAACAGTGACATGTATCTGCTTAACAATTGTTTGGTGGACGTATGAGATGCTAAAGTGGCCTTTGTCCTGAGATGTCAGATCATCTAGCCTGAGTTATGCCGTCTTGTGGGGATGCCACAAAAACAACAATATGGCATTTATCGATGTAATGTAATATAACCAGCATTTTGGGCTGGGAAGTGGCAGACCTTCTTAGAAAAAGTATTCAAATAAATGTTTCAATCAGGAATGGAAAATATATGAACTCTGGGAGGCTACTGGAGTGTATCCACTTTTTCCACATAACCTTATATTTGATACTCATTAATTCATGTACAGAAGTATAATTTAAACACCTCTCTTCAAGCAGACAGTTTTGAGATAATAATGAAATAATGTATGAGAGTTTGAAGTGGAAAAAATGGATGTTAAGAGTACTGTAACTTGTAACTGCTGTTCAAGCACATGTTAGTGATGGGTTTAATTACAGTACTGGCACTTCAAGGATGACACCAAGAATATTATGTCAACACAACACAGAACTAAAAGGATTATGTGCTTCGTTCACGTCTACTGCTTGAATTGCACCTATCTAAATGCTTCATCAACACACTACAAATACCAATACTTGCCAACAGAACCTAATTATGTAGCCTAACCTATGCTAAGCATAACTATTTGACACATTCTAATATGTAATAATATTAATTTATATTTAAGAAAATACCAATTTGGAATATGCAGTACGCTGAAATTTATGACTGTTTCTTTGGGGTCGACTGCTGGCTGGACGACCTAGCCTGAGGACAGTTTAAGTTATTGACTGGTACACATCCTCCAAAAGCAAAGCTGAAATTTGCTTACATGTTCGACGTCACAGACATGTACAAATTTAATGAAACTAACTTGACATATATATAAATTGCCAATCTTAATCAAACTTAGAGCAATGTCCCAAGCTTGCCTTTCCATTCCCATCTATAATAAACTGGGTAAGAAAGCTTTTCACCTACCTGAGAGGGCAAAACATTCTTCCTTCCAGTATCTAGAGTCGTATATTCTGGTTCTTATAATCTTCTCGACTAAATACTGTGGGTTTGTGCCATGGATGGACTGAGCGTCCTTCACGGTGCGGTTAGCCATGTTTACCAACACCTCCCTTGGACGTTCTCACACCTTGGTCGGTTCGTACACAAGGCCGTGTGCAGGCGGATTCAGATTACGATTCTTTATTTGTAAACAAAGTTTTTAATAGTTATGTTAGTAACACTAATTTTTGTTATTAACAAGCTTAGGTATACACAACAATGTGCTACTACCATATTTTATATGAAAGATTATAAAGTGTAGACAAAACTATCTATAAGTTCATCTAATAATACCGCAACCCGTCCTCGACTCAAATCCATTACATCCACCGGTCAACCCCACAGGCCCATAGATATGTAACGGTTCTATTGTTACGTAAAGTATGGTGACAATAAACACAGACACTAAGATACTATATATATATTTGGTCGAATATACAGAAGTACACAGGTGATACTTTGGTGTGAGTTGAGCGCACTGAGCGTCGGTACAGTATCTCGCAAGTGTCTGCTCTAGACCACACTTGAAAGTAGACTAGTTAATGTTTGCTATTCTTGCTGCTTATATTGCTGGGGCAACATCTCACCGTGTTGCCCGGGCAACGCCTCACCTCATTCATCTCCAAAGGTTGACAGGAACATTAACACTATATTTGGAGCGAGTATATTATTGGGATAATCTACTCGCTACAGATACATTCATAATTTTTTACATGCTGTTCATTTAAAACGATTTTTTTCAAATATAAATTAATATTATAATGTGTTAGCATATTGTGCATATATAGGCATAGGCTAGGTGTTTAGGTTCTGTTGGCGATTATTGGTATTTGTAGTACGTGGGTGAAGCATTTACAGCGTTGTGATTGGACCAAAATTCGTAAGTGAATCACTTGTTCTGGAAATGTTCGAATGTCATCAGTTGTGAGTCGTGTGTAAACTTTTATTTATTTATGTATACAAGAGTTCTTCTTGTACTTATCATTCATTCTTGTTTAAACCGTTTTTTATTCAATAACAGGGGGTTTGGCGGGTGCGTGGAATCACTTTTGGGTCTTTGTTTGGAGGACTGGCTGCCGTTCGTCCTGTAGTCAACCCGTTCTCACTAGGGTGTTTAAAGCAGCGGCCGTCCTCCCCAGACGCATTCATCAATTTTAACATACTGTGTATTAAACATTGGTTTGTTTTCATATATAAATTAATATTATAAATAAAAATTCGATGTATAGTTTGGCGTAGGGTAGGTTACCTTAGGTGTTTAGGTTTTGTTGCCGATTATTTGTATTTAAAGAACGTGGGTGAATTATTTACAGAGTTGTGGTTCGAACAGAGGACATGAGCAAAGCACTTGTTCCGGAAGTGTTCGGACGTCATCAGTTGTGAATCGCGTGTGTAAACCGTTTTTCATTCATAAACAGGGGATTAGAGTTTGTCAGGGAGACAAACTCTTGCTCTGAGTATAAATAATGTTGTTTATAATGGATGTTACAACATCTATTTTGCATGATTACACACCATTTACTGCGTAACATAATAGAAGTAGGATCCCTTGATAGTTTCAAGCGTTAGACATATATACGGCAGTCTCCGTGGTGTAGTGGTAAGACACTCGCCTGGCGTTCCGCGAGCGCTATGTCATGGGTTCGTATCCTGGCCGGGGAGGATTTACTGGGCGCAATTCCTTAACTGTAGCCTCTGTTTAACGCAACAGTAAAATGTGTACTTGGATGAAAAAACGATTCTTCGCGGCAGGGGATCGTATTCCAGGGACCGTAGGATTAAGGACTTGCCCGAAACGCTACGCGTACAAGTGGCTGTACAAGAATGTAACAACTCTTGTATATGTCAACTCAGTCGGTCAGGTGAAGTCACAGTGAGAGGTTTTGTTAACCGGAGCTCCTGGGTGTTGTAATATTTTCATAGCAATATGGAAGTTGTAGTTAAGGACCTGGTGACTCTAGTGGGAGCCCTGAGGACAGAGTTGGACTCTCTGCGGGAGGAGGTGCGTCAGCTCAAAAAACAACGAGAAGTAACGAAGGAGGAGACCAGCAGTAAAGGGACCTCGTCTTGGAGAGTTGTGAAAGACAGGGGCCTTAAGAAGACTTTGATAAAGCCGCCTTCAAACGCCATAGCAACTTCTAATTCATTTGACGTTTTGGAGGACGAGTGCTGTGGAGAGACTGTGGATCGCGCAAAAGGGAAAGCAACGAAGAGAAAGGAAGCGCAGGCCCCTCAGAAAGTAAAGGAAGTACCTAAGCAAACATTAGTTGTGGGAGATTCCCAGATAAGGTATTTGGATAGAACGTTTTGTGCTAGAGATAGGGGGAACAGGTTAAGGGTTTGCTATCCCGGAGCTGGCATTGGTGATATTATAAACAACATGAATGATATTATGGCTGGTAATGGGAACAATCCCATTATTTGCATTAGCGTGGGAGGAAATGATGTTGGTCGAGTCAGGAGTGAGGAACTGATTCAGAGGTATAAAACAGCCATAGAGTTAGTTAGGAGCAAGGGAGGAATCCCGATCATATGTGGCATTCTTCCAAGAAAGGGAGTGGGAAATGAATGGATATCGAGGGCACTTGGTGTCAATTGCCGGCTGGAAAGATATTGCAAATCAAATGCAATATCTTTCATAGACAACTGGGAACACTTCTATGGAAGAAATGAAATGTATGCTCGTGATGGGGTGCATCTATCGAGAGCTGGGGTTGTTGCTGTTGCGAACTCGCTAGAAGAAGTGGTTAGAGGTGTTTGTTTGGGTTTAAACTGTTAGTAGATAGAGGTATGGGAATTGATTTGGAGGAAGGAGGTAATAAAAGTACCTGTTTGTGGGAGAAAGGAATTGGCAAAACGATCAGGGAAAGAGAAGGTCCGCAAAATAACAATTCACTTAGGGTATATTACACTAACAGTAGAAGTCTAAGAAATAAAATTAACGAATTAAATGCTCTTGTCTGCACAGAAAAAATAGATATTATTGCACTTACCGAAACGTGGATGAATGTAGAAAATAGAGAACTATTAGCTGAATATCAAATAAATGGTTTTAAACTATTTCACACAGATAGATATATTAGACGAGGAGGGGGAGTAGCCATATATGTTAGGGACAATTTGAAATGTAGTCTCAAAGAGGGAATCAAAACTGAGCCACACACAGAAACTATTTGGATAGAATTATACGAAAAAGCAAATAATATTATAATAGGAGTAATATATAGGCCACCAAATTTAGACAGAATGGAAGCAAAGCATCTATGGGATGAAATATCTAGAGCATCTAGATCTAACAGTATTTATGTCATGGGTGACTTTAATTTTAGCGGAATAAACTGGTTGAACAAAACAGGGAATAGTGAAGCAGAAGATTTTCTAGAATTAATTGACGATTGCTTTCTTACGCAACACATTAAGGAACCAACACGGGAAAATAATATTTTAGATTTAGTGTTAACAAACAGGGAAACGCAAATTAGTGACATCGAAATAGGGAGTGAGCTAGGGAGCAGTGATCACAAAGAAATCAGATTTAGCATAGAATGGAATAGACCAGTAGGAGAAAATTCTGTTAAAGTGCCAGATTTTCGAAAAGCTGATTTTAATAGCCTAAGAAATTTTTTGGGTCAAATTGATTGGAAAGGCTTGGGTATGGGGTGTGGGCCGGTCTTGGAGCGAGACATGAACCCAGCGATAGGTGACTTAAATGGGGATTTCGATGTGGATTCAATATATAACTTATTTAAGAATATTCTAAACAAAGCACAGGAACGTAGTATACCATACAAATTGAATAGATCGTATACTAATGACCCAAAGTGGATAACAAAGAATTTGAAGAACCTTATAGGTAAAAAGAGAGCTTGGTACAAAAGGATTAAAAATGGGGAGGTCACTTTAGAACAGGAATTCGTACAACTGGTTAGAAATGTTAAAAAAGAGATAAGGAAAGCAAAAAGAAACTATGAAGTTCGCATAGCAGGGCAAGCAAAGACAAATCCTAAAGGGTTTTTTCAGTTATATCGTACTAAGACTAGGGAAAGGATAGGTCCATTAAAAACTGAGACAGGTCAAATAACAGATAGTGATGAAGAGATGAGTAGTATTTTTAATAAATATTTTGTATCTGTATTTACTAAAGAGGAACTTAACAATATGCCTTCAGCCGAACAAGTCTATGTGGGTGGGGACGAGGACAGGTTGACGAGTTTAGCAGTTACCAGGGAGGATGTTCTTAAACAAATAGTAAAACTCAAACCAAACAAATCCCCAGGGCCGGATGAAGTGTTTGCTAGGGTGCTTAAAGAATGCAAAGAGGAGCTTTGTGACCCACTGTCAACCATATTTAATAAATCAATAGAGTCAGGCAGAGTGCCAGAGTTTTGGAAAGTTGCTAATGTGATACCAGTTTTTAAGAAAGGAGATAGATCACTTGCGTCTAACTATCGACCAATTAGCCTAACGTCTATTGTGGGAAAGTTACTCGAATCTATAATAGCAAATAAAATTCGTCTTCATCTTGAAAAACATAAATTAATAATTGAGTCGCAACATGGTTTTATAAATGGCCGTTCATGTTTAACAAATTTGTTATCTTTTTATTCTAGCATTGTTGAGGCAGTTGATAGTGGTAAGGATTGCGATGTTGTATACCTTGACTTTAGCAAAGCTTTTGATACAGTGCCACATGAAAGACTGATTAAAAAAATAGAGTCTCATGGTATTGGGGGTGCTATATTAAGCTGGATTAGGGCATGGCTATACCAAAGGAAACAGAGAGTTAGTATAAATGGAATCAAGTCAGAGTGGGAAAATGTTGTAAGTGGAGTGCCTCAAGGCTCTGTCCTGGGACCTCTGTTGTTTATAATATATATAAATGATTTAGATTCAGGTTTGAGTAGCAACATTTGCAAATTTGCCGATGATACGAAAATCGGTAGGGAAATTAATTCGGAGGAGGACTCACTATCACTTCAAGTTGATCTAGATAGGGTTTTGAAATGGTCAAAGGATTGGCAGATGCAGTTTAATGCTGATAAATGTAAAGTTCTGAGGTTAGGTAATGATGATAGAGTTACAAGATACGAGCTAGATGGTGTTGTGATTGCGAAGTCGGATTGCGAAAGGGATCTGGGAGTTATGATTAGTAAGAATTTAAAACAAAAGGATCAATGCATAAATGTTCGTAATAAGGCAAATCGGACACTTGGATTTATTAATCGCAGCGTTAGTAACAAGACACCTGGTGTGGTTCTCAAGCTATATCTTGCTCTAGTTAGGCCCCATTTAGATTATGCAGTTCAGTTTTGGTCGCCATATTATAGAATGGATATAAATTCACTTGAACGTGTCCAGCGTAGGATGACTAAGTTAATTCCCCAAATTAGAAATCTTTCATATGAAGAAAGATTAACAAAGCTTAAGTTGCATTCACTGGAAAGGCGAAGAGTTAGGGGTGACATGATAGAGGTTTACAAGTGGATGAATGGACATAACCGGGGGGATATTAATAGGGTATTAAAAGTATCAACACAGGACAGAACACGAAACAATGGATATAAATTGGATAAGTTTAGATTTAGGAAAGACTTGGGTAAATACTGGTTCAGTAACAGGGTTGTTGATTTGTGGAACCAATTGCCGCGTAACATTGTGGAGGTGGGGTCCCTCGATTGTTTCAAGCACGGGTTGGACAAGTATATGAGTGGGATTGGGTGGTTATAGAATAGGAGCTGCCTCGTATGGGCCAATAGGCCTTCTGCAGTTACCTTTGTTCTTATGTTCTTATGTTCTTATATATCTCAAAAAAAAAAAAAAAAAAAAAAAAATATATTAATGAGATTAGGTGGATATAAATAAGAGCTGCCTCGTATTAGCTAGATCCTCCACAGATCTCCAGTATCATCTATTGATACTGGCAATGGCTCAAAAGAGCCACCACTTACAGGCTATTCATGTCTGTGCCACCTTTTGGGTGGCTTACTCTTCATCAATCAATCTATGGGCCAGACACATAGCACCGCTCTTGTGCCAGGTAAGTCAACTACGGGATCGCCATGGCCCGTGCTACTTGCCCCGCTTCTGTGCCAGGTAAGTTACGGGCTCACCATAGCCCGTGCTACTTGGAACTTGTTCCGAGTAGCTGAATCTATAACAACAACAGTATGGGCCAATAGGCCTTCTGCAGTTACTTTGATTCTTATATTCATGTTACGTTTAATGAACACAAGACATTTAAGTACTTGAAGAGCTGACTTTGAATCACAATATTACTAATACAATGTTCTTCAGTGCGTTAGTGGCAAGTTATAGTGCAACTAATTCTGTATGTGTGAGGCTGAGCAAGTTATTCCGTCTCACACTTGTGACGATTGATTGATTGATGAAGATTAAGCCACGCAAAAGGTGGCACGGGCATGAATAGCCCGTAAGTGGTAGCCCTTTTGAGCCATTACCAGTATCAAGAGATGATACTGGAGATCTGTGGAGGTGCGGCTGCACCCTGCGTGACGGGAGATGTCTACCTCTGATTGTATTATTAAATGTCTAGCTAATGAAAATGATTATTATAGAATTTTCATTGATTTACAAGGAGCTTTTGATAAAGCCAACAAAGAGGTTATTTTATATGAATTAGCTAGTCTTGGTGTTAAAGGGAAATTATTGCGCTGGATAGGGGATTATCTTTACGAAAGGAAGGCTCAGGTGTGGTATCAAGGTTGTATGTCAGGTGTGAGGTCTTTTGAACTCGGCACACCTCAGGGAGGAGTGTTGAGTCCCACCCTGTTTAATGTACTAATGAATAAGATAGCATCTGAGAGATACTCAAATGGGGTAACTCCGATCATATATGCCGATGATATTTTGTTTCAGGGCAAAGATATTTCAAAGGTTCAAACAGTGTTGGACAATTTCGGAAACCTGTGTCACCATATGGGACTGGTGGTTAATGAAAACAAAACTAAGTTTGAATGTAGAAGTCGGAGCCCCATTGTTTTGAAAATAAACGGTAAAAATATAGAGAGAGTTAATATATATAAATATTTAGGCATATATGTTGGATATACCCATGAGAGTTTGGAAGCTGAGATGAACAGACTGTTGGGTCAATGTCGGAAGAGATTACAACCTCTGAAGGCTTTGGCATGCTGTGGAAAGGGAGTGGGAGTCCCTGTGCTACGAATGTTATACTTGAGTACTGTAAGATCTCTTATTGATTATGCTGCACCTGTCATTTCTTGTTTTGGTAAAGGTAGGATGGGCAAGTTGGAGAAGGTACAAAATGAAGCAATGAGAATTATCTTAGGATGCCCAAGAAATGCTATGATTGAGATAATGAGGATGGAGTTGAATCTGCAGAGTATTGGGGATAGAATTTCAGAGATAAATGTAGCCTCTGCCATTAGATTAATGAGAGGTGGGGGAGCTAATGAATTAATCCTCTCGGTTCAAAAGGTGGGAAGTAGTGAACAGTGTATGATGAAGAAGAGAGTATATATGAATAAATTATGTTATAATGTTATAAAGTATGATGTTATTACAGAGTGTATTGCTGTGCCCAAGAGAAAATTTACACCACCATGGGAGGATTGTAATGTAGATGTAGTAATTACTCCCTTGCATAAGAAAAAAGTATGTATGAAATAGGAGAGCTGAGGGCAACATATGATTGTATAATTAGAAAACTGCCTACGGAAAACACTCTACATGTATATTGTGATGGGTCAGTAGCTAGGGATGGGAAGGCAGGATGTGGAGTCTTGATCAGGGAGTACACTGACATCGGCACTGTAGATACTGTTATTGGACGCCGCTTAACTGACAATGTCTCTTCAACGCAGGCTGAACTCCAAGGAGTATTAGCAGGATTACAGGAAGTAGTCAAATGTGGTAAAAATGCTTGCTTCTTTATTGACAGCAGAGGAGCGTTAGAGTCTTTAAATAGCAGACGCCCAGTATATCAGAATATTGTGATAGAGTGTAGAGAGAATGTTAAGAGACTAGAAAAAACTGGGTATAAAGTAAGATTCATGTGGATCCCTTCACATGTGGGAATACTGTTGAATGAGGTAGTTGATGACATAGCGAAGAGAGCCACTGAAAAAACTCTTGTTGATGTTGTATGTCAGTTAACCTTGAAACAAATAAAAACAAGACTCAAGGTGATTCAGGAGGGTGAAGAAATGATAAAGAGAATGGCATTGGTGGACAGTAGTAACACACTTAAGAATTATTCAATAATAAATATAAATTCGTCCTTCACTTATGGTAAAGGAAAGTCTACTTGGAAGGATTCAATTTACATGAGATTACGATTAGGATATAAATATATCTGGCAATACGGTGTTGATGTCAGTGAAAAAGATAAGGAGTGTAAATTATGTAGCATGCCGTACGCCCATACCTTAGAACATTATGTATTAGAGTGTCACCTTATTGAAAAATATAGAAATAAGGAAATAAATAGTGTACCACATCAAATTGTTTGGATGTGTGATAATGGTATAATAGACAGTATACTTAGGAGCTACAAGAATTTTGCCCCAAGAATGTAACAATTATATGCTGTACTTGCTGTATGCAATGTTAAATGGGATTCTTGTACTGTTATATGTCTATTTGTACTCATTGAATTTGTGCGCCCCTTGAGGGACTTGAAGTAGAGGGGGGTAGAAATAGCCTAAGCTACTCTATCCCTTTGAGATGTATTTATTGCTTATCTCAATAAACATACTTGAACTTGAACTTGAGATGTCTCCCCACACGTGTGGCTTATCAACAGGCTCTTTATATTGACCAGACCACACACTAAAAGTTGAAGGGACGACGACGTTTCGGTCCGTCCTGGACCATTCTCAAGTCGATTAATCGACTTGAGAATGTTCCAGGACGGACCGAAACGTCGTCGTCCCTTCAACTTTTAGTGTGTGGTCTGGTCAACATACTTCAGCCACGTTATTGTGACTCATCGCCTGCACAGGCTCTTTATAGTCTAATTTTCATGTTCTTAAGTAATAATACTTATGCGAACGTCTCATGTATACAGGCAAAATGCACAATACCGTGTTTTCTAGTTATTAAAACGGTACGGCAAATACAGTTGGTTGATATTTCTAAACTAGTTAGTGAGGTTAGTTCATTTATTATGCACCCTATATCCATCCTGTGGGTGTGGGCTGGATATGTTATATTAATTTAAGCTAGTATAGTTAACATTTTAAATCCGCTTTCGAGCCGTCTTATGTACGATCGGATCTTCACGCAGGCGAAATGACACTCCTCGTACACATGCCCAGCGCGACGCTTGGTTGCTGCTCAAGTATTCACATTTGTTGTATTTTAACAAAGGAGTTCCTCTCCTTCTAGGAAGAGAAATGAAAGAAGAATTCCCTCCAGTGTGTATTGTCCGTCGCTACCGCAAAGGCGATGAAACAGTTATCCGGGAAATCATAACAGAGGCGACCATGGAGACTGTGAGCGAGTACTTCTGGGCCGCTGTCATGTCTGAAATATTCCCTCAGGTTTGGAGTCGTATATTTTGTTGTTTTGTAATATACACAGAGGCCACAAACTCTCTCTCTCGGTAGAGAATTTATTTAATATTGTCCAGTATGTACCAAAGTGATATGGTACCAACATCTCTGTGGTGTCAGGAATTACCAAAGCAGAATTATGCAGGATTTCTTATTACTTGTAATTTAATTCTAATTTTGTCTGATTGTCCTAAGATTTTGATAGAAGACTTTGCACTTAATTTAATATTTTTATAGGATTCAAGGAAAATTAAAATTTTTTGTTTACAGTACATATATTAAAACAAAAAATATGTTTCAGACTTAATTAATTGCACAAATTTGAATGTGCACAATCATACTATATGCTTACATTTTTTAAATTAATAATTATTAGGTAATTATAAGATTTAGCTCTCTATTAGCTATTGAAGCCACCCAAAGGAATGTCAGGTCTTTATAATTTGTATGGATTTATAAGTAGAATACAATTCCCATCTTAAGTTTAAGAAATGAAAATGATCATATGAGAGCAACAAAGTCAAGACTAAAGATCATGTTGTGTATAATGGCCAACTCAACAAGATGACATCTGCAGAGAGTAAAGGCAGAAAATATTATTTTGGTACCATAGAATATTTGGAGTCTTGACTACCTCTAATCTCCACAGATTCCATCTTATTGAAATGAGTTTCATACACACCGTGTCCAACATGAACCTTAGTCTGGGTTTGTTGCTGTTGACTCGTGCCTTTTTCTGTACATAAATTCTCTAATCTTAGCAGGTGTGATGTGCCTTGCCCAGATCACACAAGGGCAAGGTGTGATTGCCCTTGCCCTTTCAAGGGCAAGGGCACAGACTCAATCATTCACGTCAACCTAGGTTCCTACACTGCAATTTTTATCACTTGGCACTAACATGCACACTAAAACCCTAACCTCTTTAAAATAGTAGGATGTCACCCACATATATCACAGGAGGTGATATCCTAAACAGTAGGATATCCCCCCACACATGGATGTCACCCATGTGCTGTGATGGCAAGATATAGCATGATAGCAAAGTTGAGATAGCACACCTCAGCTTGCTATCTTAACCTCTGGCTACTCCAGCTGATTCTCTACTCTCTTAACTCTGAATGATCTCTTGGCTGCTCCCAGCCTCCTTATATGGGAGAGCCCAACTAGCCTTAAGATCATATGTCTTCATAAAATGCCCAAAACTCACCCTTACAAGGCCACTTGGTATAGAGGACAAACACCCCTAAGCATGGGGAATATGTAGAGTGGCCTAGCAGAGCGCCATAAACCACACCTCGCGCTACCAGTCTACCATGGGTGTGTGCTCGTGCACACCCATGCCTCACACACGCTCACAAATACCAAAACGTGACTACTGTACTTACAATTACAGTACTCGCTTCCTTATTAAGTGTAGTAACCTTCATTCTTATGTTAGCTTGGTTTTTATGCTTCTCCTCTTGCTACTCGCCCCCTTTTCTCCCGTTCCATCTTTCCTTACATTGATTTCGTTTCACCCCCACTCTTGCTGTATCATGATTTGATATGTATCTAGGACTGACAGAAACTTCATCACATTCATTTCATTTCATGTGTGTATGTTGGGTCCTTCGTGAAAATTGTTTATACATTAGCTCGTTTTCCTTTTCTGTTCAAAATACTGTAATGAGCTGTGTATTAACTTCACTTTAATACAGTATGTAATTTATACTTTCAGGTTGCACTTCTGACAATTGCTATATCATTTATTGGACTTGGGATTCCATTTTATTTTTGTCTCCTTGGTATTCCTGTAGCCATTGCTTTCATTTATGCAGTGATATGGACTGCTCACTTATTTAAAGTAAGTTTATACATGTGTTGTTATTATTTCTCTTGTGTGCTAGTCAAGTACATATGTTCAATCAGGTGTTTTGGGTATTGTTCATATGTATTATGTTCATTTTGATATTGGAGTAAGTTTTCTTAATTTTTCGTCTGAGTATTCCTTCACTCCTGTGCAATTTTCACACTGCAAAGGCCAGTGCGGCTTTTTTTTTTTTTTTAATGAAAAGTGTGTGTGTGTGTGCCACATTCCATCTGTCCAGTACTGTATAGCCGCACTACTGAGTCAAATTACAAAAAGTTTAAAAATAAAAATGTAAAAATGTTCTTAGTATTGTTAACCCAAACATTATTGTGTTACAGTATACTGCAAATAAAGTATAATTACTAGGAAAAAATTACATAAACTGTTATATTTCATATTTTTAATTGGCAAAGCTTTGTCACAATATATAAATGGAGATTATTTATTGTTTTAATAGAGAAGCAAAGAATATTTTCTCTTGCAACCATATTAATTTATTTCATCTTTAAACAATTTTCTTGTGAATGCTGAACTTTTTTCAGAACTTTTGTGGATGCTTAATTTTGTCTAATTTATCTATAGCCTGAAGTAAAACTAAATAAAAAATGCTTTTCCAGATGGTCTGATACCTTGTTCCCTTGTTCAAGGGAAAGTATGAATGGAATTTGATGTTTGATTCTTATATGTACAATACTGTATATGTAAGATAAATATGTATATCTGAGGACTTAAAATGTATAAGTAATTTTACTAAGAAAATTTCATCATTATTTTGAACCTCTCCCTCAAGGCAATGGAACTTCACGAGGACTTGAACAATATATCACAGACATACATGTCGGATCCTGATTGTGGATTTTGGGTGGCTGAAGTTCTTGAATATAGTGAAGCAAATGAGCTGAACACACTGGTAAATAAAACTAAGAAGGTGGGTCTTGGTTGTTAGCACCCTGTTGATAAAATCATAACTGATGCATCTTTTGGATTGTACAGAGATTATGCTTTTCACATCGCATTGTGGTTCAAGATTTAAGAGGTTTACAAGATAAAGCTGGCCATCATCAGTACTGTTGTGTATTCACTAATATTTAGTTGTATCATTAAAATGCTAAAAGTTGCTTTAGTGTTAAATTAAAATAGAACTAGCAATGTAATAGTCAATTTTAAGGCCATTTCTTTGTTACCGAGATGTATGGGGATCTAGCAAGATGTGTGAATAGTGACTCTAGAGTTTATAGAAGTGGTTATAAGAGCTTATGTCAGGCATTACCAAAGCAACTGCTTGTTATGGACTGTAGTAGACCAAGAACTCGAGGAGAGGATAATGCAGTTTATCTTAAACAGTATAATGATTTCTGTGATTCTGAATTTTACTAAATCACTGATCACATGATACCAAAATTCACTGTTACTCACAAAACTGCAGAAGGTGATTGGGAGTGAGATTAAGGTTTTTTAACAAGCCTTCAAGATACCAGGTTATAAATAGGAGTTTCTTAGTATGGGTCAGTGAGTCTTCCACGGTTTTTTATATACTGTATTTACATTCTTATGTTCTTAAAAGGGGCAAGAAAATCTTGACTGTGTATCTACGTAAATTACAAGCCTATCATGATGCATTTATGTACAGTATGTTATAACTGATAATATACAAGCAGCATCTAAATTATGCAATACAGTTCAGTATTGAGAAATTAATCAGGCCATTAAATAACTAGGGTTGAGCACCCTGGGAAATGGTGAGGATGTGGACTGCATTTAAATAAATTTATCTTCAAAGGGGTACCCTTTCCATTTGCACTTCGACAGTCCACCGATCTCTCATGTTGTGACTTTGTATTATAGAATACAATAATGCCTCTTCTAGAGCCACAAACTTTAGTCCTCGTGGAAATTTTTATATTCATGGAGTTTTGAGTGTTCTCAATGTCTCATTTCCATAACATTAGAGTGGAATGGGAGGTCAACAAGGTCTCCTTATGTTGGATACGCGAGACCTTCAGCATACCTATGGTGGATCAGTTGGCATTTGCAGTCACAAGCTGTCTGTTTATGTGGCTGCTGTTTCAAATTAGGATGCTTTTGCATTGGGTAAATTTAATTAATTCTTTAGTTTATGAAGTGCATCTTGGCTAGGTTTTTGAACTACAGTATTTTAAATGGGTAGCTAAGATAAACCAGCCATCCTCTTTTAATAGCAAAAATAAGAATTTATCTAATTTACAGGTGGAGTACGATTTTTTGACAGAGGAACAACTGGATGCACAAGGTTTAAATTTCGAAGGACGGAAAAAGCATATTGTTGGTACAGTTGCTATCACTAAATCACTACGTGGAGGTCTGAAGTAAGTAATTAGATACCTTAAGTAGAAGATAAGGTAATTGTTGTATCGGGAGGAAAGCATTAAGTCAAAACCTTGTAGTTTTGACATGTATTTTTTTCCAGATTTATGCTAAAAGGTATAATAGGGTGTAGGTCAGGCACGTAGCATGCAGCCTTTTGCAAGCACGCCTGCGGCCCGCTCAAAGGATATTGTAATTTGGTATATAGTATAATAGACAAAATATTCTGCAATAATTTTTATTAAATGACATCAATTAGTTGTCGTTTGTGGCCCTCATAACATAAATGTGACCCCGTATGACCCTTTGGGGACCCCTTAGTTTGACATGCCTGGTGTAGGTGGTTTGAAGCTGGGATTTTTTTATTTCCTTAGTTTTTTTTTCCTGCTGTGGCTGCTGCTGCAGGGATACAGTTCCTGCTGTGTGGGCCCTAAACTTCTGGCTAGCCCACTAGGTGTTATGTTTCTTGTTTATATTTTACTTATGTGGAGTATATTTTTGTACTGTATTGAGCATATGAACTATAGGGTGAACCTAATCTGCAGCCTGCTACATTTGTAACATGTTGGTGGCATGGATGTGGATCACCCTGGTTTTGGGTATGAATTATGGAAAACCACAGGCAACACCAAAGTTAAATTTCTTCATGTCTGTATGGCCCAGATATTATGTGTGTTTTATGTTTCACATTGCAGCTTTTCCATAATTCCTTTATGTTCAGGTAGATTTCCTTTCTTGAAATGCAGTAATACAGTACTGTACAGTATATGAATTAGTATATGTATGGTGGTAGTATAAATGGTTACCTATTTCTCACATTATTTTTCTTCCTTGACTGCATTTGCTCTGCAGTGGCTTGAGGGTCCCGGTAGTACAGTCGGGTTAGTTCTTGACGCACAATTGAGAATTCGAGGTTTGAATCCCAGGCCGGACAGAAATGGTTTGGCACATTTCCTTTCACCTAATGCTGCTGTTTACCTAGCAGTGTGTAGGTGCTCAGGAGTTAGTCAGCTTGCTATGGAGTTGCACCCTGGATGGGTTAGGGGGAAGGGGCCTCAATAAAAGCCAAACGTGTATGAATACACTGGATTCCTGTTTCCTGGCACTGAATTATTCAATTAAAGGTCTCCTCACATTTGTCCACTATTACATCACTCTTAGTAATTAATGCCGAATGCCACCTTGCCTTTCTATCATCTCCCTTTTTTTATTCTCTGGTTAGAGAGGCTGTGATATTGAAAATATCAGTAAAAAGGTGTATCTTGTTTTTCTATTAATCTGAACCTGGAATTAAAGTTCATATGATAATTATGCAGTAATTTTTTGCAGGGCCTGGCTGAGACGCATGGCAGTGAGGAAAGCTTACAGGCACCGTGGGATTGCCATGAGACTCTTAGATGAGGCAATTCAGTTTTGTACTGATCGTTGCCTTGAAGGAATTGAGCTTGTTACGACAGAATGTCATTATAAGGTAAATTAAGCCGAAGGATAACATTAGATGTTTTATTGCTAATTCTTTTAGAAATGAATCTCGATTTCTATTTGCCATATTTTGAACAGTTACTCTATTGATTTTTTCTTAAGATCTTTACTGATCATAAGTCCAATATTTGTTTTTTCTTTGTATTCAAGATTTTGCAATATTATATTGTCCAGCTAATATCTGGTAACCATTATCATTACCTTGGCTTGGGATCTTACATTTGTACTACCGGGGCAGAGGGTCCTGGTAGTACAATCAGGTTCGTTCTCGATACACAATCAAGAATTCCGGGTTCAAATCCCAGGCAGGACTTAGTGTAACATGGGAGCCTGTCAGCCGAGTGGACAGCACACTGGACTTGTGATCCTGTGGTCCCGGGTTCGATCCTGGGCGCCGGCGAGAAACAATGGGCAGAGTTTCTTTCACCCTATGCTCCTGTTATCTAGGAGTAAAATAGGTACCTGGGTGTTAGTCAGCTGTCACGGGCTGCTTCCTGGGGGTGGAGGCCTGGTCGAGGACACTAAAAGCCCCGAAATCATCTCGAGATAACCTCAAGATAGGATAGAAATAGTTGGGGCACAAGGTGCTGCGCTGCTTGCTTACCTACGCAGCAGCTGTGTTCCTGTTCCTTCTGATGGTGTTTTACCTTTGTAGGGTTTTTCTTTTATTTTCCTTGCCTGGAGGCGGGGAGGGGGGTTTGCCTTGTTCGGCTATTAGTCCACATATCAGGGTTCAAGTTATTTGCTCAAACCCCCCCCCCCCCTTCCTTGGTAGCTTTCGGTTAACTGGCTAGTAGTGCCTTGCCTGGGCTTCCCGTAGCAGACAGCCTTTGGGCCCTGGAAAACCCCATCGGGGCTCGGTTGACTTATGGATGCGTCTTCAGAGTGCCACCTTGCCTTATGTGAGATTGCCAATTGTTGTGTGCCCTTACCTCTGGGTGACAGTCACCTGTTTTGCCTCCGATATGCTGCCTGTTGGGTCAACGACACCTTTGACGCGGAGTCATGCAAGACGTGTTTTCTTGCATGCCCAGGTTCTGGCTCATGGTCCTCAATAGGCTGAACTCTATTGACTGATGCTCCAGATTAATATAGTGTACTGTATATCAGTCCGATAGCTCCAGGGAGCCTCCAGGGATCACCCAGAAAATGGTGTTTCATTACATTCAATGCTGGTTTTTTCATCAATATTTTAATTATTAAGTCTTCAGCGCTGGTATGATGCAGGGATGACTTCTGAACTGTTTCAAGAAGGCTCTTCATCCACTCATGGCTGTGAATGTGTTTTTTTTATTATATTTTATTTTATGGAATTTTATGGAAATAATTACCATTTAATTTTCTAATGATCTCTTATTTATTTATCATTTCAGGCTAGGGAACTATATTACAAGAGAGGTTTTGAGGCTCAACATACCTACTTTAAGTATTACTTCAATGTCCAGCAACCCATGTATCTCTTCTGCTTGTCTTTAAAACCACCCAAAGCAGAACTTTCTGAAATTTCTTCATCATAAGTTAGTCTCAATGTTTTAAAGTGTTTTTGTTATGATAAGACATGTGGTGAAATCACCAAAATATTATTTTTACATTTGTTTAAAGGTAAAAATATTTTTCTAGGGATAATATATACTGTATACTGTAGTAAAGTCTTTGTCTAATGAATTAATTTATATATAGGTAGCTAAATCTTGATGTTGGACAGAGTTGTTCAGGTACAGAGGTTTTGCATGTTATTGTACCTTGGTATGCAGTACTGTATAATAAAAAATTACTGTTATGTTCATATTTATACTAATGATAAAATCCAGTACATATTTTCACATTTACCTTCCAAAATCTTATGGAAAATACATTTTTAATATAAATATTGAATAATAACGTATCTTTGCCACTCACTTGAGCTCCTGCCATCTTATTTTTCTCCGATGCCATAATGTTTGTTCATGTGTGGTGTTCAAAGATACAATATTTGCTACTTTTAATTATATTTTTTAAGTAATTTAAACAAAATTCAATACATTTAATTATTTCTAGAATGAGTGTTGTGCAGTACTCTTCAGTGTTGGGATACGTGAAATTAAGCGTCCCTTCAACAGTATACTGTGTGCCATTTTTGAAGACATAGCTAGACAGTTTTCGTGTCTTGTTTATACAGATCTGTTCAAAAGACCACTGTACAGTAGTTATAAATCTTTGTTAATTTATAAAAGTAATAAATTGTACACTGTAAGTGTAATAACTTATATTGTCAATAATTTATTTTTGCTAATCATTCCTTTTCAGTCAATGGAAAAAACATTGAAAATTGAAAGATAATATATATTTATAATATATATTTATATTTAATATGTATGTATATATAATTACTTTTTATTTCAAATAGTTTTTTTTTTTAAATTTTTTAACTCAGTCCTGAGTTCCTTATAGAATATGGAGTTAATGAATCTTGACTTATTAATGAGGTGTAATAAAATACCCATAATTAATTTTTATCGGAATAAAAATCTTGTACAGTTCACGTAATATTTTGTTTTAACGTTTGAGTTGTGCATTATTGATTAGTGAGAATTAAATTACTGTATAAGAACAGAAAATGCTTTAATATATTGAGATCTTTCAGTTTGTAGTTATTTTGTTCATGTCATTAACACTTTCGCAGGCCTGGCGGGCCACCCGCAACGCACGGCAAGATAGGCCGAGTGTTGCCGGTGAGCACACAACCCATTGTTAAACCCTTTCACTCACAATATTTATATTCATTAATAAGAATAAGCAAAAATTAATGGACGACACCATCATCGTCATGCCCCAAACTGTATGTACAGGTATTGTTTTGATGCAACCCGTTCTCGCAAATTCGTAAAGTCAATATTGACTTATTAACTACGTGCATAGGTGATATACTAAACATAATAGATACCCTTAAAAAGATTCATAGAAAACACCGACCTTACCTAACCTTGTTAGTATCTTAAGATAAGCATCTTATTGCTTTGTAATTACAATTATTACTTAACCTATACCTATTATAGGTTAGGTAATAATTGTAATTACGAAGCAATAAGATGCTTATCTTAACATACTAAGTAGGTTAGGTAAGGTTGGTGTTTTCTATGAAGCTTTTCAAGGGAAACTATTATGTTAAGTATGTCACCTATGCACATATTTAATAAGTCAATATTGACTTATTAAATTTGCGAGAACGGGTTGTTTGATGCTGCTGAAAGCGTCATCACAACGCCAAAGTGTTTAATACCCTATTTTTTTTTTTTTTTTTTTTTTTTGAGGACGTTTCCCTTGAGGGCATGCTTGCATAATTATTTAGCACTATATAATGAGCTGCTGAAGAAAAATATTAACATGAAAGACAGCAAGGCCCATGATCTATTATTTCTGCCACCCGGTCTCATCACCTGCATAATGAAATGAATACTACCGGTAATTGGTGGTAGGCTTAATGTAACTTTCATGACTGACAGCTAACTAGCTGTTATTAACCATGTGCAGGTTCTTAATCATATTTTATATGTAGATGTTACAGTATACCTTCCACCAATTATCAGAAGTTCTGGTTTCATTATGCAGGTGATGAGACCAGGTTATCTTGAGGTGATTTCGGGGCTTTAGTGTTCCCGTGGCCTTGTCCTCGACCAGGCCTCCACCACCAGGAAGCAGCCCGTAACAGCTGACTAACACCCAGGTACTTATTTTACTGCTAGGTAACAGGGGCATAGGGTGAAAGAAACTCTCCCCATTGTTTCTCACTGGCGCCTGGGATTGAACCTGGGACCACAGGATCACAAGTCCAGCGTGCTGTCCGCTTGGCCGACCGGCTCCCTAGCCTATTTTTAGTAGACTATTGGCCTTGGTTGCCATCCATGTTGATGTTTGTATTATAATCATAATGGCTGGAGTGTTTTCTCCTGATAATTATCTTTACTTTAAGGATTTTTATATTTTGACCCTAGATATGGAAATTGGACTGCATTTTTATGCATGTGTTTTGCAATGAATCTTTGACCTAAGGTTTTATTGAATATTTGGACGAATTTTTGTTTTTTATTGATAAAGACAATGTGAAGGGCTTTGTTGATACTGTTTATTGTTTGCAACTAGTTTTATATTACATAATGGTTACTATGGACACCAGTATAGATGGTGTCAATAGTAAAGTAACTAGTTCCTATTATTTTGCTAATGTATTTAAATGTTTTTCTACCTTTGGTATGAATTTATGTTTGTAATTAATAATGTATATGTTATACTGTTAAAAGCCAGTATTGAATGTAGTGAAATGCCTCTTTCTTGGGGGAGCCCCAATGGCTTCCTGAAGCTATCTTGCCAAGATAACTTCAAGAAGCCACATCAGATGGCCCACCCCTCGTCTGGTGGGAAAGGTGCTCATGTGCTAAAGAGATTACATGTATGTAGAGATTCAATTGTTTGTTTACCTTGTTGCGGAAGTCTGCTTGGCAGTTTTGAGGCTTTGGTCTCTTAAAATCCAGCAGTGGTCTGTGTTGACTTTCTGAATGCTTTCCCGGTGGGGTAGCAGTCACCTACTGTGCTGCTTAGGGGGATGATACCAGGAGCCAGGTTCACAAAGCACTTTCAAACCTGTACATCTTTTCTCAATCTTTGGCGGCTTTGTTTACAATTATTAAACAGTTAATGAGCTTCGAAGGAGCTTCGAAGCACCAGGAGGCTGTTTATAACAATAACAACAGTTGATTTGGGAAGTTTTCATGCTTGTAAACTGTAACCAAAGCTGTCATAGATTGAGGAAAGATGTACACGTTCGTAAATACTTGCGTAACTGCTTCGTGAATCTGGCCCCAGGTCCCTACTCTGGTCCTTTATAAACCAAATGACTCTCCAGCTGATGTGACCTAGAAGTTGGGAGCCATCTCGGTGAGATAGCTTCAAGGAGCCACAACGGGCTCCTTATTTGACAGTGTTGGATAGCCTATGGTTTTAGTTCTGGACCACAAGCCTAAATCTTACACAGCAACTGAAATAATAGTAAATTTATCTATTATATCTAGAAGTAATTTAGGCATTTCGTTGGATGTAAAATTGTGTTTTCAGTAAACGAATACAGTGTAAGCTTGTTAATTTTAATGTAATAATTTAGTTGGAGTTATTCCTAAGAAAGAGCTTATTACTAAAGCCTACTGTGTAATATGTAAGCCTACTAGTACTGTATATTGTTAAATTATTATTATTTAAATGAAAGTAAATTCCTAAAGACATTTTAATTTAATTAATATACTAGTGCTAAAGCATGGATGAAAATGTTCCACCAAGATGTGAATTAGTGGTTATGATCCAAATAGACCAATATCAGTGACACTGATAAAGCACAATCAAGGAATGCTCTAGGATTACTTGTGCCTATTTTGTCTAGATGCATAAAGTTTAATTATCCTTAATTCCCATTTTATTAGTTTTCTTCCCATGGATACTGCTTAGTCATGGCATGCTCTGTTAATCCAGAAAGCAATTGAGTGTGGCTTATTAATTTCTTTTTGTGGGCAAACTGGATGTACCAAACATTTAGTTTGTATGAAGCCCCTGACTTAACGGCTGCCAACACTGTTTTACGATCATTGTAAATTGAACGTACCCTACTTTAAGTTTAAAGACAATTTTCTTGAGCCAGGAAATGCAATAAAACATGCTGACAGTGAAGCAGCACAGCAATCAATGACAGCAACATTTTAGAAGCCACACAGTCTACAGTACTTTGCATTCAGTTTGATATTCAAAGATTGCTAAGACAGCATACTACAGCTGGAGGTAAGTCGAGAATAACAAAGCCACCAATCTTCCAATGGTCTGCTGCTGCACAACAGGGCAGATGGTGGAAGGTTGTTGGCTAAATTTAGACTTGCATAAGATTAACTTGCACATCCTGCAAGAATGGCACACAAATTCAGGTGTGATGTCTGTGAGAACCTTACATAAGACATAAATTACTACACTAGGAAATTTGACTTACCAAGGTCGTATTTACGTGCACACAACTCCAATATACTTAATCTAATAGTCTGAAGACCTTGAGACAACTTGTGAAATACCAGTAAATATTCTACCACAATCTTGTGAGTACCCTCAAACACTACCCCCAGTCACTACTTGAAACAACCAGCATTGGTATGATATTTAATGCCCAGCTACAATTGGGGAGATTTTTCACCCTGGTGCCCCTGTTACCTAGCAGTAAATAGGTACCTGGGAGTTAGCCGGCTGCTTCCTGGGGAAGTGTAACAAAAAAAAAAGAGGCCTGGTTAAGGACCGGGACGCTAAGCCCCGAAATCATCTGAAGATAACAATCGGTGACAAACCAAGTCCTCACACTGTAAAATTTAAGTATACCATTAGCTCCTAATTTCAAACTGACATGTTATCTTCATATCTGTTAAGAATTCTACTGGAACATTGCATGCATGTTCCATATTTTTTAATGTTCTCTTATTAACAATTACATTTACTTCAGACATGTTTTATCAATGAAATATGAATTTAGTTGGATTTATGTTGTACCCCAATTCCATGAATGTTCCAACATTCAGAGATGTTATCTGCACACAATGCAGACTTAAGGAAGAGCATTGTGTATGAGAAAACAGATTGGATCCACACCCTACTTCTATTAACTTCTTTGCATATAAACAGTTTTTAATGCTATCAAATGTGTAATTAAATGGCAATACTAATTGTAATTAATGAAAATATAATGGGATACATCAATAACTTTCATCTATCCAAATATTACAATTACAGTAAATTCTATTTTAGTTATTTTAAATGCACTTTGCAAATTATGTTAACCAGTAATGTTTTCCAATAAACGTTTAGTACTTTACATGTTAATTGTCAAATAATGCAAAATAATTGAGACCACAATTTTATTGGTACGAGTTTCCTTAAATATAACAAATCAATAAATTATGAGTAGGAAGTCAAAAAGTGTTACTGAAAATAGATTACAACTCCCTATATGACGGACATAATACAATATCCTATACACAAATTGAAATTATGTACAAAATGTTTCAGACATACATTGTCTTTGTTTTAACCATGATTACAACATAAATCATTAAAACTTTTAAACAATTTTCTGTAGCGTTATCACTTTGTTAAATAGACATAATTAAAAGGCAACATGAGCATCAATTTATGACTAGCCATGTTAGATAACATGTGCTGAAAATATTAAAAAAGTACCAAATTTCACTGAAGCAAAAAACAGTGTACATTATTACTTTACATTTGTTTACTAATAATTTAACACCAAATCATAATGGTTCCCAAGTTCAGCTTTTAAAGCAGAGGGCAATGAAGCAAGAGCATGAAATACTCAGTCCGATAATGTGCAATGATGCACGTTAATTTAATCATTATATTTTCAATCCAAGCTGTAAATCTGTATTATAAATGTTCACCATATGTAACATCAGCCTGTTAACAAGAAAAAACATCATTGACAATAAATATGGCTGAATAACAAAAAAAAAAAATCACAAAAGCTATTTTTTAATAGAATATTTATAATTAAATTAGTACAGTATTTATAAGTAGTCTGGAAATAAATTAACTACTTCATGTATGAAGATTTTTGTTTACATCATTAATAAAACTTACAAAAATTGCATTACTGTACAGTATTTTTTAAACTTTCAATAACTATCTATTTAACAAAGTTATTATATGACTGTCATTCCATTATGGAATATTTTGTAACCAATTTATTAATTTATAGCAATAAATAAGATGTTATTAATAGATGCTGTGGTACTTATCTGAAACATTGGTTACTATCACTTTTATTGTAGTTCAAAATCAATACTTTGAAGTTTTGTATTCCAAAAAGTTCCTAATTTTTTTTTATATGCACTTTACCTAACTGCCGACATACTGGTAATTACTGCAAATTTACTATAAAGCTTTTTCTAAACAACTCTTCATTTTTCAGCATTTAATGAATGAATAAATTCTTCAAGCTTCTCCTGGATCTGCCTCACTCTCTCTGGAAAATAAAACCAGTTTTTAAGTAAAATTCTTTAAAACACACAAAATGACTGTGTGCTAGATGATGGTTATATTTCCAGTAATAGCCACTCACTCAGCAATGCACACTGAACTCCACTGTATATGAATTAGCTTATTGTTAATACCAAAAAGGTTCTGATGTTGGGATTTAAGCCCCAGACCAGGAAATGGAGCTGATTAGGTTATTCAGTGCAGTTTTCCACAGAACACAATAGAACACAAGACTTTAATGTAGAACAATTGTGTTCTACATTAAAGTCTACAACTACTGAGAGAAGAGTTAAGAAACACTGCCAAATCACCTCACCCCTGCTAAAGATTAAAGTAAGAAATATATACCTGTATTTTGCTATTAAAATATTTATCTACATTCATCTCAACCTTGAGAACTAGCCATGTGTAACTGCCATGTGATACATGATCAGGCTCGGTGTCTGAAAGATTTTTTCTACCTAGACTTTTTCTTTAATTCAAATTGGGCTAATTTTTACCGAATAAGATTTATAGGAGCAACAATGTATATACCAAAAGCTCGAATGAAGCTTTTACCATTGGCTACCAGGGAGGCTATGTGGCCATATACCACTAAGGAGCTTCCATTTACCATTATGCAAGTGTTGAAAGTTTCACACTAATATGTGAGAAGGCTCTACAGATATCATATGAATGCTGCAAAACTTTTAGGAAAACAAAGCCGGTGAAAACCATAAGATATCCCGTCTGGGGATACTTAATATCTGTTTAATACAGAGATACTCATCTTTCATGCATTGTAGCTTCCCGTCATAAAAACTGTTATAGTCACTGATTAATACACTGCTCCAATTCCCTAAAATTAGGTTATGGTATTATGATGATACTATTGCAAACTGCTTGTATTTGTTAATGAATTCAGAGCTTTTACTTTTTTTGATAATTTTCAATACCATATCTACACATCCTGGAACTTTATCAAGTTTGACAAAATTGTAAGACTTACTTAGCTCCTCAGCTAGCATCACTCGTCGACCAGTTAGTAACTGTTCTTTCTTCTCACGGTCACACCCATACTCTTCTAAAACTTCCTTAATCTCTTTTTCCAATCTTCTTGCTGTAAGGGAAAAAATTAACATGATTAAGAGGGAATGTTGCTTGCTGATGAGTTTAGTGTTACATATACTATACACAAATTATTTTTCTCGCCTGAAATGTTTGTCCCCTATGATTACAGTAATTCGAAATGGCTATGTATTTCTAGTCACAAATTTGTACACCCAACTAATCATCAATTATATAGTACTATATTTTTGATGAAGTTGTGCCTGAGTTGGAACTGACTAGGAGACAATCATTCTCCAAAGGACTATTTTTGACCATTTTGAGTCATAGACCTTAAGATAACTGGAAACGAATAACAAATATTTTTCATTAAATTTCAAACTTTATGATGCAACTAGATATGGGCAATTTAGAAAGGTGTAATGTGAACAGGGACTCCTAGAATGAAAGGACAGAAGCCAGACGAGATGCTATGACAATGCTACAACTTGACTCCGATACCACAAAGTGTAGAGACTGGAAAGAAGAGCAAGCTGAGCGAGGCAATACACCAGACAACACTTGAGCAATGTGCTCCAATGTCATATACTTCCATCATTTCCAAGAGTTTGAAGTGAGATTGCACCAATGTCAGACCAGAACTCCTGCCCCCACATGACGACTAGAGACAAAGCCACATCCCATGCTGAACACATCAGTGAGAAGCTTGAGTGATGGAGGTGGAGGCTGCCAGATGATTAAACTCAGAAAAGACCCCAGCAGAAAACATTTCGATGCCTAGTTTAGGGTGGGTCGATTAGTGGTTTAGCAGAGCATTCCTTGCAATATCTTTGATGCTAATATGTACTTGGAAAGGCTTCTGAGTGAAGTTGAATGAGCTTACTTGAGGTCATGTGGCCTCCATTCTTCAATGGAATAATTTTCTGCCCTCCTTGTGTATAGTTCTGCCCATGGAAATTACAGAACCTTGTCTAAGGGTACTAGACAAGGTTGCTAAGTGGTACAACTCAAATTTTTTACAACTAGAACAAAATTCCTTAATTTAATTAATTCCTACAGTTACTTGCTTCTCAATGTTCATACAGTACTTGATTATGAAAGGTGCGCTCCTCCATGTTACAACACTTCACATTATTTATTATTCATTATTCTCTCAGTTTTATCATTTTCATTACTTCTGTACCAGTCACTCCCACTCCTCTAACAATGAAGAATAGCAGAAAAAGCTTAGAATATATTTCAACAATGAAAAACACTACACATACCTTCACGGTTCATAACTTGTTGCCTCAGTGCATTGGCTGTTATCTTGATCATTTGCTGAATTCTCCAGAATAATACAACATCATTGCACTCCACCTTATGAAGATTTGAATATTAAAAATATGTTACTTCCTCAAAGTCATTAATACACATCATTGCAAAAAAAAAAAAAATCTATGAACAAGTCAATGTATTTAACAATGCACACAACAATTATTATGTTGAATTGTGACTTGCTGCGGGACATTCGCACATCAATTATAAATTCTGATGCAACAAGCAGAGAATAAAATGCTGCCGTTTTGTATTAGTTTAAGTACGAATAAAATGTTTTAGTCAGTCATGAAAGCGATAATAAAAATTTTGACTGTTCCAGAAAACAGGGTTAATATTCCCTGCAACATCTCATTCTCCAAAAAGTTTTTAGCTAATTTAATATATAATACACTAGTCTCAGGGCTGGAAATACAACAAACTAATCCTCTACACACTGGAGAGTGAATCAACAGTGTGTGTGGTATTGTTGCCGACAAACTGAGCCTCCCACATCGATCACTAACTCTACCCACATGTCTTACAATGTAGCGTGACTTACAAGTTGTCATTATTTGTTGCTACGACTTGACAGAACTGAGGAAAGTGCAGAGTTCAGTTTTTCTATTGGCACACATTTATTGGCCAATTATTTTTGTCTAGGATTACTTGTTATGATGCCAGATAACACGACCCGCAAGGATAAGAATCTATAATCATTATACCTTATACTCATGCATTACAAGTGAATTATGTCTGTTGTTGGTACATGTTACTATGTAGCATCTCCACAGGCAAATTCAGGTAAATTGTGATCATGTGAGAAAATAAGTTGAGCTGCACCGTCCTATGACTGCTAGATGGCCATTAATACGGGTCCAGGACGGATTGCACGTGGTTGACCGCGTCTGATGTTGGATGATCAGCTTGCACACTACGTAAACAGCTGTGACTGTTTTAATTTTTACTAATACTTAGTACTTTAGATTAACTAATTAGAACTTAGATCTACCGTTCAATTATGGTGAGATTAATATAATTATAAACCCCTCAAATTTATGAAGTGGAAATTTATCAGCAAAATTGATTCATAAAATATACAGTCCACTTTGCAATAATAATAATTAAATAATAATTCAAATAAATACAGTCCAACTAAATATAAAGAAATTATTCACTGGTAGATTCCCCACACTTGCTACACTTACACTGTTAGTATTTTAGGTTCAGATGCATTATTACATGAATCTGTAATCAATGTGATATTGTGAACAAGACATGCAAAATTATTTACAAACCCCTAATTCTCCTTCTAGTCCTTGATGGTAGGCATAGAAAGCTTTACGGCAGCCATAAGCTTTTGCTAGAGCACGCCGGAGAAAATGTCTTCGATAAACTGGATGCCACGTTTCCCGTATAAATTCATTATCAACTTCAGCACCATGGCTTTGAGAATTTTTACGCACCATAGTTACTTCGTCGTAGCTAAGTGTGTTCTTGTGTGCCTGCGAATAAATGTATAATTGTTGTTTACAAAAACATAATTTGGTTGAGCCAATGGAAAATATTTAGTAGGCAACTACAGTACCTAAATTTAGAATTGTTTGAATCATTAAGAGAATGATTTTTAGAGATCATTCATTCACTGTTTACAAAGCTCTCTTCAGATTTCACAATAACTAATTAAAGTACTACTCATTTCATACTGTAAATTCATTCATTTTATGCCTTAAAATATAAATTCTGGGACCTTATGAATATAACTATATCCCCTTCACACATACAAAAGTAAAAAAATAAACACAAAAACAGGAAAAAAAAAAAAAGACTTCAAGCTCAGAATAAGAGAACTCATACGAGAAGGCCTTTTAATGTACAATGAGGCAATTTACTAAAAGAACTAAACATATAATGCACAAGGCTCACTTAAACTCTCTGCTTCCTCCAATCACTGCTTACAAAAAACAAACAAAAATAAACAGGAAAATAATTATGAAAATCATTCTTAGGGCCGGGATGCGTAATGTAACCAACAGGAAGGACAACATTTTCATAGGGATGACAGTTTAAGGTGTGTGTCCATCATCTCATCTTGCCCTTTCATTATTAGCCCCTATTATAGTCTCCTAACAGGTGGGTATACAGTATTTCCATCTCAGATAAAAGGTGGCAGGTGTTCATTTCAACTGGAAATGAACCCGCGCCACCTCTCGTGGAAAGTGGTCCCATGGAAAGACGTGTCTGTAGAGATGTTATTGGAAACGAAGCTGATAGATATTTCAAAGAAAACATAAGGGTAGCATAAATGAAGTAAATTAGTAAACTTTTGCAAGAGGAGCACCCTGGAGCTCTGTCCTTGAACCTCTGTTGTTTAAGACACATATAAACAAAATAGGCCAAATAAGACTTGTGACTCATATCTTAAAATACAGTATTAACAAGAAGATTTCTGATGATATTCTGCATTGTTAAACCCCTTTTAGATTATACAGTTCAGTTTTGGTCTCCATATTATAGAATGAACATAAATTTTAATAAGCCTGTACAGAGAAGAATCACAAAGTTAATCAAAGAAATAGGAATCCTCCCATAGGAAGAGAGATTAAGAGGCATAGAATAAGTAAGGGGTAGACTCAACTGCAGTATACAAGTGGATGGAAGTGTGTAACAAGGGTGATATTAAAAGGGGGTGCTAAATATATCAGTACAAAGTAGAATATAACTAGGATAACTTTAGACTTAGAAGAGAACTATGTAAATTCTGACTCAAAAATAAAGAGCTTTTAAGAATGCGTTAGGTCTTTTCAAATGTAAAGTTACCCACATAACAGTGCAATATAATGGCGATACATTTATCAGAGAGGAAGCTAGAAATAATTGTGCCGGCAGTGCTACTGCCATTACTACTACTGAAACATGTATATGATGATTTTTAGACACAGATTCCAGAGACAGTTTTAGCATAATGCTACCTATTCTTAGAGAAGGAATGAAGGACAAGGAATTTGGGAGGAGAGGAGTGAGTGGGAATTGGAGAGAGAGGGTAGGAGGAGGAGAATAAAGGAGAAGGAAAGAGAAGTAATTAACAAAAGAAGGCACTAATCCCAGATGGCTGTACTGTACAGCATGGCTTGTGTTACAGAATATTTAAGTGTTCCAAGATATCATTCCGACAGTAAGGTGTAGGAGTAGAAAGAAGGGGGAAAAAAGAAGACAGGAGGAGAAGGAGAAATGTGAAAAGAAAAGTAGAAGGGGTAGAAAAAAAGGGAAAACTTACATAATCAGATAAAAGGAGTTTTTCAAGCTCAGCCTTAACAGCAGCTCTGTTCTTCTGGTCCTCGGTTGGGTAGCACCAATACATCCACTGCTCTTTAATGCTTGGTCCAACCATTTCTCTGGTGTGGCAACAAAAGATATTTAAATCCAAATTGTAGAAATGTGATGACCCCATCACTTATCTCTATGATAAAATAAGTTTTATTCCCCATGCAAAGATAATTTATGTTTTGTGGTGCAAGTATTCTATGTCTCTTGTCTGTATTGGATCCAATGCATCCTCCAACAAATATAGTATACCTATAGTTATTATGGATGGAATGTACAAAATATGGACTGTTGTACATAATGTTCACATTTTGCACTATTGGACTACTACAAAGGGAATGCTAAAAAATGGAACATTATTTATAAACCAAGCCTATCTTGTCCTAGGCCTAAATAAATAATCCTGGGTTTAATACATTACTGTATATGAAATCTTTGCCTAATTTAGCACACGGCTCCCAACTTGAACAATACGGCACTTGAATACTTCATTTGAGAATAAAAATGCACCGTAACTGAATGTTTGCTCGGCACTCAAATGCAAACACACGTAACAGACGAGCCAGTCTCCCAGTACTGTAGCTGTTGTTCACTGCACAACCCCCACTAAACTTCTCTGTAAACTTTGTGTTTTCTTTTTATATTCTTGTGTAAGTCACCATGCACCTAAGGTTGTTTGTGATAATACCAAATGAAAAGAAAATTAGAACCAGATAAACATAAAAAAATAACTAAAAAAAAATCGTAGCAAAACATGAAAATTGTGTTAGCATGTCCGTTTTTGCTACCAAGTTTAGTATACCCGAATCTATGGTCTCTACAATAGTTAATAAAAGAAGTGTGTGTGCAAAATGGGGGAAAGTGAAAAGTTTTCTTGACAAATATCACCCTGACAAAGCTGTGGCAACCCATGTTAAACTTCTTGAATGTCAATGCTACGTCTCACTTCAAAAACATTTTAAAATGGAGGAAAAAACAAATATCAAGTCTCAAGAAGGAAATAGAAAAAGATAACTGTAGGAAAGAGAAAGAACCCCAGAATCACAATTACCTGATGTTTCTATGGTAGGGGGACTCCCATACCAAACAATAGCATCATTTCCCCTCCTCTTCCTTACAACCATCCACATATGCCATCAACTCTTCTCAGCACAGGCAAAGTGAGAATAAATTTGCACTTATTTAATTTATTTATTGTGTGTGTGTGTATTTTTTGTTGTCTGGAATGGCTTAATCCAATTTACATTATTTCTTATGGGAAAAAATTATTTGATACTTGAATAGATCAGCACTCAAATGGTTGCCTAGAATAAATTAAGTTTGAACTCCAAAGTTCTACTGTATACCATAGTTTGAGTAAAAAAGTTCCATGTGTGCTATACTAGGCCTTGGTTTATTTACATGTGGTTGTTTTCTATACCAAGCCATTTACAAAATTAATAGTATTACAAGTAATTTTTTTAGGTTTAACAGTCCATATTTAGTACTTCTATCCATAATAATAATGCTGTAATTGGTATAGTAATATAGCTTGTGTGTGACAGGCTGTAATTTTCTTGCCAAGCAGGATGGAATATCTACAGTAGTAGTAAAATTACAAATGATGACTAGCTCAGAAAAACCCAGTTACATGATGGCAGTTCAAGGGATCCATATATCACCCAGACTAGACATGCTTTTCTAGTCTATTGTCTCCTTGAACACTTACGAGGCCTTTACCTTAAGTACTTGCCTACTTTTTTCTTACAGAAAATCCAGAAAAATGGCATTTGTTTTAAAAACAAAATCACAAACCTGAGAGTCGATTCTGTGGATTCCAATTTTTCTTTTACCGAATCCTCAAGAAATTTGCATGCAGCATCCCATTGCTGTTTATCACTGACTGAACGATCCTCTAAAGCATTTAGCTGTATAACACGCAGAACATCTGCAGCCTGGGTAGAGAAGATGTAAAACTCATTGCATCATATTGTACAGACAAAGGATTCTATTATAAAATCTTACAACAGGCATGTCAAAATTATACAAAAAGTAAACCACTCCTACTTTATCCTCCCATTCATGCCTCCTCATTGCTTCATCAACAACACAGGCCTTGAGGTTGTCAAAGATGGTGTCGTGGTCCTTTGAATTCTTGGCACGTTCCATGAACGTTCTAAATTCATCTTCAAGTGTCACCCAGCCCACTTCCACACATTTCTTTGGCAACATCTGGTCAGCCCACTGCTTTAGTTTAATATCTGCAGTGGTATTAAAAGTACCTGAAAAAAATAAACCATGTACTTTTGACTGTAATGAAAATAAGGTTAATGAACCTGATGTTAAATTTGGTGAAAAACGTAATACTGTATATACAAAAACAATAACCCATCATAAGGAAATATGATCAAAACTTTGGCCATGATATCCTTAAATATTCCCTCCTATGTCAAACATAATGAGAAGCCAAATTTTTGTATTTATATATACAAGCGTTCTTACACTTTTGTAAAGCCACTAGCACGCATAGCGTTTCAGGCAGGTCCTTAATCCTAATTTTCCCCAGAATACGGCCCACCAAATTGTTTAACAAAAAGGTACCCATTCACTGCTGGGTGAACAGAGGCTACAATTAAGGATTGGTGCCCAGTCAATCCTCCCCAGCCAGGATACGAACCTAGGCCAAAGTGCTTGCGAATCACAAAGCAAGTGTGTTACCACTTCACCACAAGGAATGTAATGCAATAGTAATCAAACATTGTACTATCATATCATACTTCTGAATCATACTGTACTATCATATCATATACTTCTTGACAAGGAAGATGTAAATATTAAGACATGTCTTCTCGCAAGGTGGACACAAGGCAATCAAATTGATGGTACACTGACTAAATTGTTACCCACAACAATGGCTATAAGCTGGAAAAGTTCAGATTCAGGTAAGATATGGAGAAGTATTGATTTGGTAACAGGATGGTAGATGAGTGGAATAGGTTCCCTACAATCATTAGGGCAAATGGTATAACTATTGTGGCATTAAAAATAGGCTCATTAGATACATGGGACAGGGAATGAATCTAGATGGGCACTGACAAGGATCAGGCAACAGGTCCATAGCAGTGACTTACACTTCTAACGTTACACTTATAATGTATGGAATGTGAAAGGACATATGTAGAGAGGCAAATTTCACAATAATATTTTGAGAAAGTCCACTACTGGTATATGAAGGTATCCAAGTTAAGCTAAAAATATGGGAACGCACCTGAATTTTCAGTTTGCGCTGCAGGTAAATAAATATTTTCAAATATGTAAGTGACCATCTTATCCCATAGCTTCTTGGCAAGTGCATCTTCCCATTGCTTGGGTGAAACCTGTGACAAATTTACTACTTCATCCAATATATCACCTCGTGCCTTTTCAAATAATTCATCACGATCCAATTCTCGAGTTCTGCAAATACGATAAAAAAATAAGTTTTTACACGAACAATTGTAAAATTACTTGCCTTGCTACTTGCAAATACAATAATTACAAATTTCTTGCAAAACTACTGAAATTACTTTTATATTTTCATCAACAGAGCATTTTAATATAGAGTACTTTCTATAAAAAAGACCCCTTACCTTGGAAAGTTATTTTTCCATTCAGTTTCAAGGTTAAATCGAGTTGCCTTAAAGGCATCTGCCTGCTGTTCCACTGTGTCGCGTACCATTTTCCAAAAACACTCTGAAACGGCAAAACTTAGGTTTCTTGTTGTGCACTGATGACTGTTGATCACACCACCTCTGTTGGCAAGAAATAAATATTATCTACATTAATTTATATTAATATAAGGGTTACAGGTGCAGCAGGCATTCAAATAATTTATATGCAAAATAACTACTGTACAGTCAAATACAACTTATCCACTAGTTGTAACACCAACTTCCAAATACCTGTACTATACAGTACATTAGTGGTAAAATGATTGAATTTGGACATATATGCTAAAACTGCTAAGTGACAAGAAAAGTGAGGTATTATCACCTCTGAAATAGCAGAAGACAAGTGGTACCTTCTTATAAATAACAAATGATGAGCCAGGCACTCTCTCTATCTCATAAATGGTACCAAAATCAAGTAAAAAGTCTTAGTGTCATATAACCCAGCCTCAAACGTAACAGAACACAGGTTAACAAATCTGCTAAAGGATGGTATACAAATGGAAGATGCAGCAAGTCAGGGTTGAACAACCTAATATTGCTGTTTCCTCTCCTTTATTGTACTGTACATGTTCCAGACACCCACACTCACTCACACTTCGAATTATAATTCACCAATTCTATCTAAGACTTTCCAAATGAAACTTTGCTGTTAAAATACATTACAGCATGTCAGAAACAAACTCAGAGAAAATGTGTGTGTGTGCTTGTGTAAACAACAACCTGGGAAGAATTGGAAGAGACAAATGTCAAGTTGGGTGAAGGAGTTCAAGACAAGGCTTGCTGTGCTGTGCTGTGCTAATACTGCGGGTATTTAATTGTCAGCATCATGCTGCTGGAAAGTGAAAAGCTTATGTATTTCAGGAGATAAAACAGTTTAGATTTTCAATATCAAGAAATCATTGAATCAGTGTAAATAATGCATTACACAAGGAAAGTAAATGAATAGTCCAGTAAGAAACTAACTTAGGGTGGACATTAGTGAACAGATCGAGAAATTTTGATTCAAGTATAGTACTTCACACTAGTATTGAAATTGCTGTATTGTAAAAGTGCTGAATCATCGTTTGTTGCAACAAGTATGATTGTGATGCAAGTGGCAGTGACGTTTGACCTACCCCCAACTATGACTTGTGCAGTGCCATCAACGAAGAGACAAGGATTAAGTCCTCCCCTTCCCTCACCTCAGATGACACACATTGAACATACTTTTCTGTATTTCATCAAGTCCCAAGAGCAACACATTTATTACTGTGTAAATGCATTCAATTATCAAGTGTTCTTGATAACTGAATGCATTATTTAACACATACTTTCAGGTACAAAACACCAAATGTACACATGTAAATGTTGAAATATCTAAACAGCCATAAGAATGTGATTCTGATTAAACACAAACTCTTGACCAACACAAAGCCTCTGGTCATTGGCATGATTAATAAATGAAGAAGAAGAATTCTTCTTACAGAAGAATTATTCACAAATAACTTACTTAAATATTCTTGAACTTCTAAAGAAAGACTCTTCGTAATCTTTTATAGCTTGTATGGAGTCATCCTTGTTCCCTCGACCTGTGACCACAGCAAAGTAGCCTATAGCTCGCATAGGAAATAGTTTCCCTGAGAGTATTTTTCTTATCTGGAAAATTATCAATAATTTACAAATACTGAACATTTAAGAATACTAAAACCATAAAAACAAAAACATTATTTATATAATTAAAATTCATCTCACTTCTTTGCTATTTTGTTTCCCGATTGTCAAGGGATGCAAGTGGTTGTTGTCTATTTAATGAAATTACTTCTTGTTACAAGAACCAAACAAATACATTTGAGGAAGATTTTAGTGGACAAAGGGTGAGCTGATATCAAATTGAAACACAAATCAATTTGATTCGATTCATTTAACCTTTCAGCTGTGATATATTTTTCACATTTTTCTCTAGAGGGTCAAGAAACAGCCAAAAATGACTTCAGTATTTGGAAAATGTAATTTTTTATTACAAGAGTAGTTAGAAATGCATGCTATTTTCAAATGTACAATTAAAAGAAATCAAACAAAATTTGAGTTTTGTTTTTGGGGGGTAATCTTTCTAAATTAGTTTTTCCATTTCTATGGGAGCAGACAAAACTTTAAATCAACCACAGGTAAACTTACAATTCTTAAAATGCACAATAATGTTCACTCACTCTGTCTGGATTGGTAAGATTCTCCTCAGCAAGATCAACTTTAGTAAGTACAAAAATAGTTCTTTTGCCCTGGGGATCCATCTGACTAACAAGATCAGTGACATTGGACCGCTCAGCATCCACCGATCCATCTTGAATACACAAAATGATTGCATTGGGATTGGACATGTACTGCTGAGAGATTGATCTGATGGCTTCCTTGGTGTCTGTTGCCATGTCTGTTGTTACCGTCTGAAAAAAGCATCAGTCACATTTTAAAATGTTTGAAACCGAAGATGAAAAAAAAATGAATGCTCTTTTGTGAGCCAGTCCCTTGGTTGCTCCCATTTTGTCCCCCTCTTCCCTGAGTGTGTTTGGGTGGCCTGGTGCAACACATGAGGTTGCTGGCTCCTCTGATCCTGTTGTGGTAGTGTTGACTAGTGGTGGCATTTAGGGGTAGCACCTGGTTAACCATCTGGTAATTATCGGTGATAATTAACAATGATTTCAATTATTGTTCAGATAATTTTTTGTCTAAAGTTATTTCTTTTGTATGACAGAAAGTTACTACTATGCTTGAATTCAATTTGCCACTGTCTTCCTTCCCTAAAGTTACATGACCAGACTATTTGACTGTTTGGAATGTTACTGGTCATGGCTCTTGATCACTAGAGCCTGGCATTCAGAATAACTCTATACACCACTATAGACTAATGGCTTCAGGGAGATCCTGAGGGACTGGCTTAAAAAGGATTGTTTAATTTCATTCAGTGCACTATATTTTGTGGGTACTAGCATACAGTACTATACTGTATTCCTATTTATCCCAAATACCCTTAAGTACATTTTGAGGAAAAATTAAATTTGCACATTTCCCAGGATCAAATCTGTAACACAAATTGTGGGCTTACTGTACACCATAACCATTACTTACACTAATAATACCTGGAAGATCAACAAGCACCATTCGTTGCAATCCTGGACCTTTCACCGTCATGGAGATCACTTCATGGCTTACTGTCCGTCCTGATCGTACACTGTTACGCATCCTTAACTCCACCTGAAAGTTATTATAGATTTAGTGGAAGCAAAAAATAAAGTACAGTACTTTATCACAATAATTCTTATTTGTACCTAACTAATGCATAAAAAAATTCTCTGGAATGAGGAATTTTTTGTAATAATTTGATGAGCAATAAGTATGAGGTAAGTCAGTTGATGGCACAATGTAGAACACCTCACAAGGAAAAATTTACTATAAATTTAAAAAAACAAGTAGAGGGTAAAGAGGATTTGCAAACTAAGAACTAAGAGATAAAATTGCTCCAGTAATCACAACAATCAAATTGTACTTGCTTCCTTTCTTAATTCAGCCAATTCTGATTCCTTCGTGAGATCAAATTCCCGAGTCGAGTCCTTGAATGAGGCAATGTGATACGGTCCCTCACTTAATGTCACCATGACCGGAGCACGTGTCATCATCTCTCCAGCGCCCCGAGGAAATATTCTTGCCTGAAGGATAATTAATGTTACAGTAAGAAACCTATTCCATAAAGACTATTTTTACTACATGTTAATATTTTTAATGAATAACATGTAAATAAATATTAAATAAAACAGAGCAATGCCATTAATGGATGTTTTATATGCATTCTTGCCACTCATCACCTATTTATATAAATTTTTGGCTATTCATAAACAGCAATCATCAAAAATATAGTACAGCCACTAAATTGTGATGATTCCACCATAGGGCCAAGAGGGTTCAGATCACTCCTCAAAAATTTATTTGAAAATGTTTTCGTAGCACATTGGCCGAGACTGCACTTCATATTATTGAAATGCTCTATTTTCTTGGGGCAAACGATGCCACTCTTAGCAGTGAAAATTATGTTCCCTATATTAAAAGTTTATTACTGTACAGGGTATATCAAAATTCTGTATATTCAGTCACCTTATAACAAAGGAAGATTGTATAGTATTTTTGATTGCTAATGAAAGAATGGTCAGACATTATTTTCTCCATTTTGCATAATTTATTCTTTTCAAGTTTCTATATACTGTATTGTAGTTACTTTTGTGTCTGAAACCCATTTTTACTATTAATCCTCATTATCACCATTTGCAGTGTAACATTTATTGGTGTCTTACAAACATATTCCCAATTAATAGCAAGGAGTCTACCATATAGAACTTATTTGCAATATAAAAATATATGAAGTAATCGATAACAAAAGGTTTAACAAATCTTACTTGTGCAACCATTTCAAGCACGGAGGTCTTGCCCGAGCTCTGGTCCCCCACAACCACCACCCTTGGCAGGTGGTCCTGTGTGTCGTAGCTGCTGTCATAATCACACAGCTCATCCAACACCTCACTGTACATGTCAATGAGGGACTTTTTAATCTTTTTACGGGCAACTATATCTCCAGCCTTCAGCATGAGAGATTTGCGAAGTTCCTTATTCTCTTTTTCTAGGCGTTCAACTTCTTTTTGGTATTTTAACTGCACTTGCATCAACTCCTCTTGAAGACCTTCATACTTTTCGCGAATTGTTTCTGTCGAAAAAAGCAAGCATGCTGAAACCAAAAATATTTAACTTTTGCATTCATTCACCTTATCTATTTTACCAAGATATTACTAGTCACTACTTGATAGAAGATACCCATGAAATTAAACCAGATCACAAAATAAATTCATTTTACAAGACACAATCAGGAGTGAGTATATTTAATCAAAAGTAAGGTATTTTGTCAAATAAATAAATAAATAATACACACACACACATATTATACTGTAGTTCTGTCTATAATCACAGAGCTGAGCCGGGCTGAGCCAAGGCTATGAAGTCTTATCATTCCATTCAAATCATTAAACCAAAATTAAACTCTTCCATCTTCACTTTTTGTATTGTGCCAATACAATGAACTACTTTTAACATGCATTTATATTTCCTTTTACAAAACACATGCAAGTAAACTACTTTAATAAGTTCAAGTATAATGAGATGTTTCTATGTTTGGTACATCATTATCATACTGCTACTTTCTTAACTCACAGTACCTATTAAGATTCAAGTTTCCAATTAAAACATCTTCCATATTCCAATCTACTTACCTACCTTTGCATCTATCTACATGGATGAAGGGAGTACAAATTGCTGACAAAAACATGAACACCTAGATGAAGGGAGACTATTTGTAATTATTTTATATACAAGGTAAAGTGTTACAGAGTGTATGTACAAAAAAGTAATCCATCTCAGTATTTTCCTACACCTATCTACTTACCTGCCAGCCTGTCTAATCATGTACCTAATGATCTCAACCTGCTCATTTATCTGCCCGTCTACCCATTTCCTGCCATATAGTCAATATTCCCTCACTCCATAGTCAATGAAGAGGACTCAATGAACCCAAACTTATTTACCAAATGAATCCATCCTTATGTCTCTGGTGTCTAATTCTACTGGAGAATTTGCTCTCCTTGAGGGTGTAGGCTGCCTGTATATTCCATCAGTAATTCAGTTATCCTTAATGTTAAAACAAATTCAAGATGCACTAGAAGTGTTTGCTAATGAGTGAACTACACATGCTGATCTGGTTGACACAAAAAAGTTACCACTTACTTGCAATAAGAAACAAGAATATCCAGAAGGAAACAATTAGTACAACACAACAATAGTAAAAGAAAAATATAAAAATGGTAAAAGGAAAATATAAAGTCCAAAAGTCAAAACCACATAAACAAAAGAAAATTCAAACAATTACAAATAAAGAAAGCCATAATCAGAGGAAGGGGTAATGTGCTTGTGGAGAGAGAATCTTACTGAAACAGAATATTACTGAAATATTTCACATCTATTCAATATCATTTTAATAATACCATTATTACCCCAGTTTTCATATGGAAGTATTAAATGCCCTAGTCCAGTTAGTACCTTACAGTATTATATTAATATTATCATTAATAACTTTTAAAGTCTGCAATCTAGTGTATTTTATTATACCTATATTGGCAAATTTATGTAATTTTCAAAAGAAGGTGCCAAGCCTGGAAGACTATTTAGCACTGCCTGTGGCACAGAAACTGTAAACAATTCCTAGATATCATTCAGGATGCTAGTACGAGAGCAAAACAGCATAAGAAGAGCAATGTTAATGTTAAAAGTATGAGATTCACTATAGATTTTATCCAGTAGCAAACAGCTCAACACTGAGAAAGCAAGATTTTTTATCATCCTGAAAATCAGGACATTTTATGAGAAGGTGCATAACTAAGTAGGACAATGCAGTTATGGCAGTAGGTCTTTATTCCGTTACTAAGTAATTATCAAAAGAAGACACCAAGCCATAAAGTATTCCATTCCGAAAGTATTAAGTGGAACTAAGTAGGAACAATACAAGGGGACATATATTGGATGTATACTGAGTCTTGTCAACAGGCTACTGGTGCAGCAAAAGAATGTAAAGGAGAGAGAACTGTGCCCACAATAGGGCAGCAGTCAAGGTATGGTACAAGCATGAATGGGGGTGGGGTGGGGGGGTGTTGAAAGAACCCTGTGAAGTATTGATGGCAATACTGACTCCAATGGCTACTGGTGAAATTACTTATGATCATTAAGGCAAACGTGGGAACAAGTGCCACAGTTAACAGATGTTGAACTGTTAACAAATTCCAGCAATGTACATTTCACCACACGTTGGTGAGAAGCATCTTAGGAAAGAATCTTTGTAAATGCAACCTTTCATTTTCTAGACAACCACAGGATAAATGTTTAACATTTATGGAATGGAATAACTAGGTATCATTGTGTAATTATTTTACTTTATATAATTGATGTTTTCACTATTGTTCCACAGCTGAACATGCAATAATTAACTATTTTATGGAATTCCTCTGTTTACTGAGGTTGTACTTCATTAGGTATGTGTGATTGTCTCCTCACAATAACGGTTGTGAAAATTAGGGGAAAATTCAGTTCATCAAACTAAATTGAAAAGTAAATACCAGTCACCAGAGCTTAAGCTAATATTATTCAGCATTTCAGTACAGTACTTGAATCTTGTAGCAAAGGACTAACCATTGGTTTCAATTTTGTGTCTGAGATCAGCATTCTCACGAGTAAGATTGGCAAGATCATTGGTCAAGCTTTCAGTCTTTTCTTGCAGTTCCACTTCAATTTGAGACAGTCTCAAGCGAAGGAGCTCTGCAAGAAGGTTTCACAATGGCCAAAAGTTATTGCTAAATGAAGTACTGTAAAGGATGTATCTTGTCAGTAGTAGCTAATACACTCCTATCTGCTTTAAATAAACCTGATAATATAATCAACTATAGAAGAAATAAAATGATTAGCTACAGGAACATTTGTTTTGTGGCAGTTATTTTAATTCTATTTAAACATCTCAGAAATTTTTCCAAATTCTTGATTTCTTAGTATTATACAGTATATTGTAAACAAAATGGAGACATTGATGCAAGCAAATTAATAAACACAAGACTCCTCCTACAGCAACGAGAGAGTACTAAATCTTGTACAGCCCAGCTGGACACATCGTAGTAAACATGCAGGAAGACAAAAATTAGAAGTACAGCATACACATGCACATGATAACACTTAGCTGACTCCAATATATATTCCACACTATCAAAACCTTTCAATGGAATAGTCACTAAAAGAAGTATAATGCTTTAACAAGAAGGGAGTAAGCTTAATGCCCTAACTGATACAGCATAAATAATAAATATAAATTACACATTATTATATGTATATTTAATTCTAAATATATAATGTCTATATTGTATGATTTATAACAATTATTTGGTATTTCTTAGAATCTTATAATGGATTACTTATAAGAGACACAATCACTGTAAACCTGGGTAAATAATTCCTTTCTAGTCCTGTCTTGTCATGGAACTAAATTTCTCTCTTTACTCAGCACAGAATATTAGTCACTGGGATAGAGCACCCATTAGTTTGCAGACTAAATAATGAATTTTGATTAGAACCAAAACAAAATTTTGCCAGAATTTGATTCATATTTAACTGAAATGTGAACCGAATCACGGAACGGTTTACTGGCAAGTGATGCATGCAGAAACGGCTTAGAAGAACCACTTTTTTGCCCGAAACGCTTTGCATAATAGTGGCTTCATAGATTATGTAACTCCTGTCCCTACAATTCCTGCATTATTCCTATGTTCTTTGTACTGTACACACATTCTTTTGAATAAACATTGTCTTAGTTCCTTCTTATACATCAAATGTGTGGACTCCGTAAGTCTTTGTTTCTCCCAGTATCCTGAGAAGTGTCAACCTTTTCCCCCAAAAAATTCTAGATGCATTGAAGGAAAACCACAAGTGAAGAATAATATTTGTAAACTTAACTAATTACAGCCTTAATAAGGATCTAGACATCTTAATTAAATGCATTACAAATATATTTTTAGTGACTAACATTATTTAATACAATTCAATGGGGACAAATAATTTTTTTTCTAGTACACAAAAATAAAGCAACAGTAGCAAGTTCAACGAATGAATAGGAGTGTAGCCATGCCAAGACATGAGCTAAATAAAAAAAAAAAAAAGTGCCTGTTTACATAAACCATCACATGACAGCTTAAGTATCACTTATTGATTATTAAATAAAAGCAGTCTGAGTAATTTTGCACTAAACTCAACCTAGCATATTCTAAAGTTCTGACGTAAAAAAACAAAGGAAAGCTTTAGCAACAATCAAAATATTACACAAGTTGATTAAGTATGATTTAACAAAGAACTTTAAACAAAATAATTATAACATTGCAATGAATTAGGATATGGCTTAGTCATAATGTCATAGTCGCAGCATTGCGTCGTTTCCGGCGGCAAATTGGCGGCGGCTTCGGGAGGGCCGAAGCCCTCCCAAAACAAACTAAAACTGCGGCATTATAATAAATGCTGCAGTTTTGGACATTATATGCATATACATCTGTAGGGAATTTCATTGTGAATACACTGATACCAAAATGAAAGACCTAGGACCAGAATTGAGGTAACAAAGTTGAAAAGAGTATACCCATTTTATTGCTATTTATTAGTGCTCACTGCGGTAACGCACCGTCACGTTCTCTGTTTGCTGTGGGTGGACGCCGGGGTTTTGGACTTTATATTTGCATATACTCCTGTAGGGAATTCTATTGCAAACACAATGATACCAAAATGAAAGATCTTGGACGAGAATTGAGATGTCTAAAGTGAAGAGTGTGTACACATTTTATTGCTCTTGCGCGCTCCCAGGTAACACGCTCTCACTTTCTCACCGGGCTTTTGGGCTATATATGCATTTAGTCCTGTAGAGAATTCTATTGCAAACTCATTGATACCAAATTGAAAAACCTAGGACAAGAATTGAGATGACAAAGTTGAAGAGAGTATGCACATTTCGGTATGACCGCGCTCTCTATTGTAATGAGAGGCACCTTGGAGTGGTGCAGTGCTCTCTTTCTGGTAACTTTCATCTTGTTGGCGGGTGGAGTGTGCCGCTGTTTTTGACATTATATGCATATATTCCTGTTGGGAATTCTATTCCGAACACATTGATACCAAAATGAAAGACCTAGGACGAGAATTGAGGTGACCAAAGTGAAAGGAGTGTACACATTTTATCAATCCTGCGCGCTCCGGGGTAACATGATCTCACTTTCTCTGTTTGTTGCGGATAGTACGCTGGGTATTTGGACTTAATATGCCTTTAGTCCTGTAGAGAATTCTATTGCAAACACAATGATACCAAATTGAAAAACCTAGGACGAGAATTGAGGTAACAAAGTTGAAAAGACTATACACTTTACAGAATTACCGTGCGCTCCCGCGGAATGCCCAAACCCACCCGGGGTAGTGTGGCGCATATGCGCCCAGAGCATCAAAGTGTTAGAGTTTGAGCCATGTAAAACCCATTATTAAAACCAAATTATATGGTTGGCTTTCAATATGTATTTAATGGGATTGTGTTTCTCTTAGATGAACCATGTACCTGTACCTCTGCAAAATAGTTCAGTGAAATGGCAATGGGGAAAAACCAGAGATTAGACCGAACATTATGTAACAGTCACATTCTCCAGATAGATACTTATCAAATTAGGTAGTGAAATGAAATAAAGTGAGGAGAAGGGAGATGGATATGTATGGTATTCTCATATATATATATATATCTGGGGGAAAGTAGGGCGTGGAATTCATACTCAAGAGCCAGTGTTGGAAATACAAGTTACTTAGTGCTTAGTATCATATCTAATATTTTAGTACTGACCTTTAATTATACTATGGGGCTGTGAGAAAGCTACCAAGCATAATCTAAAACAAAATAGTTTTATTTTTTATTTTCAATTTATGTTAATTTCATGTTACCGATGTCTTGCATAAGATCAAGAGTTGCCAGCATTAAACTGAAAAATGTGTCAAAACTTTAGATCCTAACACAGAACTAGAAGTGTACGGTAATTGCTTTTGCAAGCAATGTCCACGTCTCTACCGTACTGTAAAAAACAAACATGATATACAGTACAAACGATAAGGATAAAGAAACGGCAAATACTCAAAAGCTTCACCTGCTTTCTCTCGTTCCCGTTCAGCAGCAGAGCCCATCGCTGAAAATGAAATTGCATGTTGCTTCAAGTCAGCGGAGAAATCTGGAAGTACAAATACATTTACCATAATTCCTATGGGTCATAAGGTACAGTACTCTTAAAAATTAAAATATTGTACAATACTAGTACTTATAAAGCTTGCTTTATTTTGAACTAAATGCAGTTGTGTATTGTAGCTGATGTGAGTAGGGAAAGGGTACTGTGTGCATAAGTGCATGGTGTGCACAGGAGTGCTGTGGGGCTGATGCATGGGTACAGGAGTGGGATGTTAGTTAAGGGTGGAGATGGTGGCTGATAATTGTAGAACTGTACATACCTATCACTGTGGTGTGTGTATGAGTGGATGCTGTACTAGTGGGTTGGTGTGTGGGTCAGGGTTTGGGTAGGGGACGTGCATGTAAATATGACATTTTTAAGATATTGCATGGAAACCTTACTCATGAGAAAAAAGGCAAAACATGATAGAGCTATCAGTAACTTTAGCCTGTTTTTTTTCTTCAATATTAGCCTTTGTAATACTACATCATTGAAGTTTAAAGTATAGAGGCATAGCGGTTCTTAAAATTTTACGAAATTATATAGGGTAATCTGGAAAATACTACCAAATAATTAACTGGCAAATATGTACAGTAAATGTTAACCTTGAATTACGTACTGAAATGAAAATTAAGTACTATATATCACAGCTAGCAACAATGTTAAAATAAAATACTAATATGCATGATAGTGTGCAGAATGCAAGATTTTGGAAGCACCATAATATATACAAATTTTTGCTAATTTACATTTTGATTATATTTTCTCCAATGTTAATTTATGCTACCAAGAATATGGTTTTAGACGAGTCTATAGAAAATATATAACAAGCAGATGTACAACCATTAAATAGAATCACTTTATCCTTACTCCATAACCAGCAAATAGTAAGAATAAAAGGATCATTGGAAGTCAATTAATAATTTAAAAAATACAAACCATTTTCTTGGCACCTTTGAAAACCGAGAGCACACAAGACACTGTTAACCGTAAAGAGCTTTGGTGTTCTGAGGGAAGGGACTTGCATTTTACTGTATGACTCGTGTTAGATCTTTAAATATCTAAACCCTAAATTAGTATTCTACTTCTATGGATCATTCTCAATTTGCAGGGTGTATGAAACATTACATCATGTTAATCCCTTTCCTAGAATACCAGCCAATGCTTTAATGTGGCATCCAATTATAAAACTATAGCCAATACTTTCATGTAGTAGCCAAATGAATGCCACCATCTTGTATTCTACACACCTTTCACCAATGGCGTGAGGGATTGTGCCACCCTGGACAGGGTTAGGATCTCGCCTGGGGGGGGAAACGAAAACAAAATGTAAAGGTGAATGGCAAAATGAATGTGACTGTGGGGTCGACTGCACTCTAAAATTCACGTTAGCAAGCAGAAGTTGCAAATGAGAACGGGTATAACTGTTCCACATAACAACCATCACTCTATACTATATTACACTTACTGTTCTTTTTACAACATTTACATTTCAATATATTATACTGATTGGCTCAAGAACATACTGTATATATATTTTTTAGGATAATGCTCAAATGATTAACAAATTTATGGAAATACAAGACACCCATGGATTAGTTATAACAGAGGCTGTAATAAAGGTAGTAATCATATTTAGTATGATAAAAATATAAACATTAATTTTACTACACTTGAAATGCCATTAATTTTAAGTGGCCAAAACCCAGCAACTTTACACTAAATATTCTGAATAAATTATATCTATACAGACAATAAAATATTGAGATTTACAAAGATTATAACTAAATAAGTAACAAGACTTATTAGAACATATATATATCACAAGCTTCCTTACCATCTGGGAAAACCACAGAGTTTTCCGATTTCTCCTCCTCTGCAGCTCTGACGGCATCATCCAAACGCTCCTTGAACCACACCACTAATTGGTCATAATGGGATTCTCCAAGCTCTTTCAGTTTAGGATCTGCAAGTATTCAGATTACTTTAAACAATTAACTTTAACTCAGAAATTAACAATTGCACTAATGTTAATTTCTACTACAAAGATGACCTGAAAATTACACGAAACAAATATCTCCTAAACATTTTTACCAATACCAATAAATGTTTTACAGTATTTCATATTCAAAAACAGGTTTCCTATCCACCACCTATTGTAGCTTCATGTCCCTTTCCACTGGCAACACTTCATGTACATGTGTATTTACACAACTTATTCGAAGACAATGGCCAAAACCAAACATATCTTTCTCAACAAAATTCAGTAAAGAATTCTCCACTTGTATCTGTGTCTACTTCTGCCAAGCCCATGATACCCACCACCACCTACTCTCCTGTGATACCCACCACCTCCTACTCTCCTTTGATACCCCCTACCACCTACTCTCCTGTAATACCCCACCACCACCTACTCTCCTGTAATACCCACCACCTCCTACTCTCCTTTGATACCCCCTACCACCTACTCTCCTGTAATACCCCACCACCTCCTACTCTCCTTTGATACCCCCTACCACCTACTCTCCTGTAATACCCCACCACCTCCTACTCTCCTTTGATACCCCCTACCACCTACTCTCCTGTAATACCCCACCACCTCCTACTCTCCTGTAATACCCACCACCTCCTACTCTCCTGTAATACCCACCACCTCCTACTCTCCTGTAATACCCCCTACCACCTACTCTCCTGTAATACCCACCACCTCCTACTCTCCTTTGATACCCCCTACCACCTACTCTCCTGTAATACCCACCACCTCCTACTCTCCTGTAATACCCACCACCTCCTACTCTCCTTTAATACCCCCTACCACCTACTCTCCTGTAATACCCACCACCTCCTACTCTCCTTTGATACCCCCTACCACCTACTCTCCTGTAATACCCTACCACCACCTACTCTCGTGTAATACCCACCACCTCCTACTCTCCTTTGATACCCCCTACCACCTACTCTCCTGTAATACTCCACCACCACCTACTCACTGCCGATACCCACCACCACCTACTCTCCTGTAATACCCGCCACCTCCTACTCTCCTTTGATACCCCCTACCACCTACTCTCCTGTAATACTCCACCACCACCTACTCACTGCCGATACCCACCACCACCTACTCTCCTGTAATACCCGTCACCTCCTACTCTCCTTTAATACCCCCTACCACCTACTCTCCTGTAATACTCCACCACCACCTACTCACTGCCGATACCCACCACAACCTACTCTCCTGTAATACCAGCCACCTCCTACTCTCCTTTGATAACCCCCTACCACCTACTCTCCTGTAATACTCCACCACCACCTACTCACTGCTGATACCCACCACCACCTACACATATGAGATACCCACCATCTACTCCTGTGATACCCACCACCTCCTACTCTCCTGTGATGCCCACCATGTTACACACTGACTACAATTCCTCCATGCAGAACTCCAGCTTCATGTCTTCCTATTTTACCATCCCAAACAACCAGGGAGTTATTCTTTATACTGTAATTACAATAACTTCACAAATTATTACTTTTTTCATATTCCAGGTTTCAGGAATTTAAACTGAATAATCTCTTCTAGGGCATCTTCAAATATTTCTATTTCAAACAAAATGTTTCCCTTTCCAACACAAATCCAGTAATCTGATTTTGACCACATTTACTTTTAACAGTCTTCTGTTCTGCAAATGAATGAAAGAAACTAATCTTTTCAACCTCAACTAAATGAACTTCATCCATCAAATTTTAGCTACCCCATTTATTTGTATCATGTGTTAATTTAAAAAAAAATTCCAATACAGTATACCTTTCATGCCCACTATGGAAAACATCAGACAATCCTGGCATTATTAATATCGAATCACTCATTGTGTCATTAACTTTGTCAAATGTTTTCCCTAGGCACATAAATGCAATTTAAACCTTATAATCATCGTTGCATATACGGTATTTAGTATGGGAAATTACACAACTATTTTAATTGCATAGAAACCCACATTCTGGTAATTTTATAAGTTAAACTATAATATTACCAAAACAATTACCTAAGGTAAACGCTGGAACAGCATCCTTGATCTTGTCTCTGTATGTTATAAGAGAACTTCTGATAGAATCGAGATCTTCCTGTGACGGCAAGATGCCCTCCAAAAATTTTGTATCCGGTAAGGCCTCTTTCCACTTCTCGTAAGTCTGACAGAGTTTGGTAAAACAAATTAAAAATAATATTAAGTACCTTCCATGTTACATTGAAATACTACATGATACTATACATGTTATATTTTTTATCAAGTTAATTTTCAGAATGATTCTAGTTACATAAAATCTTTATGTGCAAACTTAATCTCAACTTTTTTGTTCTTGGTGTCAACTCTGTGACATCAAGGAGCCAGTTTCAAGGCATCTGACCAGACTCAAAAAGCAATTCTCTGTCTACTTTCCAGAGCTTGATTCATATACAGCATTGTCAGTTGTGTCATAAATCCCTTCAACTGTAAACTAGCTGATGTGCTGGGTGAAGGACTGGCAGATGCACTTACTGAACTTCACTCCAACAGTGAAGCACACATGGAATTTCAGAAGACAAATCTCATCTTTTTGGATGTCAAAAATAGCAAAGGCTTTTAAAATTGCACATGTGGAAGTGACAAAAATGCTGCTGCCTTCTGCAACAACCAACCTTTGTGAACAAGGACTTTCCACCCTTATGAACTTGAAAAAATACAAGTCATTTGGACTAGACAGCTTCCAAGTTGCTCTGATGTCAGAAATGCTTCAGTTCTACAAACCTTTTTATTAATTATGTATATGCTCATACCAAACAGAAAAGGACAGAAACTACAGTATTATATCATATCCTCTACAAATGATACTAGGATATTCATGAGCAGACAACATAACTCCAAACTGATATAAATCAAGTCTTTCAGTGGACCACAGAAAATATAATTAATGAAGACAACTTCCAACTCCTGCGCTATAATAAAATAAAAAATATCAAAACTGAAACCATAGATAAAATACAGTCAAATCACACTATAGAAAAAAAAGTAATAACATTGCAGAGATCTTTTACTGCCTGACTCATTCAATAAAAAACTAAATGATTAGGACCACTTAAAATCTCTAAATCTATATTTTCTAGAGTGCAGACAAGAGATACTGTACATAATAATTTACACTTAGAAAATATGAGAGAGACTGGCCCAAATCTGCATATGAAAACTCCTTACAATGTCAGGAGGCATGGCAGGAAGTGCAAAATAGCCCTACTGGAAAGCAGAGGTGCAATAGGTACACTAGGAGAAAATTATAATACATTATTAAAGTCCAAAGACTTTTCAACACTCACTCTATACATAAGGTGCTGTATTCAAACAAAACTTTATAAACTCTTATAATGGATACCTGATCAACCAGACTGTGATGTTGAGTCAGAATGTGAGTAGCAGCATCTAACAGCCTGATTGAACAGACTACTAATCATTTTCATTCTTTACTCTATTCTCCTAATACTGTAGTATGTGTGTTTCTTGATTACCCATTTTTTCACACACTTAAAGGTAAATTGACAAGTAGTATTCTAGAAAACTGGTGTTCAGAATGTATTACCCATACATACAGTACGTATTGAGGGTCTACTGTATTTACACAAAAAAAGAAGAAAACGAGGACAACCATTCCTAATGTTCATCAAGATGAAGCTGGATTATATATAATCTATATTATTCCAGGGAAAGAGGCACACAAGCTCCACCAAAAATAACAAGATACTGTAAATTATGAATCCGAGAATATGCTGCACTCGTGAATGTTAAATATACAGCATTACTCTACTGCACTTAATTACAGTATTATAAACATTAGATACATTTAATAAAAATTAACTAGTAATAGAGAAATTATTTGTTATACATAAAAAATGAACCATTGATGGATGTTTCATTCTCATAATAAATATTTTTAAGATTTACAAAACTTAAGCTGTCATCTTCAGCAATTCTTTTGGACAAAATTATTTAATATATTTACAAAATGGGATAACATTAACATGCTAGCAATGGTTAATAAATTATAAACTAATGTATAATATATTACTAATTGTTGCATTAGATATAAAATAATTTACCTTCGCCAAGGCACTGCCACCTGCAAGGCTTCCACCAAGCAATAGATAGCGTATCTTGAGAGCTCCACGTAACACCCTGGCAACAATCATGCCTATCCCTCGGGATGGTATGCCATAATTTGGACCTGGATACTTTAGCAGATCTCTTTGTAAATGGCGAAGTGATGAGTACTGCCGTAAAACTGGGACAATAACTGTTCTTGCCTGTAAAATACACAAAATAAATGATATTTGACTTGAAAATACTGAAGACAGAGTAAGAAATACTTTTAAGTCTGAAATCTAAGGAAAAGGCTAATGAGAAAGAATTACTAAAATTGCAAATGGCATAAACAATGAATTGGTTAAAACTGCACTTATGCTCCTAATGCTGTGCAGTCCTGTACTTGTTACCAAGACACATTCATAAAATTTTAATGGCTCACATTCAAACATGGCTGAAAAAGAATTCTGTGCTGTATTTGTATTGCATAATTATTGTATTAAAGGCAACATTACATATAACAACATTTGAAGGATACTCCCCCTTGAGGTTCATTCCATGTCAAATTATCAAAAAATGTGGACTTTTCCATCTATCTCAGATTCTCATAAAATTTGTTACAATAAAAGAAGCCTTGAAAGTAAGTTACATCTGCAAGATTTTAGCACTCAATGATGCATGATATTCATACAGCAGGGTTGCCAATGCGATGAAAATAAAATTTTGGCTTACACGTTCACCCAAAAAAAAATTCAGAACTTTGCTTCAATTGAGGTAGAATTTTCACCTTGTGCCTGTTCTGAAGCTAAGGAAGCAGTCTTCTAATTAAAAATAGTTTTACATTAAATATTTAATTATTTTTAGTTCAAGATCACATGACATAACCTTTGAGCTTGAATACATATATAAAAAAGGGTGTCTTCAATTTTCTGGGGAGAAAATGTTGTACAATTAAATGCATTCTATATTTGGTATAAGTTTCATTTGGGGATACTTTGGGAAGATTAGTAAAAAAATTCATGAAAGTGGCATACCTCACATTCAATGAAATACCTTAGCATTTATTTATGGAAATTACCATAATGGAAAATGAAATATAACGTAATACTGTATATATGTAACTACCGTATGAGGGAAAACTAACAAGTCACAATAAATACAGACACAAATGACTAGATAACTGTGCCATGTAAAGCAAACACTTAAGCTAACTATGCAGAGACCACAGCTTCAAGGATACATTAAATTTAACTAGAAGAAATTTCAACAGAAGCAGCCATGTGTGAAGTAGAAGCACCAGGCAAAATTTGAGGTATAAACTATACTGTCCTGCTCCATGAGACATTGTTAAAATTATTGTTAAAAGAAGGGTGCTATCACAATGTGGACTAAGATTATATTATAATTACTGGTGGGTCAATTAGTGGTTAGCAGAGTCAGACTTGGCCATCCCTGTATGTCCAAGTATCACTTGAGGGAGGATTTTGATTTATAAATAGAAGTTCTTCCTAGCATTCACTTTGGATTGAAATAAGTTCCATTGTTTCCCCTTCTCTCACTGGCATCAAGGAAGTTTCGAGGCTCTTTGTCTCAGCGAGGTAGTCAAATACTGTACATCAGGGAGCAACCAAAGGGTCCGATTCAGAAACAAGGAGACAAATTATGGCATAGTGGGAGAGCAAAGTGAGAGAATGTATGGTAACAAAGTATAAATACTGTACCACAAAGTACATTTATTGAATAAGCAGACTTTTATATTTAACCTCCCAACAATTTGGATACTAATAAAATTAAAACAAAATTTAAGCCTCTTACTTGTTCTCGATCTTTTTGAAGGCAGAGCTTTTGTCTGGCCCATCTTGCCTGACTTACTCCAACAACTCGAACTGCATATCTGAAAACAGCAGGTATCATATAGCCTTTCCTCAAAAAAAAAAAAAAAAAAAAAAAAAAAATAAAAAAAATTATAATTTACATACTTTCAGCCCGTCCTGTTTTGGTAGTACAGTACCTATAGTAACAATGACAACCATAGCATATGTACTAACGTACAGGTACAACGAAATTAGAATATAGAAATCTAAACTATTGAGTTGGACAAACTGGAAAACTATTTTTTACTTGTATTGCTTGACAAAGTAAACTAACCTAACCTTCCTAGGCCAAATACACAATATCTGAGGCCTAATATAGTACATATGTGTGCTATACTAGGCTTAGGAATATTTAGGTTTGTGTTTTAGCTTCATTTATTTTAAAATAATTCCTTACTAATCAGTAAACAGTACTACTATCTAAAAGCTAGGAATGTACGAATTCTCACGATTGATGATTGTCACAACAGGTACTACCCTAAACAGGAGGATGAGTTGTAATTTTTTACATGAAAGAAACCATAAGTTTAAGGAATTATTAGGATATAATATAAAACAGTTGCCCAAGTAATCTGACTAGCTCTCTGCTTTATCCAGGGGTAACTTTCCTGTACAAAATAGGCCTCGAGTGTTTCTAATAAAAAAAAAACTTTCTGAGCTAGAAAGGCTTTTGTCCCTAAGGTAAGATCCTACCTGATCTGAAGGACAGAATCTCAACTGTTAGGCAACGGGCAAGGACATAACGTAACAGCTTTTGTTCAAGGGTAGTAAGAATTATTTTCTGATTGCTTATGTCTTATACAAGGAGACATAGGAGGAAGCTTAATGCTCAAATGAGTCACAGAAACAAAGAATTTTTATCAGTGTGAGATTAGTTAAATGGAATGCACTAGGAAGTGATGTGGTGAAGATAGATTTCATGCATAGTTTGAAATGTAGATACAATAAAGCCCAATAGGCTCAGAAACCTGTATACTAGTTAATTGACAGTTGAGACAGGACTAAAGATCTGAAGCTCAACCCTGTAAGCACAACTAGGTGAGTATACACACATACATACACGAAAGGGTTCCTCCAATATGCAAGTGTGCAAAGTCTTCTGTGAACTAAGGCATCTACACCATAAATTGAAGGCAGCTATAGGAATCAGAGAGAGAGATTTGGGAGTGGATATAATTCTAACACCAACACCAGAGACTCACAAGGCAAGGTGACATTGACAGCATATGGGATGCTGGCAAATAATAGATTGTTGTTTAAAAACTTAAATCAGGGTGCATTCAAGGCAATCTACACAGTTTTTGTTAAACCAATACTGGAATATGGAGCACCAGCCTGGAACCCATACTTTATAAAGCTTAAAACTAAAATGTTAAAATTGCAAATGTTTTCAACTAGATTATCTTGAGATGATTTCAGGGCTTAGCGTCCCCGCGGCCCGGTCCTCAACCAGTCCTCCTTTTTGTTACACACCCCCAGGAAGTAGCCCGTAGCAGCTGTCTAACTCCCAGGTACCTATTTACTGCTAGATGAACAGGTGCATCAGAAACTTTTTGCCCATTTGTCTCCACCTACACCGGGAATCGAACCCGGAACCTCAGGTCTACGAATCTGAAGCGCTGTCCACTCGGCTGTCAGACATTAATGCCAGAGCTAAGAGGGTTAAACTGAGGTCAACCTGAAGGAAATGGACCTCGCAATCTTAGGGTACCGAAGAAATAGAGAATATGACCACAAAATACTGATGGGAATAGAGAGGGTGGACAAAGAGGACTTAATTAGAAGCTGGAAACACAAACAAGTTGACGAAATATGAGGAAAGTACTCGTAACCTGTACAGGTCAATGAGTGGAATGCACTGAGAAGTTGTGGAAGCCACCTCCATCCACAACTACGACAGGTACGACATATATTTTGGACATCAGAATAGCTAGGCTATAATACAACAGGTACAACAAGGCTAGATAGGGCATAAAGAGCTAGACCTCCCTCCCCATGGTAACTGATAAACACTTATGTATGATTTAACCAGATCCCCATCAAGCCGATTGGCCGATACTAACAGAGAAGCCTAATTTCTCTTTTTTTTTCCTCTGGTGTGGTACTTGAAGGTTTTTGCTCATGAAACAATCTAGCACGAGTAGAGGCAATGACTTGAGGGGATATGATCACTAGCCCAAGTACAAAATATTGATGGGAAGCCATTTCAATTCAGCTCCAGAAGCAAATACTGTATGATAAACAGAGAAGCTATGTACAGCTATAAGGGCTATGTACAGCTATGAGGGCTATGTACAGCTATGAGGGCTATGTACAGCAATGAGGGCTATGTACAGCTATGAGGGCTACATACAGCTGTAAGAGCTATGTACAGCTATGAGGGCTATGTACAGCAATGAGGGCTATGTACAGCTATGAGGGCTACATACAGCTGTAAGAGCTATGGACAGCTATGAGGGCTATGTACAGCTATGAGGGCTACATACAGCTGTAAGAGCTATGTACAGCTATGAGGGCTATGTACAGCTATGAGGGCTACATACAGCTGTAAGAGCTATGGACAGCTATGAGGGCTATGTACAGCACCACTGATAAGCAGTGACTCGACCATCAGATACCAAGACACAGTACTTGACTCAAGCACAGCCCAAATTCCAATGTCAATTCTTCCAACAACTTCTACTAATTCGTAGCTTAAGAGAAAACACCAAACCATACAAACAACAAAGCAACAGCCCGTGTTCATCAAACAAGAATTGTTTATTTGGCCGGCAACTTTTGCTTAGCACTGTGATGCATTTGTTGACGCCCAGTTCACACCCGGCCTATACTGATTCAGCCTCCCACTCGTACAATATTTTAGCCCAAACGCCCAGGAAAATGCTATATGTACTCACCCAAACCTCCCTTTCATCAATTTAAACATAATACACTAAAAATGACAGTAAACATTCGCCGACAATTGATCTCAAGTCTCACACAGGCGCACCAGACAGGGTTGCCAGATACAAATTGCTGAAAGTAGCGAGCTGACGGTCAAAAAGTAGCGAATTTGTGATACGAGTAGCCCAATTTTTTGTCGAGTGACTGATACGGGTTTCAAAGTAATATATTTTGATATATAGAGTACGCTACACAATGTTAATTGTTTTATTCATATTATTTCTGCGTGCACACACACACACACACACACACACACACACACACACACACATACAAAAAAAGAAACCCTGATTTCCAGCAAACATAAACAGAGCCTTAGCAAACAAACCTGGAGCACTAGTACACAAACAACCGCTGAAGCACAACCATGCACGAACCGAAGCCCGACCATGCACAACCCATAGCCCAAGTGACACCCCCGGAGCCCGACCAGTTATTTAACCGGAGCCCGACCAGTTATTTTACCGGAGCCCGACCAGTTATTTAACCGGAGCCCGACCAGTTGTGTAACCGAAGCTTGACCAGTTGTGTAACCAGACCCCGACCAGTTGTGTAACCAGACCCCGACCAGTTGTGCAACCGTAAGCCTAGCAAGTATATATCTCATCCAACCCCCACCAAGCTAAACAGTCTCAAAGCACAACCAAACTGCATTCCTAGCTTGAGCAAACAAAAATCCCCTTAGCCATACCTAAAACCCTCCACTTGCCCTATAAACCAACTAAGGAGCTATTGCAAACAACTGAACTATATACAAAAAACGAAACCCGAATTTCTAGCAAACATATAAATATAGCCTTAGCAAACAAACCTGGAGCACTAGTACACAAACAACCACTGGAGCACAACCATGTACGAACGTGAGCACAACCATGCAAAACCCAAAGCCCAACAAGTCACACCCCTGGAGTTATGTAATCGGAACCCGACAAGTTGAGTAACCGGCGCCCGACCAGATGTCCAACCACAAGCCTAGCTTGAACGAACCAAACAAACAACCTCTGGATCACAACCATGCACGAACCGAAGTCCGACCATGCACAACCCATAGCCGAAGTGACACCCCCGGAGCCCGACCAGTTATTTAACCGGAGCCCGACCAGTTGTTTAACCGAAGCCCGACCAGTTGTGTAACCGGAGCCCGACCAGTTGTGTAACCGAAGCTTGACCAGTTGTGTAACCTTAAGCCTAGCAAGTATACATCTCATCCAACCCCCACAAAGATAAACAGTCCCAGAGCACAACCATGCTCCATTCCTAGCTCGACCAACCAAATCCCCTTAGCCCTACCTAAAACCCTCCACTTGCCCTAGACACCAACTATTGACCCATAGCAAACAATTGAACTATATACAAAAAAGAAACTTAGATTTCTAGCAAACATAAACAGAGCCTTAGCAAACAAACCTGGAGCACTAGTACAAACAACCGCTGAAGCACAACCATGTACGAACCGGAGCACTACGAACTACACAACCAAAACCCAACCGCTGTAATCGCACAAGTTGAGTAACCACCAGTGAACGAACGAATCAAACAACCTCTGATCACAACCATGCACGAACTGACCGACCATGCACAACCCATAGCCGAAGTGACACCCCCGGAGCCCGACCAGTTATTTAACCGGAGCCCGACCAGTTATTTAACCGGAGTCCGACCAGTTGTTTAACTGGAGCCCGACCAGTTGTGTAACCGCACCCCTAGGTCTACTTAGACTATAGCTGGTGCGCCCCCCACATGAATTATTGCATCCAGGCATGGAGACCTCATCTTCAGAAAGACATAGTTGCTCTGGAGTCATGTCTTACCAGAGCTATGGAGCTATGTCTTACGACAAAAATCATACCAGAGCTAAGTCATCTGTTGTGTCAGGAACGGTTGAGGGCCACAGGGCTAACACTGCAAACATTTTGGAGGATGTCGATCAGGCAAATGTCTTCAAAAGGTCAGATGTTACACGAACAAGGAGCAACGTGTTCACACTCAACAAGCCAGAATGTTGAACAGGAAACAGGAGATGGGTTTTCACCCATAGGGTTGTAAACCCATGGAACTGCCTACCCGCCGAAGCTGTAAACACTAAACCTCTGCTGGGTTTTAAAATACAGCTGGAAAAGATCATCAGGACAAATGGGGGGGGGGGACCTTTGACGAGCCGCCGGCTCGTCAAAGGTATGCAGGACAAACATATCAATTGTGACACCAGCTCTCCACATATGTCAGTTGCTTGATTTAGAAACTGTACTTGTGGTCGATCTCGAACCCTCTCCCCAAGTAAAACAGAAACAAGCAACACTTAGTGGACCAGCCAGAGGCTTAGGGCCCGCGCTGGAATATCCCTAAAAAAAAAAAAAAAAAAAAAAACATTTATGATGTGACGACTTTTACTAAATTTTGTAACTTGCTTAGCTAAATGAATTGTGGGGTTCAGTCCCTGAGCCCATTATGTGTGCCTCTGTAACCCTTAATTTCCACTACCGCCCACAAGATGGGTATGGGGTGCATAATAAATGAACTAAACTAAACTAAACTATTGCAGTATTTGTACATTGGACTGTCGCTTGTCACTAAACTTTGTTGTTAGCTATTAACTATGAAATAATATTACCTTATACGCGAGAATAATTCAGAATACACAGCGATAAAATTGACGAATGCGGCTTTGGGTTGGGCGGCGGTGTAGGGGAGCCTGGCCTGAGGACAGGCAACTGTAAATGCTTCACCCTCCATATACTTCAAATGAAAATAATTGCCAACAGAACCTAAATACCGAACCTACTATACCCCTAATTAATTATAGAATATAAAATTAATTCATACTCGATAAAAACTATTTTTAATACACAGTACATGAAAGTCGACAATAATTGCGTCTTGGGATGTGGGAGAGACGACCGCCGCGTTAACGAGCTTAGCCTGCCGACGGAGTAGTTTAACACTGGGGAAGTGTATTCTACATAATATCCTACCTATATAATGTTGCCAAATCATGATCCTCAAAATCTTCCACAATATCCGAGAGAGGACAGACTATTTAGCATTAGTGGAATACAAACATTTGAATACTACAGAACCCGGATGAAAAAAAAATACGGAAACAATGACCCTCGAAACATTACAAAACTCAATGTTATAATAGCGAGCAAATGTATAATGCATTAAGCATTGTAGGTGGAGGTAGACTATACATTCATGCGTACCTCCCAACTGCTCAGATATATATAGAAAAAAAAAAAACTTATCAGCCTTACCTACACGGGAGCGACGCTGCTCACACCACCGCTGCTTCCTCGTCGTCGATGACCCGTAGCGACCAACCGGCCCAGAGACTCCCTGCCTAAAATTATTTGAACGCCACATTGAAATTCCTAGCGTATATTGGAATGTGTAAATTAATATTTTTATGCATTATAGGCCTTTCTAAAGTAATTTATAGATCTGAATATCATATATTGTCTAACAAACGAATTATTTAAGTTAAGATTTTAATTATGCCAGATACAAGTCTCATCGAAGCACATAATCGGTTCAGGAACGGTCGTTAAGTCTCATCGCACACAAGAAGATTCGTCGGCGGATTTTTTTTATTTATATATAAAAAACAGTTTTTAAATTCTTGTAAAGCCACTAGCACGCATAGCGTTTCGGGCAGGTCCTTAATCCTAATTTTTTTCCCCGGAATACGACCCGCCAAATTGTTTAACAACCTATTTACTGCTGGGTGAACAGTTAAGGATTGGCGCCCAGTCAATCCTTCCCGGCCAGGATACGAACCCAGGTCGAAGGGCTAACGAAGAGCCGGGCGCGTGCTGTACCACTGCGTCACAGAGACTGCTCCGTGGTGTAGTGGAATTTTGAATTTTGAAACCTGACTAACAAGCTCAACCCAACCTAACGTAACCCAAATCAAACCAATCTAATTCAACCGAGCCCAATGCAGCCTAACCTTAATAACATAACCTAATACAGCCTAGCATAACAATACATCAGGATTTAAAACAGAAAATAATGAGTTTAGCCGAATCGTCTCGTGTCCGAGTGTAACCAGAACCCAACCAGTTGTGTACCTATACTGACCTAGCACACAAACACCTGCAGACGAGGAGTCTCAATAACGTGGCTGAAATATATTAGATTGTGAGAATGCACAATTGACTTGAGAACGGTCCAGGACGGACCGAAACGTCATCGTCCCTTCACTTTCTAGTGTGTGGTTTGGTCAACAAATACCTCACCTAACCAAACACCCTCCTAACTCTACCAAGCACACTGAGAGCCGTACCAAAGTAGGGAGGGTCCACAGACGAGAACGTGGTTGTAAATATAGGTCCACATTCATGGGCCCCAGTGCCCATCATCTGGGTTGGAGGGCAACAGTGCATTGCTTTGCTCAGAGAGTATAATGCTGCTAACACAGCACTGCCTTCAATAAGCAAACTTTTCAGGATTATTTAATTAGCTAAGATTTACCTGAATTTACCAGTCACTATCTCTCAGTGAGGATAGGAAGCCGACGACTTGTCAAATGTCCCCTATTTGCCCTGGTGATTTTATCGAGCAATGTTTTGGCATTTACGGCTTTGGCGGGTATGCGTTTCCACAACGTTATAATTCTATGGGTGAAAACAAAAATTTTCCATCCTTCAGTGTGGCTTGTTGAGCTCGAAACCGTTGCTCCTTGTTGGTCTTACATCTAGCCTTTTGAAGAAGTGTTCTGGGTCAATATCTTCCAAATTGTTCAGTAATTTAAATGTTTCGCCGAGAGCAGCCCTGTCATGTCTGGTCCCTGTGGCTCTCAACCGCTCCCGGTATGAAAGTCGACTTAGTTCGGGAAAGATTTTAGTCGCCCGGTGTTGAACTTTCTCCAAAGCAGATATGTCTTTCTGAAGATGAGGTCTCAATGCGTGGATATAATAATCCAAGTGGAAGTACACTAGAGATTTATATAGTTGTATAACTACCTTTTCCTTCGTCAAAATTTCGTTTGACTATTCCAAAGGATTTGGTTTGCTTTCATAACTGCAGCTTCCACTTGTTGTACAATTATCAGTGATTGGTGGATTCTGACTCCAAGATAATGTTGATGATTTGGTAGTTGTGCATTGTTAAGCCCCACATGGGTGAAAAAAATCTCCTGTTTTCTGTCCTAAGTTGTGGCTTGTTGAACTTATCCACCGCTGCCTAGTGGATGGGGGGCGGTGTGCAGGACAAACATATAAATTGTGACACTAGCTCTCCACATATGTCAGTTGCTTAATTTAGAACCTGTACTTGAGGTCGATCTCGAACCCAATGTTGATGTGACGACTTATATTGAATTTTGTAACTAGCTCATCAAGATTGTAACTTACTTAGCTAAATGAATTGTGGGGTTCAGTCCCTGAGCCCATTATGTGCCTCTGTAACCCTTTCCACTACCGCCCACAAGATGGGTATGGGGTGCATAATAAATGAACTAAACTAAACTAACTGAACATGATTGATTGATGAAGATTAAGCCACCCAAAAGGTGGCACGGGCATGAATAGCCCGTAAGTGGTGGCCCTTTTGAGCCATTACCAGTATCAAGAGCTGATACTGGAGATCTGTGGAGGTGCAACTGCACCCTGCGTGACGGGAGATGTCTCCCGTGAACTGAACATGAAATCGTTGTTCCTTATTTATGATTGATTGATGAAGATTAAGCTACCCAAGAGGTGGCACTTACAGGCATGAATAGCCTGTAAGTGGAAGATTTTTTGGAGTGAATGTGATCTTTGGTCGTAAAAGGATATACTGCGTGCTGTGCTCGCATTTAAATTGTCAGTCTATGGCTGCTATCGCGGGGTGCTTGTTTATGTTGCATCTGACCATAAATAAGCATCATTGAGTTGGTTAACATTAATAGCCCAAATTAGCCCAACTTGCTTTTAAATTAGCCCAAAAAGTAGCAAGTAGCGAAATTAAAAATTTGGGAGCGCGGGGCTCTCAAAAGTAGCCCAATTCGCTACTTGTAGCCCAATCTGGCAACCCTGGCACCAGCTGATCTATGCGAGTGCCAACTTATTTCCCGGTTGCATAACTGATTAATGATAACCAGAAAAAAGATACACTTATAAATAACTTTGTGTTCTTTTTTAGTATAAAATAAGATCACATACTTATAATGAGTTCGTAAGAAATCTCGAGGCATGTATATAATAATTACGAAATTCCTCTCTTTCATAACACTGATAAATTTCACAGGCAAATAATTTAACAATTCGGTTTGTCGGGGACAGGCAGCCTGTATTCACCTAGTTGTATTCACCTAGATGTGCATGCGGAGGTTGAGCTCTGGCTCTTTCGGCCCGCCTATCAACTGTCAGTCAATCAACTCCTCCCCCCCCCCCCACACACACATATGCCCAGGAAGCAGCTCATAGCAGCTGTCTAACTCCCAGGTACTTTATTACTGCTAGGTAACAGGGGCATAAGTGTGAAAGAAATTGCCCCTTTGTTGTTTCCGCCATCACCGGGAATCGATACCCGAGCCATATGACTACGAATCCAGAGTGCTGACCACTCAGCCACAGGTCCCCTTATGAATATATATGTATACATTAGGCTTATATCAAGGTCCCCCCCCCAGATCGAACTAATGACATGGGGACTACTGGATCCTCCTTCTACTGGATCGATTCTCCTACTGGACTCAGTCGATTCCCCGACTTGGACCCAGTTGATCCCCCGATTGGACCCAGTCGATCCCCCGACTGGACCCAGTCGACCCCCGACTGGACCCAGTCGATCCTCCTACTGGACCCAGTTGATACCCAGAATGGACCAAGTCGATACTCCTACTGGACCCAGTCAATCCCCTTACTGGGGATCCCGTTATGGGGATCGACTGGGTCCAGTCGGGGGATCGACTGGGTCCAGTTGGGGGATCGACTGGTTCCAGTAGGAGGATCGACTGGGTCCAGTCGGGGAAACGACTGGGTCCAGTAGGAGGATCGACTGGGTCCTGTAGGAGGATCGACTGGGTCCAGTAGGGGGATTGACTGGGCCCAGCAGGAGGTTAGTGAATAGAAGCCTTACGTGATAGGAAACGTGCCTAACCTTTTCTGCCCCTCCATGAAAAGAAGAAAGATGAAACATTTTAAATAGCTCAAGAATTCCTTTTTTTGCGATTAAATCAGAATAAAGTGGAAATACGCTTAAATCTTCGTTGTCAAAATAATGAAATTCTTTATTTGATGTTCTCATCGTAGCGACAATTAATGACTATTTACACAGTACTGTGTTTTAGTAGGTTATAAGCTATCTGGAATGCAAAAGAGAAAATAAATGTCGTTGAAAATAAAATACGAAAACCAGTTTGATGTCGGTGAAGAGCTGTGGCGCCCATTGGTGGAGGGTTGTGACGTCACGTGTTGACATGTTCAAAACACTGAGACCCGCGCAGCCTGAGTGCCTCTACGGCTCCTGTTCAACCTAATTCTGCACACACAAGATTCTCCACGACTCCTATACAAGTCTGTCCTCTACTGCTCGTATACAAGTCTCTTGCATAGCCCCTATTCAAGAGTTGCTTTGTCACATTCTTCTTGGCAAGGTAGAAACAGCAGCGTTGAATTTATTCTCCTCCAGCTTTTAGTAAACTGTAGTTCAGTTTCTGAATGGTGAATCCACTACCTACCTTGTGGGTGGTAGCAGGAGAATTGTAGACTCACAGGTTCCTGTAGTGTAGTAGGTTACGTCGTTGGTTTACAACCAAGGATTCCTGGTTCTATCCCCACGTTAGTTCAAGTGATTGGGCAAAGTTTCCTTTCACCCGATATCGGTGTTCATCTAGCAGCAACTAGATACCTCCCACTTAGACAGGTATTGTGGACTGTATCCTAGGGATGGTCAGGTGTTTAGTCTAGTAGATATGGTAAAGAAAATAGGCTGGGAGTTACACACAGAGATCACACTAACGTGATGCATCAAATGAGCAAATCTCCCGGACGCAGGTTCGAATCCTCGTCACGGCCCTTGTGGATTTGTTCAGGCTGGGAGTTATTGTATTACACAACTGGATGTTGGAAAGTCGAAGTCCAAGAGCTGAAAAGCTCAATCCTGCAGGCACATATAGGTGAATATATAACGAGTTTAGAATCTAGACCCAATATCTTAAAGATAAGCAAATTGCAGTCCCCAGTGGCACAGTGGTAAAACACTCGCCTGGTGTTTTGCGAGCACTTTGGCCTGGGTTCGTATCCTGGCCGGGGAGTATTTACTGGGTGCCAATCCTTTACTGTAGTATCTGTTCACCCAGCAGTGAATGGGTACCTGGTCATTAAACGATTTGGCGGGTCATATTCCAGGGAAAAAATTTGGATTAAGGACCTGCCCGAAACACTATACGTGCTAATGGCTTAAGAATGCAAGCACTCTTGTATTTATATAAATATATAAAACAAAAAATTCCATTGGTGTTAACCATTCACTCTTGGTTGCAGTGAAAGGGCAATCATCACATAAGCTTAGTGGCTGAATCCCAGTATTCAATTATCAAGGGAAGTTAATAGTTTCAAGTTGTTAGGAACAGGAAGTGTGTAAGACTTCTCAAGGCCCCCTTCTTGGGAATTTGAACCACAACAGTTCTCTGACACTTGGGTACCTATTTACTGCTAGGTGAGCAAGGGCATCAGGTGTAAGGTGAAATGCATAAATGTGTCCATCCTTCATAGATTTAATAGTACACTACATCCTTTTCAATATGAGTTATGGTTCTTGCCTATTTTCACCTCTTCAGAAATGATCAATATCTTTTTGGGGAAACAGTGCACATTTGTATAGATAATCTATTATGCCTGACTGCAAAGATCTGTTACTTCTGCAGGTGAGGCAGACACTTTTTCCCGACTCAAAATCTAACTGAAAAGTTAACTATATACTCTTGGCTACCCAGTATGATACAGACATAAAAATTACATTCTTAGCCTTCCAGCAGAATATCTGGCATGCAGATTTTACTACCTTATAACAAAAATTCTGTACTAAATTTGCAAAATTGTATTTTTCCAACAACCACTTGTAAAGATAATGCTTTAACTCCTGTACTCTCCTCTTAACCATTAACCTATTGGTGTGATGTATTATTATTATCATGGGTTTTCTCGTATACATTTAAACCTCTTGGACAGTATCTAGTCAAATCATAGAACCCAATCAGTATCAACTTGCCTGCAATCCTTAGATTAGATTAGGAATTTCCTACATTTGCATATACTATGTTCAGAACAGGTACTGTAATTGGTTATGTGCTAATTATAAACCAATGTACTGTATAACTTGTAAATTATGTAAAGTACAGTCACATGGAAGAGCAAGGAATTGGCTGTACACTCAATTCTATTAATGTACTAAGTTTATCTATGTTAACCTGCTAAAGTGCTGATATTAATTTCTTTATTTTCCAGGTTAAGAAATAAGATGGGAGGGCTTACTAGTAGACACATAGAGGAGGTGGTGAATGTACCGGATGTGAAGGGCACACCCAAACAAACACATGTTTTGCGTACTGATCCACGCTCCCCTTCAGACTATATACCAAGAACTCCCATTACTGTAAGTTTTTCCTTGTTAAAAAATAGTAAATGGTGACACAGGTTGCTCAGGATCTTGGTCAACCTGCCACTGCATTCATATGCCGGGTTTTTATTTGCCAATATGACCATATGTAATATCCGGGCTAGATGCTTCTTGGGATCCAACAGTGTTGGCCTCTCATTAATTATTGGATGTCCATTGGCCTCGATGAGGATGGCACATAAATATGCTTTTGCACAGGTCCTCTTCACCTGCCATTTTCTCCCATGGGTAAGCCCAGTCTGCCTTTTTTATTTTACTATTCCTTTCTAGAAATGTCAGCCTCTTCTACTGAGGTACTAATCTGAGTAAGCTTTGTGAGCTACTGATACCCCCCCCCTCCTCCCAGCTTTCAAATGTTAAATATAATAAAACAATCTTTTCTGGTGGACCCTCTGTAGCTCCATGTGTCTACTCTGTTTCCTTCTTGAACTCTCTATTCACCTAGTTGTGATTGCGGGGGTTGAGCTTTGCTCTTTCGGCCTGCCTCTCAACTGTTAATCAACTGTTTACTAACTACTTTTTTTTTCCCACACCAAAAGGGGGGGTTTGAGGGGGCTCAGTATGGGCAGTTCATGATTGAAGTGGAGGGTTAACCAGGACTGTGAACTGAGCCTCCATCTGGTAATAGTCAAGCGCACCAAGGTGCACTTACCTCATGGCAATGAATGTTTACATTGGGGTTCATAATTTCCATCACGTTGGAGTTTTTGTTGGACTTGAATTTTCTAGTTTTCCTGTTTTGGGTTGATCTCTGATTTGCAAGCTTCCCTAGTTTTAAAGAGCGAGCCAGATTCTGGTCTTGGGTTGCAGTAGTTAAGGACGAATCTTGGAGATCTAGTACAGTTAACTAAAGTTTGGTGTTACCAGTGTCTAGCTGGGGAAGCTTCTGATGGCATTTCATTATATTCAATGCTTGATTTAAAAAAAAATGCAAGGTTTTTATTTTTAATTTTTATTTTGACTATAAGGACTTAAACATGAATCTCAAAAACTGTTGCCTGATGTATATACAATAAGAATCTTCAAAAAGTATGTTGACTTTTTCAAATGTTCCAAAACATTGCATCAACACTTTATTATTATTATTATTATTATTATTATTATTATTATTATTATTATTATTATTATTTTTATTTATTTATTTATTTATTTATTTATATATACAGTACCGTACAAGAGTTCTTGCATTCTTGTAAAGTCACTAGCACGCATAGTGTTTTCAAGCAGGTCTTTGATCCTAATTTTTCCCTGAATACGACCCGGCCAAATAGTATAACAACAAGGTACCTATTCACTGCTGGGTGAGCAGTGGTTACAGTTAACAATTGGTGCCCAGTCAATCCTCCCAGGCCAGGATATGAACCCAGGCTAAAGCACTCGGGAAGGGCCGGGCGAGTGTCTAACCACTGTGCCACAGGGACTTCTTTGCGTGGTACCTGGTACATTGTAGTGTAATATAGTTTTGGATAATTCCAAATTAATCTCTTGCATACCTCTACAACAAACTTGTATTCAAATGAGTTATACTTTACATTACAAAATTTAACCATTATACTTCCATAAATTTCTGATACGTTTTGTTACAGAATGAAGTCATCAATCATATTCTAATTCAAGATATTTTCCACAGGTTGCAGACACTCCAGTCAAAGGTGGTAATGGCACTCCTCGAGTTGTTAAAGCGCTCGCTATTGATCCTCGTTCCCCGAATGCTGAAGTGAGTAGTTATTGTCTACTAATACTGTTGGTTGGTTATTGAGATCTTAAAACTATACTTTAAGATTTGTCGTCATTCACCTAAAGCAGTAGAGTAGTTGGCCCAAGTTACCCCATGGTAACATTTTTGGAATGTCATAGCAGACAGCTTTCATAAGCACGTGTGTGCTCTGATTTTTTCATTAATAGCCGGTTACTGTACATTCTTTCAAAAACTGTTAGGGTGCCTTAAGAATGGATGTATAAATGTGTCTTTAGAGTTCTAACTTTGAAATGATTTAAGACATTTTGCTGATGTTGTATTGCACCTGCTTTCTTATATTGCACACCTTATAGTAAGAGGTGTTCTGATGCCAGTATGTTGACAGGTACTGTAATGCCTTATTAACCAGATGCATATTGAAACACCAGTGCATATTTACATTCTAACCAATAAAGTAACCTTATTTCATTTTAGTTATTTACCATTGTGTAATTGTATAGCAAGAAGACTTACAGATATTTGATTCAAACTAGCAATGTGCATCTTAAAATCATTTAATGTGTAAACTGGGCCATAATGGTGTAAAACTTGCACCACTTTGTACTCGTCCCCCTCAACACTATTCATAACGTAAGATATGCCAGCTCGGGTATACATTTCTCGAGTGACCTCGTTTTAATCTAATTGTACTAATTAAAAGTGAAGATGTGCCACAGTTGTTTTCAGGGGAATATTTGCTATTTTATTAACACTTTGATGATTCGATTATTCTTTAGTCATCCACTACTTTAAGGTTTGTGTTCTAATAATGCTACTGCATCATCTGGTCTTAAATTTTTATACATTATTAAATGGCCCATAATTTCTACACTATGTTGATGTAGAATGATTAAAATACTGCTGTACATGTGTGTACAAAGTAGAACCACTGTTCTACTTCATAGCACGGCATTACAGTACAGTATTTTACAAATTTATTGAATAAATATTATTAGAGTAATTTTTACCCTTTCTACAGCAATACAGATTATCACTTATGTATATTTACATACCAATTCTTTGTCCATATAAATTGAAGGAAAATACAGTACAGTACTGTATTTTGAAACTTGAAACTCGGCAGTGCCTCACTCGTCTGACATTTTGTTATCCATTTCTTTATTGCAGTACAGTATAACCAAGAACATTAGTTTCTGGACCGTTTTAAATCAAATTCTGTACTTGATTTTTACATAAACTTAGACAAGCCATATGCAGTTTAGTTTTTAGCTAACAAAGGTTCTTATTATTCATATTATAGTCTGTAAACTTAATTATAAACTCATTGTATGAGTGCATATAATGTTATTACTGGTATTATTCTGGTTAATTATGCCATGCAATTGTTAAACAAATTCCTCTTTGGCCAGGTAAATCGTACACCTATTGTTGTTGAGACCAGAGATGTGCGCCGTCGACCTTTCTCTCTCAAACCTTCCAGACTAGAACAGCTGGACTGCAAGTCTAGCGCCACCGATGACAGTGATGAGCACGATCCTAGATCACCTACAACAAAAGTGCCTCGAACACCTCTAGAAGAAAAAGAAGGGACATTCCATTTGAACTGTAAGCATATTTTTATTAACTCACACCAGTCTCCTGATTTTCAACCCAAACTTTACTTGTTCTTTATTCTCCACACACCATTAAATTCATCAAACAATTTAATGTGACCTTGAGCCAAGATCAATAAAAGTTCTTCAAGTAATCATGACACTGGTGTTATTTGTTGAAGAAAAATTATTACAGTAGCCTTCTCCATTTTCCTTTCCCCAATTGTTTCTGATTTCATGACCAAACCCATAACTTTAGTCAGTTGGAATTTTTTGTTATTTCCTTTATTTTTCTGGTGGTTGTGATATGTGGCACCTGTCTCAAACTGCAGTAGGTTACTGACTGTACATAAAGTCCACAACCTCCATCTCCTTTGCCATACCTGTGGAGTCTGCTGCCTCCCTCTTCCCTGCCACAGTGGACATAACCAGGCTCCACAAGAAGGACCTCGGGAACCCCTCCCCCTCCCTCTAGGAAGCAGGAAAGCTATCACTGTGAGGAAGTGGAAACAAAATTATGAGGGGCCTAAAATGTGCCTCGAGAAAACAAATCACTGTAACCTCTCTACCACACCTGTGAAGTCTATACTGTACATCTATTGTCAACAATAAGTGTGAGCCAGAGGTCCTTGGTAGTTAAGTGCTGATAAGACAAACATAACTTTAGCAGATGTGAAGAAATTAGAAAAAGATGAAGAGAAAAATACAGTATTCACTGTAAACAAGATCTTAAGGAGGGAGTCGAGATGGATGAGGGAAAAAGGGCTATTATGATAAAAAATTTAAGAACATGCAACTAAATTTGAGTGTATTGGAGGAAGTCATGATTCCAGGTCCTGTTACTGAAGTGGTGGTGACCTCGCAGCTTGTTGTTGACAACATTAGTGATACAGTACGTGTCCTGTTGTTGTCCTCGTGTTGCTCTCATACTTGTGTGATTTTAATGAGTGTATTAAAGAATGTTACGTTGTAAGAACTACATAATTGATCTAAGATTAAATAAGAACAAAATTTAATTTACATGAGTGATGAGAGGCCCATACCTGTCCCGACAAAGGTCAATGGAAATGACTACATGTCAAATCTCGCTCCAAGACACCCCATAATAGAACATTCCACCTACAATCACATTTAAAACAACCGTTGATAGGCAATATACAAAACCAACCTAACTCGGAAGTTTAATCAGAGATAAATCCCGGAAGCAGACTTGGCAGCATTGATAAATAGATCTCGAGTCCAAGGAAGAATCTGAATCACCCACAAAGGGTGAGATTATTATTGAATAAGTACAGTAGTTCCCAGTAGAAACCCTCACTTCGTCCCCCAATCTTATCAACTTCTAGACATGGGTATGTCAGTCTGGAATTGAGGGCTTCTAGTAATTTTCATAAAAATGCTGTTAAACTGATTATAGTTCAATACTAATACTGTAATCTATTATCCTTTTTTTAAATTTTGTGTACATTTGCAACCTTCCATAATTCTGCGATAACATAGACAAAGCTTATATAGTATCAACCAAATTAACAGATTCATATATTTCAGCATTTGATGAGCAAGAACCAACAAATAAAAATGATAGCAATAATACCACCGAGAAAGAAGAAAACAAGCAGAGTACGGAAGAACAAGACACCTCTACGAAGAAGCTTCTCCCAAGTGATGTGTCCTCAGACAAGGTGGGTTACAAAGGAAGCTATATACTTAGTGCAATGATTGTGGTTCCAGGTCAAATGTAACACATTTCTATATTGTGAAGGTTAACATTAAGCATTTGATTTTTTTTTTTTTTCCTGTTAACATGTTAAGTGTATATTTATATAATTGTGAGTGAGTTATAATACAATACCTCCTGCTTTCACTAAATCTATTTACTATTGTGACCTGTTTGCAGCCTAATGTTCATTATCAGTGTTCAGATTTGACACCTATGTATAGACTGTGGGCAAGACGCACACAAAATGTCCAGTGTGACTACCAGGATCAGGTTGAGCTAGTTACCTGTGACTTGATTGCTGCAAGTGCCAAAGCTCCAAATCCTAATCACACTGTGTGCTACATAGTCTTCCTGACTTGGTGCCTTCTTTTGATGATTACTTATGAGTGCCATGTGTGAACTGTGCAAGCAGGGGCGAGGTCATGATCTCTCGCACTACATTATTGAATGTCCTGTCATTAGTACTTTTAGACTTGCAGGTATGAGATATCTAGTGCTTTGAAATTATTGTACTTTATCCAGTCTATTCTTGCGAAGATCCTCAAATAATCCAGCCCATCCTCCCATTTTGGTACAGTAGTACTTAAAGTAACGATGAGGACCATAGTATGTACACACTGACATACAACAAAATTAGAAATCAGCACTAAGATGGACAAACCAAAAAAACTTTTTTTCTATTTTACTTGTGTTGCTTTTGACAAACTAACCTAACGATCCTAGGCCTAATACACGACATCTGAGGCTTAATATAGTATATGTGTGTGTGTTATACTAGGCCTAGGAATATTTAAGTTTTTTTATCTTCATTTTTTTTTTTTTTAAGAATTCCTTACTAGTCAGTATACTAAAAGCAAGGTACATACGAATTCGTGACTATTGACAATTGTCACAATAGGTACTATCTAAACAGGATGAGAAGTTGCATAATCCATGTAAAGTTCTACTAATGTTATCTAAATATTTTTCACCTGTGTAATCTCTCTCTCTCTCCCCCCTACACATTGTCACCTACATGAATGTTTATTTGGGTCTCCATTTAATCAGATGGTTTTTGTGCGGGGCCGAGTGACATTTGATTGTAAATTATAGTTATTTTATTTTGTCACTTTTAAGGGACAGTCATGCCATAATGAGAATGTAAAATATAAAAGTGAAAATCATGTTATTTAGATAGTGTCATATAAGATAATCTGTAAAGACACCAGTCTTTTAAAGTGGACAGCATAACAATTTGAGTTACACTGTATTGTTTCAGGTGCGCCGCCCACTGATGTCTGTGCAAAATGTGGTGAACGGCACGCCTCGTGGTCTGCTTCAAGCTAAACAGTGCAAAAATGTAGAAGAAGAATATAACAAGAACCACAAGATCATTCTAGGGCAGCTATCTGGCCAGGAAAACACGGTTGCTTCCAGCACAGAGTTTGTTGAAAATATTTAGACTTTTTGTACAAGATTAAATATAGAGATGAAGGAAATACTCCATACTTGGACCAGTCAGTATTTTAATAATCATATTTAACATTTCTTGAGTTTTAGCAGTATAAATGAGTTAAATTGAAGAGCTCCTTGCATTATTACTTATGCAAATCAATAACTAGCTACTTTGTTCCGTCATTCACTTCTGTTTCCAAATGAAAAAGGTAGCTTATAGAGCTTAATCATTTTCCATTTGTGACGGGTGAAAGAAAATAAAAAATGTGCGACATTTATTTTTGAATCGACCCTAATCATGAGTTCATTACCACATTAAGTACCTTTCAATGGTCTCCTAAAATATTTCTTGGGTTCTTTGCAAGATTGTTAAAGAGCAGGTTTTGAACTTGATATATTGCTAGGTTGTTGAATAGAGCTCAAATTGCTGACAACATTGTACAGAAATACGAAGAAGGCAGACTTCACTGATTTTGCCCAGTGGCTTTATGAAATCTGCCAGATGCACACCTTCAGTTGATTGGTCATGCCCCAACTTTTCCATATTTCAGACGTATGAGCAATTAAATATTTCATATTTTCCTAACGATTTGGCTTGTATTTACACATCACCAAAATGTTAGTTTCCACCCACTGGTTTTGTTGTATATGATGGGCTCAAGTTCTGTATGTAGTTCATTTAGTAAAGCATCCTGATGCAACATTCATTAATTTTATTGATAAGGGGCACACACTTGTACAGTATTTACTGTATAATTTTTTTTATATCTAGACTAAGTTTCTCCTTCAAATACTGTCCCCCAATTATGAATGGTTTTAAGCACAACCTTGCTGTGAATGACAATTCTTTTTTACGTCTCGTGAACAACTCTATTGGTTTCGTTGCAGGTATTAGTGTTTACCATCTGTCATGTTGAAAAAACAAAACATTACTGGTTCTCTTTTGTTAGCATTTATCTTTATTGCATTGTCTAATGAAGCATGCAGTCTGTAAGGTTTGGGAAAGATTCATTAATATATTAGAACATCTTTAGGTTACTGTTGGCTATAAATCTTTAATTCCCTGATAAATAATCCGATTTCTATTATTTTATCCCATTGTGATGCAAGTTAGAAGAAATAATTTTTTATAGATTGGTTTTCTGTAGACTTTAAACTGGTCACTTCCTTTCATTATTAGGAAAAGCTTTTTTTTCTACACACTATTTATAATAACTATGTAGCAGGTTTTTCATTGGCATCATAAAATTATATAGGTAGATCATGATGGCATGATCAACATAGCAAAACCTTTTATAGTCCTAGGAATGAAAGTGGAGGATATTGTACAGTAATTTCATGTGATTAAATTAATTAGCTAAGTGTGTCAAACTGAGAGACCCAATTATCAACAGAACTCATAACTGTAGCAGTAGTAATTTTAGTATGTAGCTTCTAAGGTTGATAATTCCATTACATTGTAGAACAACATATCTGAGTTATCTCAAGGATTTTTTCTTGACATTTGGCAAATAGTAAGGTGACATCAAGACAAGCTAACGTTTTATTTTTAATGTGTAGAAATTGTGTAGTAAATCTCCAATAGGCTTAATGTGAATCATGGGTAACAGCAATTTCAATAAAGGTTTTCTAAAAAGATTAAAAATCTATCAACTATTTACCAGACTGCAGTAGTAATTCTGACTAATTGTAGTGGAAAACCACCTAGAAACTTTGATGCAAAGATTTATGAATGCGCTCCATCTATAATACCGAGATAATGCCCTATGACTTAAGAATGCTAAGCTCATCAAAGACGAAAACATCAGATGAAAGTGTACTGTAACCACAACCATCAAACTACACCATTGGATAGAATCAAAAACACTAGCAACTGGTAATAAAGTTGCAAAATGTGTCCAAAAATTAATGTTTGATCTCTTGCATGTCAGGCCCTCCTCCCTCCCCCTTTTTTTAATTATGTTTTCCCATTTGATAAATGATAAAGCCCTATCAGTAGGTACTCAGCTTCTTTAAAAAATTAATACCCCTGGTTAAGTCATAAGATGCTGTGACCAATTGTGGCTTATCTAAAGGAAGTGGCATAAAACCATAATGGAACTATTATTAATTTTATGACTTTGGGAAAGTGGTACAACAATGGCTTGGCATTTGGAAGGGGTGCAAACTGGTTAAAAGGTTAAGAATCACTGCAGCTTCAAGGATCAATCACACATAATAATAATAATGGCTGAGGAAAACAAAATGTTCATTTGTGTAATATTGAAGTATGATAAACAATAAAATTATCAATTTAGTTGCAAAAATGTAAAAAATTAGTAACCCTTTTGTGTGTGTGTTGTCAGTATCAAGTATTTGATCATTACACATATTATGGTATTGCAAAACAACTTTGCTTTTAATTTTGTGGAATTCAATGACGAGCCTTCAAGTCAGACATCAAATTGACTGTTTAAAAAAAAAATACTCACCTTTTTCAAATATTGATCTATAAATGATAGGGAAGCATGAACAATTTTCAACTTTGCATAATTTACTCAGAGGAAATTATCTACAATACATACAGTGATTAAGAAAACTTTAATACCAACAGTTTAACTCTTAAGTTATTTGCTTGCTAATTTTGATAGTTCTAAACCAAAAATATAATGTGAAAACATAGGTCCTTAGAAATATTTTTGACAACTGCTGCTAAAGAATAGAAAAAAATATTAGGTACATAACAAAATGAGCCAAGCATATGCCTGCCAACATACACTACTGTATTACATTCCAGAAACAATCATTTTAATCTCGTAAAATAATTATTGTACATGAAAAGTTTTCCTGTATTTTACCTTTCTTTAAAAATACAGAAAAATTTTACATTTCCAAGATTAGACGCTTCAACCTCTCTAAATATATTAAATCAATTCACACTAAATACGTTTAAAAATGTTAAGAGCTTTTGGGCCAAAACTTGGAAGATGAAGCACGGATTCCTTTCTTTGCAGGCCGTTTTTTATCATGGTCACGTGAATCCGATACCAGAGCCTCGTCTCCTTCCTGAGCTTGAGTCTTAAGGGAAGCTTTGATGTTCAAAACCTGTAAAGTACATCAAAGTATGCTTAGGGTAACATGTGATATTTACGAAATGTTTAGGTAATATTTAAAAAAAAAGCTAGTTTGTACTGTATTAAAAGTAACTACAATACATACTATAAATAATTGCATCACCTAACAACACCTGGATATAATACAATAATGTGTGCTTTGCTCCGAGGCTACTTGTCCCCTTCTACCAGCCAGTGGTGGTACAATATTGTATCGAGATCTTACCTTACAAATAGTGTACTCTCAACCTCTTGTATAATAAACTAATTCAGACTTGGCAGGACAAAGCTAATTTAAACTATTAATTTAGGCTCGGTGTAGCTTAACCCCTGCACTGCGCACCTGTTTTTGGCAAAAAAAACTTTATGGTGCAATTGTTAAGGACATATTTTTGTTAACTTTACCTGACCATTTAAAGACAATGTCAAGATATTTCCAAACTCAACTATTTTCATTTCAAAACAGTGACAAAAACATTAAAATATAAAAAAAAAAAAAATGCACAACTCTCAAAACGACATTTGTCGTTTGACGCAGTGCAGTGGTTAATAGCCTATTTCTGGCCTAATCAAATTGTATATTTAAGAAAGGACACTGCAGAGTATGCATTATGTAAGGCCATTTTTTTACAAATAAATATATTTGATGCTATTATAATGAAATTATAAAGGTGGATAATAATTTCATAAAACTGACAGAATACATAAAACGTGGTTACAGAGTAGTAATAAAGCACGTGATACATAGCTGCAAATTTTCAACATAATAAAATTTTCATGATTATTAAATGTTCTATCTCCCATCAAATTACCAAGAAAAACTAAATTAATGTTATTGACAAAAGAATAAACATATACATTATACAATTATAAGAGCTAATTGTAATCACAACAGCATGGCATATAAAAGTTCACAATTTATCAATTGGCATTATTCGATTACTAATTACATTGTGGCTGCTAACCACCACGTTGATTTCCAATGTCAAGGCATAGTGGAAATATCAGCGTTTGCTCGAGATTGCTTGTCATTTGTCTCACTAGCACATGTAAGGGGCTGATGCCATTTGATCTTGCTATGACTTGAGCATTATCTATTCTTTTCCCATATTACTCAATATAACTGATAAGAAATAAAGGACCAGAAAAGAATAAAAACTGGACATGTAGAACAGGGATAAAAAAAAAGTAAGATAACCAACTTAAAACTTCACTACATGTGTGAGGAAGTTACCACACACACTTTATTAAACATACTTTAAGTACTAAACAGTAATACCATATACAAACCTTTTTCTGATAATACTCTAACTTCGTGTTAGGATGATGCATATATAGGTCTTGTATACAGTAGTGGAATGAAGTCTAGCAGTTAAGATAACTCATTTATGCAATGGTAGCTTTTATTTAATATTTAATTACAATAAATAAAACTTTAATCCATTCAAAGAAGCTAACATGATGGAAATAGTCTATTAGTTCTCAATCAAAATGTCACATACAGTAATTTCAGATTACTGTACTTTATTTTCATTAATCAAAAATACACACACAAATCACAATAGTATGATATATCAAATGAACAAATCCACAAGGGCACTTATGTTGTAATAAGGTTGTAATCTTGTATCCTAGTGAGGGCAGTAGCACTCCAGGTTGCAATTATTTTAACCATATCGTGGCACAGTTGACCAAGGCGCAGCTGGGAACATCTCGTGCATAGGTTCGAACCCTCATCACAGCCCTTGTGGATTTGTTAACTTCAAAAGTACTTACTTTTTACTTTACATTCTAAAAATAAACAAGAATTCCCTGAAAGATATAGGTCTACCAGTAATTAAATTTGGTACTCAAGCTCTGTTGCATTTACCAACTGAAAAGTTTCAACACAACCGATATGCAAAAAATATATATACACATAATACAAGTACTGTATATAAATAATAACGAAAATACTTCTTACCTCGGCTTCTAATGAATTGCGATGCTTAAGATGTTTTTCCTTGTCTGAATTAGCACGGGTGATCAGCTGATCAATATTAGTGAGCATGGTATCACATGTGTCGCACCAAGACTGTTGAACAATAAAACATTTACACTCCACCTTTTAGAATCACATTTTGAATTAAAAGTAACACTACACACAGAGATCACACTAACGTGATGCATCAAATGAACAAATCTACAAGGGCCGTGACGAGGATTCGATCCTGCGTCCGGGAGCATCCCAGACACTGCCTTAATCGACTGAGCTACGACAGGGTAAAAGGGTTTCAACCCTTTTACCCTGTCGTAGCTCAGTCGATTAAGGCAGTGTCTGGGATGCTCCCGGATGCAGGTTCGAATCCTCGTCACGGCCCTTGTGGATTTGTTCATTTAAAAGTAACACTCATTACCTTTTCACGGAAGAAACTGAAGTGGTGGAAAACTGGTATCTTTATACTGTTGGCAGTGAAAAAACCTAAGCTTGTTCAAGTTACTTAAAAGACAGACATTTTTTCTCAGCTATGTGATCTTGGGCACAACGTGGGATGGAAGTAACCCTATGATGTTGTCCGAGTTTACTTTAAGGTTGGACCACTTCTGAGTACTGTGATTGTGAATGATTATTCCAACACGTCAGTCTATGTATATAGTGCATGCAATTTAATGTCCCAAGCATAAAATTTGAGTTCCAAATTGTCCGTGTTGCATTGGCAGCCATTATTGTTAAGGTGGCCATTTTACCAGTGTTAAGGTTAGGTTGCGCCACGTCACCTGCGAACTGTCAGCAAGAGAAAGTACTCTGCGTAGATTTGCTCATGACCCCTCGTAGAGTAGACAATTATCCCATTTCAATGTGTAAATATATTTTTGTTTTATGTTTAATAAATAGATGTTAAGCGCATGGTGTTTCAAGAAATCCTTTCTCCCTCAGTAAACAATACTTTTCAGATTTGGTCCTATAAAGGTGTCACCCCCACTATTATCTAGCACTGAATCTTACAAATTCGATGAAACAACCTCCATTTTCCCTGCATCTCCAGGTGGGAATCAGACAACCTATATCTGGCAAGATCTCCTCAGGATCTTGTGCCGTTGCTCTAGGCACTTTACGTTGATACTTACTGTGAGTGACTTGTACGCCAGTCCGAGTCTAGCTGTACACAGTAGTGGTCCAACCTTAAAGTAAACTCGGACAGATGTACAATATAGAGCACCTCATCCGGCCACTTTACACGAGGTGCAGATCAGTGTACAAGATAAATCATGTCACTTAACATTAAAAAAGGAAACTGTAGGTGCCACAATCTCGGGAAAATTTAATAACACCTTTGACAAGTCAAAGAGAGGATTCCATGAATGCAATTATTCCTTTAACCACAAATAGGTAATTAGAAATCCCCACACAATGCATAAAACTATGTTTTATCACACATTATCCACAGAAATTTAAGTAATTCCTAATTAAACTGCTACATGATATTGTCAATAATGTAACACAAGGCCAAGAAAAATTAAGATCATATTGGCATTAAACTTCTATGAAGCATAATCCATTCCCAACTGTGAGGCTGAATATGTGTACCAATCTTATAATATATAATATAATTCTATTAGATGCACAATATCAAAACTTACCTGTAAAGTTGCTACAATGTTAGGCAAATCCTCTGGCTTTATGTCCCGGCCAATAGCATGATCAAGCTCCAATATGCCATTTTTTTGGTCCAGCTTTCCATGTATGATATCTGAAACAAACATTAGATTTGACTATATTATCTTCCTACATTTTACAAAATTAACTGATTTTATGGTAACCTTGCTATGTAGAGAAACACCAAGTAGAGACTAGACTAATAAATATAATACATGACATTTTACCCATATGACTTTACAGATAAAGCATCATTTGCTATTTAAGACGATTCTTGGCGTTTCTCTGCAGTTGTCAGCACTGTGTGTTTTACTACTAATCTTGTTAACAAGATTAGTAGTAAACCATGTTATATATTAAAATATATAACATGTACAAGATGCAATCAGACCTACTCATAGAAGGAAATCAATATGTAAAAGACCTGGGAATTATGATGTCTGATGACCTGACAATTTGATGAACATAAACAAGCAAATATTATAGCATCAGCCAGGAAAACCACAGGATAGATTTTGAAAACATTCAAATCCAGAGATCACACAGCAATGGTAACACTGTTTAAATCACTGGTGCTGTCACATCTTGAGTACTGCTCGGTACTCACTTCCCCCTTTCAGAGCAGGAGAGCTCTGTGAAACAAGAGGGAATACAGAATACATATATGGCATGCATAGACATGATAAAGCACCTAAACTATAAGAAATGTCCCAAAGCTGGAAAGGACATACTCTATATACTCTCTTCAATCTTGCAATTTATTAACTTCTGTAACACCTCTTCAAGACATCTGTATTCTATATATTCTCCTAACATTATTCATGCTTTTCAAAATGTCCATTTCTACATCTCTAATTATTGATTTTTCATGTTCATACCACACTGTCTGACACCTGTATATAAGAGCAGTCAAAAACTATCATTCCCTTCCTATCTTGTTTTATCAAACCAGGGCTTTCAATGTGCCAGCCACTTTTCTTCCAACTCACTCTACACAACATCACTTACACAAATATTTCTATCAATCATATATTTCATGTATTAAAACTAATCAACCACTTCTCCATTACTATTTATTTCAAACACTGCTAAATGAACTGTATCATCCATACCCATCAAATCTGATTAATTCCAATTATTCACATCGGACTCATTCACTAAGTTAATGTGTTCCTCTAATATTTTTAACCTGACTTTCTCTTTTCAGAATAGCCCACCCACAACCAAGTGACATCACACAACCCATATGTATACCTACATTAATTTCAAACTTCTCATTTTACCACGACTCTTACATGTGCACTACTTTTAATAATATAAAATCTTTTCACAGGGTTTCCAGAACTCTGCCAACTCCATAGATGCTCATCACTCCCTAGAGCCTTACAATTATTATTACTGTACTTATATTCTGGCAAACATTAACAAAATTCATTACAAATTTGCACTTTTTATTGCAGCTGATAAATACAGCTCTGAAGACTAGAGTTGTATAAATAAAAAAATGTGCCATTTGATTTTGGCAAGTAAAAAAATGTTAGATGGAAGCTACTTTACCTGTGTACATAGCCTCAATAATTAAGTCTTCCAACTCTCGTGTTGAGGCAAGACCCAGCTGGCTGCCAAGAGTTACTAGTGGGATGCTTTTCTGTCCTGTTGCCATTGAAACAATTGTTAGGTGTCGCAACTTGGTTAGCATTGTTGGAGTTAATGATGGAAACTTGGATGACTCTCTTGCATAGTCACCATAAATGCCATAGGCAAAAAGTTGTAGAAGTTCATAATACGGTGCATGTTGAGAATTATTTTTTAGCTATAAAGTAAAAAAAAATACAAATGTTTCAGACACAACACCATAAGAGCATGAACAACAGTAATTACAAATCTTTGATGACACTACTGTAGCTATTTTTCAATCACAGAAGAGGACTTGAGAATGTCATCCCAAGGCTGGCACATCTTGGGATATGAACAGGGAAGTGAAAAACATTGCAGGGTACTATAATGATCATAATAAAAACAATAAGCTGGGTGAACTTGAGCATATGGCAGAGGAAGGGGGACGCGGGGTGGTGGAGGAAGGGGGACGTGGGGTGGTGGAGGAAGGGGGACGCAGGGTGGTTGTGGAAAAGGAGGGAGTGATGAGGTAAGACCAGGGCATGGTGGAAGAGGGTAAATGGCGAGGAGGAATGAACTTTGGGGCACAAGGCTCAACATTGCAAACTTTTTGACTACAGATTTAAAATAATTCTAACATTTACTCTTTTGAAGTGAATTCCTACACTCTTAAAAAAAAAAAAAAAAAGTGCCTAGATGACCTTAAACAATTTAAATGAATAAAAGCAGATACTGTACTACATTCTATAGAAGTAGGATAAGTTTGTACTTACATTTGTAATATTTGGCATATCCAAAAGTTCCCCAAACACATAGACTTCTGGTGCCTCCAGTACCTGTTTCACTAGTTGAACAGCAGCTGCTCCTTTTGCTTGTTTAGCCAATAAGATATATTGCTCAACTGGATTTGTCTGACTTGGCTTTTCCCCCATGGTTTTAGAATTACTAGGGTAAAACAAAATACAAAAATAACTCATCATAAACCTATAATTGTGAATTTTAGAGTAATATATATAATTAAAAAATTGACTATTAACACCACTATTTCAAACATCTTAATTTGGGAATGGGTGTGGGCTTAGGTGTGGCTTCAAATAGTTGTAGAACAGCTCGCTCTTCTACTGTATAAAGGTCGGCTAATAATACATATAACAAGTCCATTACTTCACTTAATCAAGCTCAGTTGTGAACACTCCATGGAAACTGGCATTCAGTGCCTCACATATTTCCTTGTCACTTTCTGTGACAAGGTTAAGTAGTGCAACTACCAGTATGCAGGAGCCACTGCTAAACGTTTCAAATGTTGATGCAGTCTAACACCAGATGAAAATGAAACTCATCAGTGATGAGTTTCAGTGAATATAAAGCAAGTACCTGTACAATTAAAGGAGATATATCAAGCCTATCTATATCTAGACTTTTAAAAGCCAAAATTCCTTAATTTCAGTAACCTAATCATGCAACTTTATACACTACAGAAACAGTTACAAATTACTACAGTAACAGCAAATGACTGCATCATTCACAGATAGATCTCTGAACTATCATTAAACAAACTTTACAGTTTGGTCCTAGGATTGTAACTCAGGTTCTACAGGATTTCTCTTATTTTACAACATGCTAAATTTTGTATATTAAAAACCAAAGTAATTTACGTATATACTGTGCAGTACATAACCCAAGTCAAAATATACTGTACAGGATTATTTGCCAATGATTAAAAAGTTATGTTAATGGTCCCAAGCTAAATACCATTTTTTACTTTTTGATATATTACCCTGAAAATATTTTTGAAGTAAAGACACCAACACTGCCAAGCAACATTCTAATATACAATTCTCCATTATTTTGAACTAAATTCCCAATACTGTACTGTAGTTCAGGTGGACTACAACTACACTCAAGCATCTCGCATATTCAATGAAAGGAGGCACTGAATATCTCCCGAGTTGTTAAGCCATCCCTAAATGCAGTTGAACTACTACACCCTTAACCACACTAAGGACTGGATCCAAAGAAGCAGAAACAAGACAATCCTGAGAATCCATTTCCAAAAGGGAATGGAATGAGTGGACCTTCCCTCTTTTTAGGTAAGGGACTATTGGAAGGCAACTGGCTCACTGAACCCTGTGGGAGGACATACCAAAGCCTCATCCAGATCTCCACACATTCACAAACCATCATATGCAACCAGTGCAGCCTGCAGAAATTAATGCCCCTGACCAGCCAAAATCAGAATTCTCTGTAAAAAAAAACTACAGCACAGGAGGAAGGCATCATGGTACAGAAATTTTAGAGCATTTTAATAAAGAACCCTTAACCACAGCCATTCCAGTGGGTAGACCAGACAGGTTATAGGGTGAGGTATACCTGCAACCACTCGGGCTCCTGCCAGGAAAAGCCTATGCCTTTATAGTTCCAGATGAAGATGCTCCATAATATGGGGCACAACCACCTTAAACCTGGAGCAATTTGCAAAGCCAGAAAATCAATACATGCAACTGTTAGATCCTTGATTTTGTTTGCAAGTATATGATCACTAATAGACTTACACTAGCTTGCCTGGCTAAATATTACTTACCAAATATTAGTGTTTCCGAACATTGTACAGTACAGCATATGGCAAATCTAGCCGAATTAAAGGGTTAAAAAATGTCTAAATTAAGCAAATTCACATGTAAATAAAAATGGGAAACTCCAATATTGCATATTTTAGAAATTGGTGTTAGAGATAGGTTGTAAAAATACCAGTTTTAGAAAATGTGAAAGTCTAGTGCCAAGAGTTACATGTAAAATGATTTCTCAAAAGTATGAGTGTCTAAATATTATTTTGTTCATATATTGCTTTAAGGTTTGTAAATTTTCCATCACTATGACAAGCAATTGATTTATGTGCACATTAACCCTTATTATTACTGCAGAGGAAGTTATTCATCAGGTGGGTTTCATCACCTGATGAAATCATTGGGGTTTCAAATTATCTAAAGTATTTTAAATTATTTATAGTTTTGGAACATTGCACCAGAACCAAGCTGTGTTGACAGTGCAGATAATCCCAATTATTCATGTATTGTATTTTTTGATTTTGTAGTAGATTTTTAAAATCTACTCCAAATTTTCAAATCTGTAGATTTGTTGAAATCTACACAGATTTTGCAAAACAAAATCAGACTGAGAATGGTATTGGTGCATTTACTGTATCATTGACTTGACACATTATTTGATTACTTGAATTTTCACCAACTACAAATACGAAGATTCTATCCAGTAATTTTGCCATTATGTTCAAGCCTATCTAGACTTTCAAGAAGGCAAAATTCTTTAATTTCAGAAACCTAATCATGCAACTTTATACATTACAGAGACTGTTACACATTACTACAGTAATGTGTAACTGTCTCTGTAGTGTATAAAGAGACTAATGAGTGTATGGAAATGGAAATGACTAATGGAACTCTAGTGTATCTATCTGTGACTGCCACAGATACACTGTCTCTGTAGTGTATCTATCTGTGACTGCATCATTCACAGATAGATCTCTGAACTATCATTAAATTAAACTGGCCTAAATATTAAACTTTGTTTAACCCTAGACCAAAATGTGTGATTTGGGATATTGTACATATCATGATTTGTGGCTCTGGGGAACTCTTCAGTATGAGTGCATGTTTGTGGGAGCAAAAACCCATGTAAAAAAGAATTTGAAAAGATTATGAATATGTATGCAGGACATACATGTAGACATTGATATGTAGTACTGTATGTGTATCTGAATGTATATAGGTGAAAGAATTTTAAATTGTTCTTATATAAATATAATACAAGTACTGTAGTAGTAAAGAATTAATGAAAAATGCTGTATACTCAGGAATTCAGAAAAGAAATTGTTCAATAAGAAATAAAGTTAAGAAAAATGTCCAATACAAAATGAAGTAAAGAAAAATGTCCAATAAGAAATGAAGTAAAGAATAATGTCCAATAAGGAAAAAAGAAAAGACTGCTTAATAAATAACAAAATACAGTCTTCTGAGTAATAAAATTAAAACACTACATACACAACAAATTATGCAAAAAACAGTGTTTAAACTTAACCAAACCAACACATACTTGTCTTGTGTCGTCATGTCGGCGGCACTCATGGTCATGGAGGATGTGTTGGTGATACTGCCCTAATGAGAAATAAATCAATAACAAAACAAAATTAGGTTCAGAGCCACATACATAAAGAAATCTTAAGTTCCACGTCTGCACTTCCAGCAAAGCCCACGCAGAACAAAGCAAATGGTTAATTATCACAAAATGTCATTGGCCAAATATAAAGAAAAACTACTGTAATGTGTATCCTCTAGAATCCAGACCACTTAATAAAATCTTTTAAATAATGGCCAAATTATTTTGACAGATCAGGTCTACGAATCAAATTGAATCCAGACTCGCAGAAGCAATCACCGAAAATCTGGATCGACTATATACAGTACTGTAGTAATTTCTAGTGAATCATTTTTCCATACTGTATTTATACTGACGATGTGCTTTTAGTAGAACAATTATTTTTTTGTGTTTGTACCGTTTAATACAGGAACTATACTGTAAAGTTTATATAAACAAAATTTTTCTGCGGGCCCAGTACTGCCAACATATGCAACCAAACTATGTGATCATTCAATTTGTACTGATCACAATATGTTACTCCTTACTACTCAGGGAATTTAAAGTATTTTTATATTGATATTTATTTTGATATTTAAGTATTTGCAAGCTGAAAAGATGTCTTCCAGCAAATATAGTGTGGCTAAACTAAGCATGAAAAAGAAGTATTTTAACATTGACACATAAGGTAAATTTGCACAGAACATTTATCATGGGTAAGGAGTGAAGATGCTGGTAAACAAGTTTAGTGTTCATACTTGGACTGTCTCTGCAAAAAATCAAGGGAGAGAGTTCTGGTGGCAAAGATTGAGAGAAAAGTTCTCTTGGTATCAAATTTCAATGAGTTTGATCATACCATTTACAAGCACTGAACTACTGTTAGCTAGAATATGGATATCTTCATTAAGGTACTGTAATTAAAAATTAGAGATTTTATCATATTATTCTTATTATTAAGAAGTAATTATAATGCCTTATCACAGACATAACATATAAAAAACCCACACTTACGTATTTGGTATTTTATGTAAAGATTTAAGCTACACAAAGTCTTTCACATTCTCCTGAGTGCATGCATTATTAAGGTCTGAGTATATGGTAAGGATGAGACTTGCATCTTAACGATTAATACAGTCGCTACCCAGGATCCAGTCCTCTTGTTCTTCCTGACCTGATCACATCACCTCCATTCCCGACAGCCAATGATCAGAAGGTCAAGAAGAACATGAGGAACGGATCCTGGGTAGCAATTGTATTAGTTATTGAGATGCAAGTCTTGTCCAAGCCACGGACTCAGACCCTGATAATGCACTCGGGAAGGTGAAAGACTTGGTGTAGTTAAAATCTTTACATAAAATACACAAATACATAAGTATGGTTTTTATCTTATTATTATTATTATTAATGTTTGAGACACGGGGGCCTGTGTCCTACACTTTATACTGTATACCCATGAGCCTGTATACACACTTTAGGCTTATTTCAAGGTCTCCCAAAGGTCAAACTACTGACCCTCCCCAGGATGCAACCCCACAACAGTTGCCTAACTTCTGAGTACCTATTTACTGTTAGGTGAACAGAGCCATTGGGTGAAAGGAAATGTGCCCAACCATTTCTGTTCTGCCTGGGAATCAAACTTACGATTCTTGATTGTGAGTTGAGAATGAAGCCAACTGTACTACGGGACCCTTAAAAGTTTAATGCCAATAGCATTTGACATTTCCAGGCAGTCACCCACCCAATTACTAACCAAACCTAATGTTGCTTAACTTACCTGATCTGACAAGAAGTGGTGTCCTCAACATGGTATGATCATTATTTTATATTTATACAGTACTCATCAAGAGTATGCACTGCCCTGCTCAAGGCAGCGCATATGTATTGAGAGAAAGAGAAAAAAAAATATTGACTTGTGGGTGAAAGATTTCAGACATGTATGCAACAGCTACATGGTGTCATGGCAGGCGTTAGTTTTGGGATGCTAACAATACCAGAGCCACTGGCCTCATGACTGTCATCGTGATCAGTTATGTGCTGCATTTTGCTTCGTAACCGTCTGTTGTTTTTAGCACTTTATAGCAGTTCATGTGGTCTGACATTGTTATTATGGCACCTACCAAGTAAATAAGCAAAGAAACCATTGTTCAGATAATTGATTTAAAGGAAGTAGGCCACTATGTAAAGAAATACGGTAAGTTAATTGTTGGGTGTAGCCAAGTTGACATGAAGTATTGTGCAAGTTCCCTGTGGGGGAACAGTGGTAATATGCCATCACAGAAGCATCATTCTGGATGTCCCTGGAAGACTTCAAAGTCTACCCTTGCTGTAACATGAAGGGTCCTCTCTAATAAATGTTTTAGAACATTCACATATCATGAAGACATCTTCCTGGGATGATCAGACCAATGTTTCTTGGGCGGCCTATCACAACGCATTCTCCTCGGAAACTCACACACAATATTTCCTCATATATTGACTTGGCTAGACCCAACAATTAACTTATTTCCTTATTTGGTGGCCTGCTTCATTTAAATCAATTATCTGACCAGTGGTTTCTTTGCTTATTTATTTGGTAAGCACAATAATAACAATATAATACCACCAACAACATTGTTATCTGCGATAAAACATGGCAAGATAAAAGGGCAAGACACAAACACAACTACTCACTATGAATGTCCGGGGACAACTAAGCATCCAAGCTGTGTTTCCAGGGAGGTAGCGCACACCATGATATGTACCTTGAGCATACTTTTGTCTACAATCTTTTACCCACAAGACCATTATTCTTTTTTTTTTGCCATAAATACGTGCCATCTCAAGCAGGGTAACACATACTTTTGATTAGTACTGTTTACACACATACACGTATATACATACTAGGAGGGGGGTACTCAGTGATGCCTGGGATAGTCTGTCTCTCATCCCCTACACCCCATGCCACCCCTCTTCACACATCCCCCATCTTCCCTTCATAAATTTGTAAAAGAATGAGATGAACTGTTTGATGAGATGAAGTCAAAAGAACAGTTGGATAGAAAAATAAGTATATTTTGTGAATACAAAATCAACAAAACAAAGAAAATTGGATTAATACGAGAGTAAATAGAATGTGAAAGTTTTAGTCAAGTAGAAAAAGGCAAAGGGAAAATAGGGAGAAAAGAAAAAAAAAAGGAAGTGCAGCAAGGAAACTGGTGGATGGGTAAATGGGAATGTTAAAGATAAATATTTGAGAATATTAATTGGTGAGAAGATTAAAAGAAGGGGAGAAAATTCTCATAAATTGCAATGGTGCAAGTAATGAGAGGTACTACTGTAATATGAACATGATTGAATTTGATTGAGTGACATGAGTGCAAGATAGTTTGACAGTCAATATATCTAGCGAGGTCTGTCATCCAGTTTTGTAAATGAAATTGTCACTTGCTAATGGATAAAATCTGTGACTTGCTGCAGCTATCAATTCTGTGGCAGAAGCCCAGCAACTGCTACCGACTTCCAATGAGGTATGCACTGGACCTCACCTCACACGGAGGTCACACTGCAATACTATCTTCTGACACTCACACGCACAATATATCTATGGTAGGTGCCCTTCTTATGCCTACCCCCTGATCATTCAAATAAAAATCATGTAGGGAAGAATATTTAATTCTACTTGTCTAAAGGCAAAACACCCATGATCATATTGGGCAATGATCACTGCATCAACATGCAGTGATCATTGCATCAACTGATCTAAGATCAATCAGGCATCCATCCAACATTGTTACCTACTTGAAGTGTTTTAAATAAAATACGCAAGTTACGGTAATATATCCTCTGCTTTACCATACCAAATAAAAAACCTGACCTAATCTCTCCATAATTTACGGGCTATTCATGCCCGTGCCACCTCTTGGGTGGCTTAATCTTCATCAATCTCTCCATAAAATTCAACAATTCAATTTAACAAGCCAACAAAAGTGTAGCTTGTTAATAAATGCGACCCATTCCTATTAGCATTCTAGGTCCTGAATGACTAGACAAACATTTCCAGAAACATTTACATACAACATTCACCACACCTAAATCAAAACTTTCTGATAACATATGCGCGCTAGAGTTTTACCTCACCACGACTGTTTTCTACTAAGATGTTGAAATTGCCGATGATTGGTAATTCCAGTATTGGGAAACAGTGGTCGCCTCCTGCCGCTACTCTCGTCTGGTAAACAAACACGCGCGCCATCTGTCGACCAAAGCACATATGAACCATTCATTAATCATTTAAAAATATATATATATATACTTTCAAGAATACGTGTAATACTAGATAAAAGCTCTTGTTTATAATTACATATTAATGGAAAAGTAAAAGATTTGAGTATAATGACCAATGAGTTTATGAGAGTACTTTTTTGATGTTTTTACATTCTTGGATAGCCATTAACACGCATAGCCTTTTGGGCAGGTCCTTTGTCTAACAGATAATCGTAAGTAGGGAATTTGAAGCAAAGTTTGAAGAATATTAACAGGTACATTGTAAGAAAATTTGAATAAAATTCATACGTACATTGTAGTAAAATTTTAGGATTATCAACAGGTACATTGTAGCATAATTTGAGGATTAATAGGTACATTGTAATAAAATTGCGTTCAAAATAACAGCTATGATGTAAGTTGATAGCAGTGATTACAATGGTGAAGTTAAATGGCTTTGGCACACATATATTGGGGGATTGGGTAGCACAAGATACAGTGCGAGTTTGAAGCACACGGTAGAAAATTATGAGGATGAAATTTGGTACTTTTTGGGTTTACTTTTGAATAAGGCATAGATTGGACAGCTTTTTAATTCGTTAGAAGAGTGAGTTCCACGGACTAGGTTCCTTTATTTGCATATTGTTTGCATAGATTTAGTTTGACTCTGGGGATATCAAAGATATATTTATTTATGGTGTGGTGATTATGGGTTCTATTACATCTGTCAAGGGAGAGTTTCAGATTTTGGATCTAGGAAGTTTTGTACATGTAAATGGCACAAGAGAATATGTGGAGTGAAATTGAAATTGAAATAAGTTTATTGAGGTAAAATACACACAAAGGGATGAGGTAGCTCAAGCTATTCTCACCCCGTTCAGTACATCGTGTTAATACATACATAGACACACATCACAAATAATAAACATATTACCGAAGATTCTGAGAGATAAACATATACATTCCTCCTTTACACAAGTAATGTGGAGTGAGTTTATGTTTAGTATGTTTAGGGATTTAAACAGAGATGCTGAGTGTTGTCTGAAAACCGAGTTTGTTATTGATCTGATTGCAGAGTTTTGCTGGGTGATGATGGGTTTTAGGTAGTTTGGAGTGGTTGAACCCCATGCACAGATACCGTATGTAAGATAGGGATAGATTAGCGCGTAGTATAATAAGAGGAGAGCAGAGTTTGGAACATATTATCTGATTTTAGAAAGTATACCAACCGTTTTTTAGATTTTTTTGGTTTTGTGTTGTATGTTGGTGCTGAAATTGAGTTTCTTCTCTATGCATAGGCCAAGAGGATAATAATATATGTAAAATATATATGTATAATAATATATTATTATAATATATTCCTTTCCACAACTTTTGCTTCAGCTATACTCACTTCCCGCTCGCTCAACGGGGATCTTATCATGTATATTGTATGTATATGTATATAAAACATGGGAGGCATATGAGGACAAGGCGTTGGAATCGAATGGAGTGAAGGAATGCGGTGTGCCCATCTCTTGAACGATCGGGAATCAAACGTCGACCCTGCAAGCCGCAAGCCCGTCGCTATACCGACCGGTCCACGTGGATGGACCTTACGTGCCTGAGTGGCTGCTTTGTCGCCAGGTTTTAACACTGTAGGACTCACGTGTTCGATAAGGCAAAATTGGGATAAATAACATAAAGGTTTTCCAAACACAGATGATATCTAAAGTGAACTAAAGATATTATGGCGCTACTCTGTGCGCTTCCGAGACTCCAACAAGACCCAGGATATAAATGGGCCAACGTCGACGGTCCTCGCACCGCTCCTGTGTCAGGTAAGTTACGGGCTCACCATAGCCCGTGCTACTTGGAACTTGTTTCGAGTAGCTTAATCTATAACAACAACAAACAACGACGGTCCTTGTGCACGGGAGACATCTCCCGTCACGCAGGGTGCAGTCGCACCTCCACAGATCTCCAGTATCAGCTCTTGATACTGGTAATGGCTCCAAAGGGCCACCACTTACGGGCTATTCATGCCCGTGCCACCTTTTGGGTGGCTTAATTTTCACCAATTATCAATCATCGGTCCTTGTGAAGGTCGCTGGGTCCGTTTAGGCAACGTCCCGATACTGAGGTACTTCCCCTGTTATTAGTATGGACATAGACAGTTTACACGCCGAAGCAAACTCTACTGCTCAAACTGCAGCAACTTTGATATGGAGGTCGTGATAATGAAGAGATCAAATCCAGTTCTCACTGTTATTGCTACAATGGACGGCACAAGGTGATATCTATAGCTTGTCCTGCATATCGCAGGGTACTAGTAATCAAGGAAGAAACTAAAGCTGTTGGAGCTCCAAGACGGGAGCTGTTCACGAGGTTATGAGCTCGTCTATCCTAAAGTGAATAATGTCCATATCACAGCACTACTAACCTGGCGCCTCCAGGGGAGAAGGATAGGGGATACACCAGTCCATTCTCCAGCCTGATGTGACTTTTGGTACATCATCTGTACCAAAGTGATGAGACGACGCATAGGAGCTATCCCCGGATTCCCCCAGGTAATGAGCCGTCAGCTACGGGAACAGGAACATGGGAAAGAGGTTCCGCTCGAAGCCGACCTCACAGGCGCTCGCACACGTTCAACCCGTCTTCTTAAAAATAACGTCACTTTTGGCTCGTATGCGCGCTATGGCCAAATTTGGACGTAATTTTAAATGAAATCGACTCACAAAAGTGACGTACTGTTCCGTTTTCTGTTTGAGTCGTCCGGCTTACTCGGCAAGGTTAGAAGAGGAAACTTTTCATTAACGTTTTTCATACCGTTTTGAAACTTTATGAAAATTTCCTGCCCACCTAACCTATCAGAGGACCCTTAACCCTGTTGTTGAAAAAAAATCCCAAATTTATTTTCATTTATTTTTCATTTTCAAATTACGTCCATATTCGGCTATACGGGCAAACGGCCAAAAGCGACGTTCTTTCTAAGAGGACAGGTTGAGTGAACACCCAACATCGCTGGCCTCGTGGGGAACAGCTCCCGAACTGACCGTCATTCGTACTCAGATTCTCTTCACCATCTGTAAAGACTAAAAAGCATTTACTTGAATTTACCTGAGAGCCACAATCTCTCCAGTGGCATAGAACAGGACTGGAAGCTGGCGGATTGTCAATGGTTCCCTCATTTGTCCTGATTTTTTTATTTTTTTTTTTTGCAGGGATATTCCTGCGCGGGCCCTAAGCCTCTGGCTGGCCCACTGGGCGGGCCCTAAGCCTCTGGCTTGCCCACTAAGTGTTGCTTGTTTCTGTTTTACTTGGGCGGAGTATGAGTATTTATGACTCGTATGGTCGCTTCAGTAAGATTTTGCTATATGTGTTTAACAACTTCTTCTGCTCTATTGAATCTAAGTTGAAATCCTAATGGGTTTGTAACTGTGCACTGTGTTAGATAATGTTCCAGTGGTCTGTCGGGCATTTCTCCACAGTGCTGACATTTCCTCTCATCTTCCGATTTGTCCTGATGACTTTGTACGGCTGGATTTTGAATTGCAACAATATTTTTGGCAGTTACGGTTTCGGCGGGGTAGAGGGTCCCATGGATGGATCTATGGGTGAAAAAGTATCTCGTGTTTTCTATTTTACATTGTGGCTTGTTGAGTTTGAAGTCTTTGCTCCTTGTATGCGTTACATCTAGGTCAATATCTTCCAAAATTTTCAGCATTTAAGTTTTGATATGAGATCTGTCTTGTCGTGTCTGGCTTGTAAGTATCTCTGGGAACTCTCATTATCTGCTGATGAAAACCGGACCAAATGTAAACTGTGTCAACAAAATTATTCGCACACCCTCCGTCACTATGTGATGGAGTGCGGAAAGATACGTGAATTCAGAGACAATTCTATGACAAATGTTCCAAAGATGTGTCGATATTTCATTCAAAATGATCCGCTACCAGAAATTTTAGCCAAATATCCCAAGTTTGCTAACTGTAGGTAGTAACTAAGAGTGATTGTAACCTATCCACCGCTGCCCACTGGATGGGGGGCGGTGTGCAGGACAAACATATCAATTGTGACACTAGCTCTCCACATATGTCAGTTGCTTAATTTAGAACCTGTACTTGAGGTCGATCTCGAACCCATTGATGATGTGACAATGTGCATTGAGTTTTGTAACTAGCTCATCAAGATTGTAACTTGCTAGCTAAACGAACTGTGAGGTTCTGTCCCTGAGCCCATTATGTGCCTCTGTAACCCTTTCCACTATCGCCCACAAGATGGGTATGGGGTGCATAATCAATGAACTGAACTAACTGTTAGTCCTGTGTCCCTCAACCGCTTCTGGTACGAGAGTCGACTTTGTTCTGGGATTATTTTTGTCATCTGGTGTTGAACTTTCGTCAAAACAGATATGCCCTTCCGAAGATGAGTCGACATGAAGGCGCACCAGAGATTAATTACATTATTTTCCTTGAAGTCAAAGGAAATTGAAATTGAAATGCCAAAACCTTTGACTATAAGGAAAAGAATGTAATTATTCAACTGTACAATTTTTGTTTACCGCAGCTCCCACTTGTTGTGCAACTTCCGGTGGATGGAAATTGCAGGGTTCTGCAATGTCTCTCACTCCTTGATGATTTCCTCGAGGATAGTCTGACGGATAGCCACACTTGTGAATTTGTGAAATTTATATAAGGAGTTTACACCAAGTCTTTCGCCCTCTTCAGAGTGCTGTGTCCAGGTCTGAGTGTGTGATTAGGACGAGACTTACAAGCATCTTAGGACGAGACTTACATGCATCTTAGGACGAGACTTACATGCATCTTAGGACGAGACTTACATGCATCTTAGGACGAGACTTACATGCATCTTAAGACGAGACTTACAAGCATCTTAGGACGAGACTTACAAGCATCTTAGGACGAGACTTACATGCATCTTAGGACGAGACTTACATGCATCTTATGACGAGACTTACATGCATCTTAGGACGAGACTTACATGCATCTTAGGACGAGACTTACAAG